TCTTCGTGCGGAAGTCAAACCACGATGCGGTACAATTTTTAAGGATCCAAAGGAATTTTTAATATTTTAATATGCAGGGGGAGTCAAGAGGACCTGGCCGCAATCTCAGTCTCGTCTCGGAGAACAAGTGTACACTGGTCTGGGTGTTCGGTGCTCTAAATGATCCGTTTATCCTTGAAGTTGGTGGCTTGCCTGTGTGGCGTGGCATGCCTCCCTGTGGCTCGTGAGTGGCTACTAGTCCGTGAGGCCTGGGCAGCAGCAGCATTAGAATCGCAGCACCTTACCTTCCCACAGAAGCAGAAGCACACGGGAGCAAGGGCGAAATTATTTTGCAATAAATTTTGTGACATATTTCCATGAATGTGAAAAACGCTTAAAGGAAACTCTTGCAGGCAGACGACAGGTAACATCTGGGGGGTTGTTGGTGGTTCGGCGTTGTCTGTCTGTAAGTCTGTAGGTCTGTAAGTCTGTGCGTTGTGCGTTCTGCCTCGCACATACAGACACATATTAAATGCACATCAGGGCGACACAATGGCAACTTAAATTGTCTAAGAAAACGTCACCAGTTGTAGGGATAGGGATTCCTGCCTGACGTTTGCTCGCCAAGTGTGGGGAAAACAAGAAGCGTGGGAACACGCGGACGCGGACCTGAACTAAGATCCTAAGACCCACCTCTCTGCCCGGCGATTTCGCAATCTGCGACTGCGACTGCGACTTTATGACAGTTTGATTTATACATTATTGAAAAAGTTTTGTCGCAGGCGCAAAAATCAGTCGCCAGCACCGACAATCACGTAGCCAATGCGACGCCAACACTGACAGCAACACCTAAGCTCAGCTCAGCGATTTACACCGGGAAAAAAACTACCTCACTTGATTGTTTCCATTAGCCGGGAAGGCTTAAGTGTTCTTTTCTTGCTTTTAATTCCGTTTCTTTAAAATTTTTTTCTTTTTTTTGTATTCAGTGTTAATTTCTTATTGTTCAATGGCATAACTCAATTCATCAATGTATTTTTTTTGGGTGTACAAGTTATCTTCATGAAGGCACGTTACGCACAGTAAGCCCATTAATAATTTTTACTCCGAAAATGTTGTCTTTGAGTTGCGGGCCTGCTTCGATGCCAGCAATGAAGTGAAATCCATTTTTAATGCGCTCTGGCGGTATCAGTCTTAGTTCCCGCCCACTTACCGCCCACTTGCCGCTCCCCATCCGCAGTCCGTCACCGATTTGGCCGGAAACTGTGAGGAGTCCTAGCCCATCTATGCGTATGCACGGCATCGAAGTTTGGCTCAATGGGAGCACGTCGATGGCCTGGCTCGTGAATATTCGGTGGTGCCCTTCCCCTTGCCTGCTGCCAGTTACTTTTTGGCATCGAAATTAATTAAAAAAGTTTTCAATCAGCCTTCTTCGATGTGTCAGTCCCGCGAAAGAGAGCATTAAGTGCCTGTGTTTTATGCGATGTCGACTGAGTGGAACGCTCACGCTCCAATATCAAGCAAATAATCAGAAGCGCCTAGGTGCGGAATGTCCTTGGAGGAGATGTTCCTGCGATCCTGCCCTCTCCTGGATTTCTTTGGCTGACTGGCACTCAGCTTGCACAAACACAGTTGACTAAAAAACAAAGGAATCGGCGTGTGGAGGCACTCCACACACTCCATTTCATGCCACTCCCACTCCTTTCCAGGACTAACATTCTAGGTGGGACGGACCCACCTTTCGGGGGGCAGGGGGCAGATTTCTTTGGCTTTTGATAAAAATACAGATATAACACCGGCGTTCGTTCGCCTGTGTGTGAGCATTGTACGAACATTGATAAAAGTTTTAATTTATGTCAAAAGCTTTCGCCAAGAATTTTAATATGCGCACAATTTTTGCAAAGTTGTCCCTTCCGCTCACTTTGTGCCTTTCACTTTGGGCCGAGTTCCACCCTTATTTTCAAACTTATCGAATCCTTTAGAGCTGCGACAGCGGCAACATTCTCTGGGCAGAAGGCTAGGGCTCAAGTTGATGCTTAATAAGTAAAGATTGTCGAATAGAAGCCGCGCCGGAGAAGACTTAGTCAACTCTTCCACTTGGCCACTCTTCTGTGCATCAGCAAAAGAATGTGCAGGAGGATCGCCTAACAAGGACGAAATTGCTTTGTCTTCGTGGTAGCTCTCAACGCCCTCTCTTTGGCCCCTCCTTGTTATTCAATATATACATAGTTCTCGTTGTCGGCAAGCAATTGCCATCAACTATGTTTGCCTTACTCTTCGGCCACAAATGCAACACACTCCGACAGCAACAACAGCAACAACAGCAGCAACAGCAACAACAGCAACAACAGCAACAGAAGCAACAACAGCAGCCCAAAACCAACCCATCTTTGGGTTTCCATGTAGAAGGCGACACTTTGTTCTCGGAGTTCTTTTTGCTGATTCGGTTTGCATTTTGATTTTGTATGTGTTTTAGGAAGCCATGCATGTTGCCCTGAGCAAGTTCGAACCACCTTCACCCCTTTTTCCACCCACTGGTAGCTCCCACCAAAGTTACTTTGATTACAAGAGTTAAATGACATGCGAAAATTATGACAAAAACGTATAATAAAGTTATTAGTTGTACGCTATATTTGTATTCTAAATACACTCGTAAAAATCGTATATCTGTAGCATGTTTATTTACTACGTGCAACTAATACACTTAGCATACAACTTGCAACAAATTGTTGACAGTGAGCAACTTTCACTTTGCAACAGTTTGAAAACCAGGGTCGTCTCCTACCCAAGTTGCGAACCTGGTTTCAATGTGCTAAAACCAGGGACGTCTCTTACCCGCGCTCCGAACCTAATGTTCAAGTTTCACACCATCTTGGTATTTTCGTGTTCCGTGCTTTTTGTAGAATTTTTAGACCAATGTGGCTGTATGGCAACGCCGTAAATATTGGTTCTTGTTCCATCTCTAATTCGTTCGCATCAGCTGCCAAAAAAAGCGCAAGAAAAGGAAGTCGTGCAAAATGTTCAAAAGTACGTACAGCATGGCGCTTATGTCGTTCTCTTTCAGACTAACTTAGGCCTTCCGATCTTTCCAGATTCGAGGACAAGGACAGCATTTCGAGCATCCAGCAGCTGAAGTCGTCGGTGCAGAAAGGCATACGTGCCAAGTTGTTGGAGGCATATCCCAAATTGGAGACCCACATCGACTTGATCCTGCCCAAAAAGGACTCGTACCGCATCGCCAAGTGGTAGGCTGTGGCCTTTTATTTATTAGACCCGGATACCACATTACCTTTCCCCAATATCTTGCACAGCCACGACCACATCGAACTCCTGCTGAATGGAGCCGGCGAACAGGTGTTCTTCCGCCATCGCGATGGCCCCTGGATGCCCACGTTGCGGCTCCTGCACAAGTTCCCCTATTTTGTGACCATGCAGCAGGTGGACAAGGGAGCCATCCGGTTCGTCTTGAGCGGAGCAAACGTCATGTGCCCGGGTCTGACCTCTCCGGGCGCCTGCATGACCCCGGCGGATAAGAGCACCGTGGTGGCCATCATGGCCGAGGGCAAGGAGCACGCGTTGGCCATTGGACTCCTCACACTGTCCACAGAGGAAATGTAAGTGATTGAAACTGCGTCCCCAGTTAGACTTTATTTCCATTATAGTTATATGTTTTCAAAGTACTTGCTTTATCTCTAAATGGGTTGCAAGTACTTAGAGTTCTTACTTCTAGTTCAGCCCAAAACTATATATACACAGTTTATTTGTTTTCTAAGTTAGCTTAACAGTTGAACTGAATAGTTTGTAAGGAGTCCTTTTTGCTAGTTTACTAGATTCTATTAAATTTCTTCGGTTAAGAGAGAATATGTGTTAGCTGCAGTAGCTCTTAACTTGTGTAAAGCTTTCAGATTTTTATAGAATTAGAGAGAACTCAATATCTCTGGCCAATTTGCTTTACTTCAATAACCAATGAACACATTTATCTTCCCGTTTCCACAGTCTGGCAAAGAACAAGGGCATCGGCATCGAGACGTACCACTTCCTAAACGACGGCCTGTGGAAGTCGAAGCCCGTGAAGTAGGCGAATTAGGAATCTGCAAATGCACTTTTTAGTCTTCTATGTCATGAGAGCAAAGAATGGTTTTGATATATGCAACTGAATCCTGTTTATTATTTTTTCTGTCCTAATATAACTGTCAGTTAAACTACTTAAATTAATGCGAAACATAATTAAAGGCATTTAAAGCAAGAAGGGAAGCTAGCTTCGGCGAGCCGAAGCTTATTTACCCTTGCAGCCATGACAATGGCGAGCATAAAGGTTAAACAATATCGGAGCTAACACCGGTTGTTCCTATGACCGCTATATGATATAGTCATCCGATTTTCATTTATATGTACAAATCAAGAATATGTATACCTTATGGGGTCCGAGGTGTCTCCTTCTGAATGAAATTATAATACCCTTTGCAAGGGTATAATGAACATAGAGAGAGAGAGAGATAACAAGAGAAAAGAACTGAGCACGGAAACCACCTGTAGAAATCGTGAAAGGTGTTGAGATAAATGAATTCAATTCTTTATCCTCGGATTGGAGCAGATATAACTAATTAATTAAGGAGCCGACTGTCTATTTAATTAGCTTGCTTTATTGATTTGTCAATAAATCAAGAAAATTAAGCCTTAGTTACATTTTCTCCAGGGCTGCACACATTTAAATGAAAATCTCAAGGTTATTGGGTATTAGGAACTTAAGTGAGAACTTTAGTTCGAAGTTCGGAAAGATTTGAATATCCTAATGTGAAAACTTTAGTGTTTTGTTTCGAAGAAACAAACAAAGTTAAAAAACCAACACCCAATTCAGTGTTTGTCGATCCATATGTTGGGCCACTTCATACTGACCCATCGCAAAAATCATAGCATACTTTCTGGAAACTTAAAAAAATTTGCTTTTCTGACCAATACGTTTGATTGAAAGGCATACATTTCTTATGTAAATGGGAATATAAAATACATCCGGTGTTTCCTTGGGCCAAAATGCTCCTTCTTTCAAACTGGCAATGCCACCCTTTTTTTAAGTTTCAGCTGGCCGATAAACTGTACAATCGAACAGCTGTTGCAGCGACATGCGCACTCCTACGCCTAACGGTACTCCATGGCCTGTGCGCACTCCGCCGTAAATGGTGAAAGTGCTTTCCTTTCGCGTCACACAGCATTTGTCGCATCCAACGGCAAGTGCAGCGTCTTTTCCCTCGGAGAAGGCAAAAAGAAAGTTGGAAAAAAACATTAGGATAAGAAGCAAACAGAAACCACAAGTGGTGGCACGCATAATGGCCAAGATCGAGCGTCAAAATGGTAACTTCCGATGAGTAATCACAGGGAAAGTGTTAATAGAACTGCTAAAATTACTTGACATATGGATTTTTTTTGAAAACGTACCGCTGCAGTGCCCACTGCATTGTTCGCCTTCATGGGCTTGTGTGTCTGTGTGTGAAAGTAGGAAAAAGTTTTTCAAGGAAAACGGATACACACTGTTTGAACTTTTTGAAGGTGCACAATTGCATTGTGTGTGCAAAAGTTTTTTAGAAGTGCAAAAGTGACGTGACGCGAAAACACGACACATACGAGCGCACACATCAAAACTTTATTGCATGTGTGTCTGCGTGTGCGTGTGTGTGTGTGTGTGCATACAGATGGCAGCAATATGTATATGTTAACGTATATAAAACATTACATTTTAGATTTGTTTGTATTGATTTTACTACTATTTTTTAGGAGCTTTGTGAATTGTTGTTGCCACTACCAATAACAACATAACACACACACTACTAAGGATACTTGGGCTAACACGCACACACGCAATCGACTGTTTGAGTGTTGGAAAGAGAGCAGCAATATGGAGGACCTCTTCTTACTTGTTATCAAGGAATCAACGGGAACTAAACACAATGCGCTGCGACAAACGGCGCAAATCGCTTACGGTAAGTTTTCCAATTCGCTTTTTGGCCATATGTCTGTGAATTACATTTATGGTTAAAAAGGGGGAAAGAGAGATAGAGCGAAAATAGCGTACCGTTCTCACTTTCTCTTTTGCTTAAAAGTTTGTTGTTTAGCGTTAGTTGCTACTTTCTGGTTAATATTAGTTCAATTTCTAAACTGCATATTTTGTATTCTATTCCATGCACAACATTGCAACACACAACTAAATCTTTTTTATTTCCTATTGAGTATCTGACTGTGGCTTTGTGTGTTTTGTGTTAGTGTTGCTGAAAAGTAGGCAACGAATCGGGGCAGTTTCCGCATTATCAGGACAGATTTATTGTCTTCTAAAAGTTTACCGTTAATCGACTATTTAAAGGCTTTTTTTGTATTGGTACCATAAGGTGCATTCAGGAGAAACAAACTATAAAAGTGTATCCGCAAATAATATATTAACTCCTGAAACTTATTCTCCGTGCAGATAAACTCTACCGCCAGCATGGAATCCACCGGGATCCTTCGCATGAGCTGCGCTCCGTTTGCTTTACCGCCCTGCAGATGGCGCTGGACACAAAGCGGCCCAAGTTCATCACGATGGGACTCAACGGCCTTCATGTAAGTGCAGTGCCCGGAACTGGTGATTATCGGGGGAGGGGCTATGATAATAGGGCCAACAATGGCCATTTCAACCACTGACACACTTTTCCGGCCGGAACTTCCGCCGCACAAGGCGGATTTATCATTCCGTGTGCACACACTGGACACCGGACAAAGGACATGGGATATGGGATGTGGGATTTTGAGCATGCGACCTGGTATATGGCATATCTGGGACATTCAGGGGGCAATGGGCGGAATCGGCTAATTGCCGGGAGTCCCCGGGGGTCGGAAGTGACTTTTGTTTATGACTGGTTAACAAAATGGTAATCAATAGTTCCGAACTTGGTCCTGTATTATGATGTTTTCCTTGTTTCTGGCTGTATTCCACTGCCCCACTCCATCCGTTCTCTTCCAATTTACTTATGCTTATATTTTATTCAGAGACTCTTAACTTGAGAGTCTTAAGTAACAAACATTTTCCTTGATGCCATCTTCTCAATGGGTATTGTTTCAGTACCCAATAATTTTTTTCCGATTCCTCTCCTTTAAAAACATTCCTGCCATATATTTGTTACCTAATCGCTATTAATCGGTTTTCCTGTTGCGATCTTATCAGCGTGTCATCAAGGACGAGCGCTTCTACATCGGCCTTGAGCCGGAGGACGACTCCGTTTGGCTGCCATCGCAGCTCCTTAGGGCCACCAACGGCATCCTGCCGTCGACGAGCAGCGAGGACACGGTGGTCAACGTGCTCCGGCTCTTCCTGGCCATGGCCTGCTCCCCTGCCTGCACCCTAAACGGTCGCCTGCTGATCGAGATCCTCTCCAGATGCGGCGAGTGCTGGGAGATGGGTTCGCGGGCCACCAAGGCCGCTTCCTTGGCCGCCGCCTCGCAGTGCCTTCGCACCTTTTGCGCCTTCCTCATCGAGGAGGCCGAGGAGGTGAAGAAGACAGCGCCCGCCGGCCTGATGACCCAAACGCAGGCCTCCGCCGTCTACAACGAGGTCATCCCGGTGATGCAGTGGCTCTGCAGTCGCCTCGTCGAGCCCAACGTGAATGCCTCGCCGAACAAGAAGTGCGAGAACCACAGCTCGCTGTACCTCACCGAGTGCATCCTCACCTTGAGCTCGGCTCTGCCCAGGAATGTCCATGCCAATCCGCACTTCACCTCGTTTCTTTGGCAGAAGTTCTGCCCCACTTTAGCGGCGGCCCTGGGCTCTCCCGGCAGGATCAACCTGGACAAGAAGTTTACCTACAAGTAAGTGAAAACCTGGAACAAATCAGAGGATTTTCATTTTATTATGATTCTTATTTCCTTCAGGGACGCACTGCACATGATTGAGAACGAGGCGCGCGGCTTTTTCACAGGTCCTGGCTTAGATGGTCCCCAGGCTCGTTGCGTCTACTTGACCGCCATCCAGTTGCTGCGGATTGCCGGTGCCCATGGCTCACTGCGGCCCATGCTGGAGGCTCTGTTCCATCGGATGCTCCTGCTGCCAGCTCCGCAGAATCGAACCGAACCGCTCCGCTGCGTGAGGGAAATCTTCAAGAGTCCCGAGCGCCTCATCGATCTGGCGGTCATCCTTTATGTGGACAAAAACACCGCCCAGGGATGCAGCGATGAGATGGCGCTTTTTCGACTGTAAGTGCATCAATTAAAAAAACGAAATGCAATTCAAAAAGAATTAAAATACAGATCTTGCTCAAGAATGCTTATAAAGTTTCTAAGTTTTGAATATAAGTATTGGTTATTTTTAAGCCGGATTATATTGTGTGTTGTGTTCCCTTTTCAGGCTGGTCGACGCCATGGAGGAGTGTGCCTACGGAGCCAGTGGCGTGGGCTCCGCCACGGAGGCCAGCCTGCAGGCCAGTGTGGAGTGCATGGTGGCCCTGCTGGACAGTCTGCAGGTGCTCTGCAGCGGCGAGCTGACCGAGTCGATGATCAGCGACCAGATAGTGCAGGTGGTCAACGGACGGCACGACCTGCTCAAGGATGCCGACTACTCCGGGCCACTGACCTACCAAAGCATGGCCCGGCTGCCCGCTCCGTATCGCGATGCCATCGTGGAGTTCCGGCAGAACGTGTTCGAGACCTCGTCGGGATCGGAGAGCGAGGGCGAGCCGCCGCACGAACAGGACGCGGCCTCCAACGGCTCCGGGGACACCGAAGGTCCCGAGGACGACGACCCCAGCAGCTCCAGCGACGAGACGTCGCGCGTGGAGAACCGCTGGCCATACTCGCACCTGGAGGCTCCCGTAATGCCCATACGAACCGATAGCGACAACGATCGGCAGCATGCCCGCGATTTCGCCAGGGCTTTGAGGCAGGATCTGGTGCCGAAGCTCCTGCGACTGCGCAGCTGCGTGGAGCTGGACGAGGCGATGCAGGAGTTCGCCTCGGCCGTCTGCCAGGAGAACAGCATGAACTTCTCGGACTTTGACTACAACCTGACCGCCATCAATGCGGACGGCATCTACCTGGCCATCTACTCGTCGCTCCTGCTCAGCCTGCAGCTGATGCGTGCCGGCTACTACGAGCAGGTGGCCCAGGGCATGTCCCACAAGGACATCCTGGTGCCGATGTCGGAGCAGCAGTTCGTCACCTCGGTGCAGAACACCGGCGTCCTCGTCTATCTCTCCTCGCCGTGGCTGTGCGAGCTCTACCAGTCGGTGACCGTGTGCAACGTCTTGGAGGCCATGCCCCGCCAGCAGCTGGAGGGGATGGGGCCGCGCTGCGCCCTCGTCGACATGCTGTGCGATGCCGGCGGACTGGGCGCCACCCAGATGCTGTCCGAGTGGCAGCGCCTGCAGACGGCCAACGTGAAGCACAAGGAGGAGGAGCAGCTGCACGACAAACGGCGCGAGGCCGCCAAGAAGCTGTGCCGGCGCCTGCTCACCTGCTGCTGGGAGTCCATGGTCATCGTGCTGAGCTCGGGGCTGGGGGATCTGCAGACCAGTTCGGCCTCCAACAAGCTGGTGGCCCTGTCCAAGCGAACACTGCGGGTCAAGGCCAAGGCGAACAAATCGAACGGCGAGGCTCTGTACGCCATGTGTCTGGATGGACTGCATTCGGTGAGAACTTTTGAGGATTTCCACTTCTCAAATGCCTTATAATTCGAGACTTTTTGTGTCCTCAGGCCGCAACGCTCAGCAACAGTTTGAATCTGCAGCATTTGGCCGGGAAAATACTTAACCTGCTGGCCTCCAATGTCTGCCAGACTTCCGGACCCCGGATCTCCGCCAGCCAGGCCATGTCCATGGACGTGGTGCTCACCGGCGGCCTGAATCTCGGCAGCTACAGCGCCGATTGTTGGCCGAGCATCTTCGCAGTCTGCCGGCACGTCAGCCAGCTGGAGCACGAGATCTTCAGCATGCAAAACTCGGCCATATCCGCCTCTCCGGGCAGCAGCCGCCGGGACCTCGAAACGGGCGAAAAGCTGAGCAACGGCAACACCCAGGACAAGCTCAATCTCTCCTCCATACCCATCGACGATGATGAGACCTGGTATTTATGGCATTTACTTACTCATTTATCCCTGAGTGCTGATCAACTCTCTCTTCATTAGCGTGGATGTGTACAGCTTCCTGCAAGCGCCCATGCAGAGTCCCAACACGAACATCACCTCGATTTTGAAGGTCTACTCCGGAACGAATGAGACAGTGCTGCTCAGCCAGAGCGACACCTCGAAGGTGCTCTGCGCCCTGTCCCACCAGGCGGAGAACCTCTTCGGAGACGCCGCCGAGAGGCTCAGCTTGCCCTCGCTGTGCCAGTTCCTAAAGCACCTGTGCCGCGCCTCCAGGGAGCAGCTCTACAAGAGCCAGGTGGCGCGCAAGGGCAGTCGCATCTGGTGGCCCAGCAAGGGCTGGAAGAAGCTCGACTCGCTGCCCATGTCCCTGCTCCTCCACCGGATCGGCGACGTCACGCTCAAGGTGTTCCGCAGCTCGCGACCTCTGCTGCACGTGCTCAAGGTCTGGGCCATCACAGGACCGCATCTCATGGATGTGAGTAGAATCCTACATTTCGAAAATACTTGCACATTTTTAGATGATGATTAAACGATGACTCCCCGAAAAAAAGTTAACAATCATCGGATTGTTTAAAGGGAGGTATTTTCCTTAATGTTTCTTGGCTTTAAAAGAAGTTCCATAGCGACTTTTAAATTAACAAAATTTTATTTGAAAATTTTGTGAAATATGTAATTAGATTTTTTTAAATGAAAAAAGTTGATATGCAACTTTTTTATTGCCAGAAAATGTAGAAGAAAACACCTTCATCCAATTTCTTAGGTCATTAATCAGGAAGAATTAATTATTTGATCTCCATGCACAATTTTTATTTATTTATTTTTGTTGTTTCTAGAACAGTGTATTTTGTTTTATACTCCTTTGAAATGTTCTTCGATTGACAGCGATTGTTAAAGTGATTTAAAGCCACTTTAATAGACTTTTATTTAATCAACTTTCTTATACACTCCTGCTATTATTCCGAATGTGTTGTATCCTCGCTTGTTCGTTAATTACCTCATGAATTATATTGTGAAACTTGCAACTTAAAGGCCGCCTGTCACCGGGACCGGATGATTTCGAAGCGGGCGATCGAGTACATCCACGACATAATCACCGCCCTCCTGGTGGAGCAGTCGGAGCTGCCGTACTTTCACTTCAACGAAGCGCTGCTCAAGCCGTTCGAGAACCTGCTGAGCATGGACACGGACGTGGATGTGCAGGACCAGATTGTGGCCTGCCTGTACGAGGTGGTGGAGGCACATCGCACCGAGATCCGCTCCGGCTGGCGACCTCTGTTCGGAACCCTGCGGAACGCGCGCAGTCGGATGCTGAACATGAGCAACATCATTGACATCTTTCGGGTTTTCCTCGATTCGGACAACACGCTGGTGTTTGCCAACGCGGGATTGGATTGCATCCTGTGCCTGCTCTCCTATCTGGAGATATCCGGCGGGGGAAATAACAATGCCTGCTCCGGTGGAAACGGAAACACAGCGGGGGGAACCGGAGTGAATGGTGGCGGTGGACAGCAGGAGGAGGACAACACGTTCCGGCCCACGGACTTCCTCCATGAGACGCTCCGCTTCCTGGAGCGCTGCTCCAGCATTCTCGGCTTCATGCACAGCATGCCCAAGTGCCCCAACTTCCATTCGACGTACAAGATCAAGGGCATCTCCTACACGCACATCATCGACGCGAACATACCGAGTTCGATGGAGAACTTCACCTACTTCGGCAACGACTACCTGCAGACGCGGAACGAGCAGTACATGATCTCCTACCGGTCGCTGCACATCGACAAGGACACCATTGTCAAGATCGACGAGATGGACAAGCCGTCGGGAGTGCTCAAGGTGTGGTTCCTGCTGCTCGACGGGCTGACCAACTCGCTGATCGTCTGCCCCTACTCCCACCAGGCGCCCATCCTGCAGACGATCTTCAAGCTGTTCAAGAACCTCCTGGCCAGCCCGGGCATCGACTTCGGCTTCTACTGCATCAACCACCTGCTGGTGCCGATGATCCAGGACTGGCTGCGCTACATCAACAAGACGGGCGCCTCCTGGCAGCTGGTGGAGAAGAACTTCAAGCACTGCTGCTGCATGACCACCGACCTGGTGGTGGAGTTCATCGAGAAGTCGGTGCCGGAACAGCGGCGTCTGGGAGCGGGCACCAAGACGCGCCTGGCCCAGATCGTTCACCCGGCGGACAATCTGCTGTACTCCAAGCTGAAGTTCGTGACCGAGAAGATTGAGAGGGAGCAGAAGCAGCAGTCGCCGCCTGTCCAGGATCAGGGATGCAGATACAACCAGCAGTACGACAGCAGCTCCAGCTCCGCCAGCGAGGAGCAGCAGAAGAACGGCGGTGGCTCGAACGGGGGATCCAATCTCATCGAGTCGCCCACCAAGATCTCGGGATCGGCCACACTGGCCTTGAAGCAACTGCTGCTGGTCCTCATCGAATGCGCCGCCCAGTCGCAGGAGGCGATTGCCCGGATCTCCGTGTCCTGCCTCAAGCACGTCATCCTGTCCACCGGCATGCTCTTCAACGAGTCCCAGTGGATGATCGCCTGCTCGGCCATCCACCGCGCCTGCACCGTAACAATCGCTCCGCTGCGCCAGCTCTCGTTCGCCTTCCACGAGAAGTCGAACAGCTTCTACGGGGACTGCGCCAACGTGAAGGTGGCTGCCCGGCGGGACAGCAGCCTGGAGGAGCTGGCCAGGATCTACGCGCTGGCGCAGCAGGTCTTTCTGTCGGACAATCAACGGGAGCCCAGCCAGAACCTGGCCTCCACGCCCAGTGCCTCGCAGTGCAAGTTGTCCGACGACAGGAGCTACTCCTTCCTGCTTTACCCCCTGAACAATGGGTTCAACTCGAACCTGGACAACTTTGTGATCCGGATCCCGTTCAAGAATCTGGTCGTGGGCCTGCTGGCCAACCAGATGCTGCTCCAACTGGTGGCCAAGCTGCTGCTGTCGCGGTTGAAGTGCGTGCCCCAGGCGGTGTCCACCTGCATCTTCGACAACTACGCAGCCTCGGCGGCTTCCCCCAGCCACGATTACGACTTGGACTTCCGCTCCAAGGAGATACTGCTGCGCTGCGTCAAGCAGTACCTGATGTCCGCCCTGGAGTTCGACTCGCGTCCCGGTCTCAAGTTCCTCATGCAGAAGGTGTCGAACATTGAGTACGCGGCCAATTTGTACAAGCAGATGACCTCGTCGTGGATGATCTACTACATAGCGCTGGTGGACTCGCATCTCAACGACATTGTAGTGTACAACCTAGGGCCGGAGGACCTTAACTTCATCCTGGAGTCCTGCTCCCGACTGAACACCACCACAGTTAAGAAGAAGGAGAACTTTGTGCGGTACCTGTTCTGTCTGCAGGATGCCTGGAATCTGGTCTGCGAACTGTATCTAAGCAACTCCGCGCTTCATGAGATCGAGAGTGGGTCGGGAAAGCTGCGCCAGAAGCCACTGCAAGTGCACCACCATCCGCAGAGCAAGCCCATGTGCATCTCTCTGAACGGGAATGGAGATGCCGAGATGACGGATACGGGCTCGGGTTTGGGATCGGGATCGGGATCGGGATCAGGATCTGGATCTGGATCCGGGAGCAGCACCTCGCCCAGCAAGTGCGTCCAGCTTCAGGAGGAAGAGAACGTCACCATGACCACGCTGATCAGCGAGTTTCAACCGAAATGCCGAAACAATCCCTTCGACACCAATCGGCAGGCGAAGTCATCGGAGGCCGAGTCAATATCGCCGGAAATCGAACAGCAGCGAGCCAGCAGCATCCTAAAGGACTCCAACTACAAGAGGGCTGCCTTGGCCCAGCTGGTGGTGGCCTCCATGGAGCTGCTGCGTTCGCTGCCCGGCGAAGCCGAGGACAATCTCAAGCTCCTGATGACCCCGACCATTCGCGAGGCCTTCCGCCTCGTCCAGCTGCAGGGCAACGAGCTGAAGGTCAACCAGTTTTAGGCCATGCTTGTTGAGTTTTATTTTGATCTGTAGGCGCAGCCCCTGCCCCTACCAAATGATCCTTCCTGCTCCCTTCAGAAGTCCCCGAAACGCGATCCCTCAAAGTAATCCCCTTACCGCCCCCCTCCCACTCCCCGAATGGCTAATTTACAGCTACGTCTGCATCTCATGCTCTCTCTGACTCACTCTGTTCCTATCTGTCTTTCTCTCTCTACAAATGGGAAACCTCGCTTCAGTGTGGCCAATTTAAGATCGCGAATACGTTAATCTAGCCTTTTTGATTTAACACGCCTTTGTGTATGTATTAGTTGTTTCTAAATAGATTTCCAATAACAGTCGTTTTGAAAATGCCTTCAGATTATTGTATCAGTATTATCTTCTTAAATGCAAAGGCAACAAATAGTGTAAGTGTTGCAGTACAATTAAGTTTCGTTTGCTTTCCATACAAAGTTGGTCACACTGATCGCAGACTCTCCATCTGTCCCTCTCTCGCCCGCAGTACCCAGCACAGCAGGCAAAACCATTTCAAAGTAAAAGCTCAACATGCCAGCACAAAAAGCAAAACTATCAAAAGTACAACAAGAACAATGTCGAAGCGATGCAAGAATATCATATATATTTATATATATATAGAGTACTTCCTTGCGATTAGAGGATAAAGATGATGATGAAGCGTAGACAACGTAGTCCTGTACATTAAATTAAGTCCAGACTTTCTCACACTTAGCCCCTGCACCGCCCCCGCTCCCCGCTCCCCCATCTGTCCTCTGTCCTCTAGCCTCCAACCACGCCCTTTTCCCAGCACTTATCGACTTCGAATAATGTAAAGATGTATCAGGGAGCACCAGCCCCGCCCACAAAACCAGTAAATTATATATATATACATTATACGAGTATATACAGTACATATATACATTAAGAGTGTAACCTATGTAAACTTATAGCGAATGTTAACTAACACAAAATCAGTGCCGCCCATTAATCCACGATTACCACCATTAAAGATTAGATCACACAAGCATACACATAGAGCCTGTACTAAAACATATGTGTGTCCAAGTAGTCCCGCGCTGCCTTCAAAAAAAAACTTGCATACTTTTGTACCAGTGTGCGTACCTAAGAGAGAAATGGAAAATATCGAAAGCAACATAGCCGAACAAATTCTAGCCACCTTGCTGCACTATCGAAGCTTATTAGCCTACATTTTTGCGCCACACGCATACATACATACAATATACACACAATATCAGGGCTCAAGAAAGGGGGCTCCGAAAACTCTGGGTTCTCCTGTCTCTGTCCCACCATCGGTTTACCCTGCGCATAGCTGATAGCGATAATTATACCGATACCTACATACATATACATACAAACAGCTACGTACAGTTACATATATGCCTATATAAAGATCCAAAGAGTTATATATCTATACATTGATATAAATAAATGTACTTATATGTATTATAGTTGCCACTTGGGTATGAATGTTGTATGTAAATGTCCTACAAAGGAAACATTTTTATATGTGAAACTATTAGAAACGGCGCTACAAATCTATACATATACTATACATATAAATATATATACATATACATTTATTTTCGCTTCGTCGTAAAAAGTATATACATATAGATATACATATATATAATATAAATAGAGAACTATGTACTTGTGTTATTTACTTGCCCATCTCAACTCTCTCAATCTATCTCTCTTTATTGACTTATAAGTGTAAGTGCGAAGAGTGCTGTTGCAGAGCAGGAAGAAAATATAAAAATTGCTCTAGGCTAGTACTAAAACTCTCCAAGAGTGCATTTCTAACAAGAATGAGAATAAACGATTCCACAACGCTTTCGCAACTTTACTAAACAATTGCTCCTTGTGTGTTATTTATTGAAGAATTCAAAACGGGGCGCCCCGAAATTGTTATGGTCACACTGCAGCTTTTGCAATAAGAGTGCCCAGCGCTGCAAGTTCATCGATCCATGCTGATAATAGTTACTTTTTGAAAGTCTGGCAGCGCCGGCGCAAAGCAGTCGAAAACTGGTTTGGCACTAGCTTTTTGGTATCTTTCGCTTCCCCAATTGCGCGGTCACTTTGACGACGGCTCCAACTTTTTGCCGCCTCAATTTGTCGTCGCCACTCGCGAGATTCGATTCGTTGGTCCCGAAAAGCGCGTCCCCAAAATAGATAACTTCATACTTCGTCTCCCGTTTTCCCGAAGAAGAAAAGCGCGTTGCTGGCTTAAATTATCTACTTCAACTCGTGCGTTTTTTTTATTTATTTTTGAAGTGTGTTAATTCGATTTGGGGCCATCAAAAAAAAAGTGCTGAGAGTGCTGGGGGCACACGAAACGCTGCACCTGTCTCACCTGAGCGCCTCAAGCCACAAAAGTGTAAAGTGCAGCGCGACTATTTCTCTGCCGTTTATTATTTTTGTTGCTTCGAGATCGGAGATTCAGCAAGAATTCTGCGAGCGTGTGTGAGTGTTGTTAGTTTTTATTGCCGCCGCGCTCTAATTGCCAGGTTTCGAGTGGAGAATTCTTCAGCCGCTTCTCCCACTTCTTTGGACGCCCGCACCGCAAATGAGGTAAAAAACAATAAATAAGCTAAGCTAAATACTCAAGCAAGTAGCCTAAGAAATGCACTACCAGCAGACTGGATAAGAAGTGGCTAAAGGTTTCAATGGAGTTTTCAAAGAGTCAAACTTTCTTGTGTTCAAAACCCCTGTTTATTAAAAACATTTCTTGATGTTTGGTGGGCAAACAACAAATCTTTAATTCCAAACAATACTTATGAAATTTAAGATATAGAGAGAACCGTTTATTGATTATTTTTGCAGCTATCTATTTCTCCAATATTTTTGAAAACAGTATTGATGTTTTGTATTACTTATTCTTCTATTATGAGTATGAGTTGCGTTTGAACTTGCAATTTGGTGCCTTGGTTTTTCTGTTATTGTTAGTTGTTGTCTTGGAAGCCGTCAGATGTAAACCGCTTAACGGGCGACACACTTTTTTGTTATTAATAAATAATGCGTTTGTTGTCGGCCGGCCTTCAACTGTATCGTTTGTTATTGTTACCCACATCAATGATGCTGCTGTATCTTCATGTTCGATTTGCTCTAAATACTTTGGGGCTCAGGAAAAGATCTGGAGTAACAAATAGAAGAGAGTTATTTTAGTCAATTTCTAGGTCCGAGAACACCTGATACTCTTTAAAACATAGAAGTTTGCTTATGCTGGTGGCATTTGATGTTTCAGCTTTGATTTACTTGAAATATCGAAGCTAAAAACTGTACTCTAGGGATTGAAAAACTATGGTTGAGAGAAAATGTGTCCCAAGACTCCGCCTTGCGGGTGATAAACGAGAATCTCGGACACCGCAGCGACTTCCTAGAAAACGGGCGAGAGCTAATGCCTGGTTATGATTGATGGACTGGCCAACTGATTGGGCCGCCTGATTGAGCATTGCATCTTGGGCTTATGCAATTCCCGCCAGCAGTTCGGACACCGGAGCCGCAGACTCGCACTCGCACTCGCACTGGCACTCACCTGGTGAGCACCTGGCCAATGAGCCAATGAGCCAATGAGCCTGCGGTGAGTTTGAAACCCCAGCAATAACAATAACAGGCACACTTCGGCTGGCAAACGGCAAACGGAGTCCCACAAAACGACGGCGACTTTCCAATGACCACAGCTTGTGGGCCAATCGGTTAATTGCATTTCCTGGCCACCTCGTCATCGTTATTCATCGTCGTCATAGTCATCGTCATCGTCATCGTCATCTTTGCGAATGGCCATCACCTCATCCACATCATCGGTTCCATCTGCGGGAAAACCATTCCCATGATGGTGGGGCGTTAATGCCGCTTTAATTACCCGGACTGTTCGGCCGGGACCTCGGATCTCGGGATCTGCAATGCATTGCATTGCACATGCAAATTGCCAAATGGAAAATGCCAATTCACGTTCCGCGTATCTTATAGATACACAAAATTAAAATTATAATAAAAAGCAAAGAGGCAAGAAACAGTTGCCGAGTCTGCCTTCGGCTGCCTAGGCTGGCTTTTAAACTCGGCTCGGCTGAGCTCCTTTTGTAATTCAAGCCACCGCACCACCAGCTGCACCACACCGAGAGAAAATCCCTTCTCAGCTAGAAAGACTTTTTAGAAGTAGCAATAGTTCGTAAAACAGAAATGTTCTGGAAAGGTTTCGAAATTATAGCAGTATTATCAGATAACCATTAAGCTCATTGAGCAGCATCTATCAATTGAAACTTACCTCTTAAGCCTGTCTATACTCTGCTATATCTACTCGAAATGTTTTCGGTGCAGCAAGCAACGGCCTGGGCAACCAGTTCGCCTCGCCGCCCAGTTAGCCTCAGATGGTATTTCTGCCAGGCGGACAGACGGACAAACGGACAGACGGACGGACACTCGGCGGCGACTCTCGGACTGGTTGGGTTTTCTACTGCGACTGGCATTTGTGGCATAGGATAAGCCTTTTAGCCAACTTAACCCACTGGCAGCAGCCTCTGATAAATTAGCGAAAAGCAAACGATTGCTTAGTTGTTTTTCTAAGGCAATTAGAGCATAATTGTATTGGCGTTGCACTCAGATATTTTTCATGATTGCGAACCATATTTTGCATAAATTGTTTCAGTTTGTGTGTGCTTTTCTCAGAGGTTACAAAATGCTGTGGAAGAATTAAGGCGCAAGAGACCAAGGGTAGTAAATGAGTACTACTCACTACATATTTCAGCAATCTCTAGAATTTCCCGGCTTGATTTTGCTATTGCTGTGGCGAGAAGATGACGATCTGCAGATGGCTTCAGCCAGAGCCGCGCCCATCCAATCCAGTTTGGTCCGCAACTTGCAATCCGTTCCTGCGCCCACAAACAAACGCTCAGAAGTGGCAGCTGGGCCGCCAGCTGTGGCAGCATATGGAGGCTGCCCCTTGTCTCCATCGCCATCTCCATCTCCATTTTGATCTTCAGCCGAATTTGAATCTGAATCTGCATCTGAATCTGAATCTCCTTCGCCTTCGTTGCATTTTTCACAGCTGTTTCGCGTGGGCAAGCCAAGAGGTTGGACAAAAAGGGATTGCGATTGGGTAGAGGGGTACACAGTGAGTAAATTATTCAAATACCAGCTACCCATTCATTAGCAGATTGATTTATTCAATTCGTGGAAATTGGTTTGAGATTGGTAGTTCTTAATATTATTTACTTTTTAAATACTTCCAAAGTTCTTGTGTCTTGTGTATTAATATAAAAGTTAGTGTTTCTGCGTAACCCTTTTTTTTGGCTGTGTAAAATTCGAGTAGGAACGGGGCAGCTCGGCTCTTCACTTAAAACCAACACCCTCGATAGCAAACAGACACAACCGAGACTGAAACTGAAAACGGCAACTGCATATCATCAATTTATGCAAAACAATTCAATTTTTGCCGCCATCAGCGGTCATTTACCCCTTTTGCAACTCCCTCCAGTTTTTTTCTGTATTTTTTTTTTTTTAATTTAGCGGCACCCATAATTTTGCTTAGGGCGCAAACGTACTTGAAACAATGTTTCGTGTCCCGCCTTGGACAAAAAGTTGTTCAATCTTTCACACGCTGCAAGTGGGTGGCTGCAACAGCAACAGCAACCACAGACGACACACAGCTGCAACACCAAGACCACCACCACCAACAACAACAACAACAATAACTCGTTGCTGCAGCAGGTGTGTGGGAATCTTGGCCAAATAGCAAAAGTTCAATAGCAACAACGGCAACACTTGATGATGCGATAGTTGCTGCTTGCCACTGATGATGTTGCTGGATGTTGTGGTGTTTATAGTGTTTCTGTTGCTGTTGCTGTTGTTGTTGCTGCTGCTTTTGCATTTTGCCTCCGAAAATCCAAAGTAAACACCAGCAATGCCGCCATTGTGCAGCTGCTGGGCGGGAATGTTGCTGGTGTCGCTGTTGCTGTTGCTGGTGTTGCTGTTGATGATGTTGCTTGTGCGACTGCCAATTTTCAGCTGACGCAATCAGCCAAATGAAGAGTTAGGCAGCACCGCCGATCTCATCGTGCACGCAATCAAACTGTGAATGATTTCAAGCGCGAAATTCAGCGCGTTTTGCCTGCCGACGGTTTCACCAGAGGCTGATATTGCTGCTTTGTCAGTGTCCCATTGCCACACACAGCAGGTTTAATCCAAAGCATCGGTCTTGAATTCAAATCCCCTAAAGAAATTCCGTTATCAGGATATAATTTACTCTATTTTTATAATGTTTAATATGCTTAAGCCAGTTTTTATACTTTCCTTACTTGTTGTTAACAAAGTACACACACTTTTCCTCCACAAAATGCCAGCTAATTGGGAAAGTTCGAGGAGTTGCCCTCCAGTTTGTTAGAGATGTGAAGCAATCCTGGCCAGCTGTTGCATAATCCCCCCTTAATTGGCTGAAGGTGAAAGCTGGCAGACACAGACACAGACACCTTCCTTTAACCCCCACACATCGTTGTTAATGTTCTGCAATTAAAATGAGCCGGAGTAAAAGTGCACAAGGCGCTTTCTCCAGCCGAAGGAGCAGATTCCCAGCCAGCCAGTCGGGTTGCCACTGCAGTGGCTTCCTTGGGCACGACAGCAACATTTGGTATTTATGGAGCTGCCGCGACTCTGCATCACGATTGCCGCCACGGCGCATCCTCCTCGGTGGCATAACCCACGTTTGACATTGCCTGCAAATTTGGCGATAAGCTACCAGCGCACCGGAGTTTTCACCAGAAAAATGCTTCGACTTTGACTTCGACTTTGGCGGAGGAGAGGATGCCGAGATTATCGACAATTTGTCACGTTGGCAGTCGTGCGTTTGCCTGATTGCAGCGGCGGAAGTAAAAGCCTGGACACAGGTGCGCATCAGCAACATCCAGCTGCAGCAACACCAGCAACAGCAACACCAGCAACATGCTACATGCCACATGTATCCATATGCACATGCAAACCATTCAAGCGCACACGTGTGTGTCCAAAAGACGACAAATTCGACGGAAATTTCTCTTTTATTTATTGTTATTTGTGCAGCAGCTGCTCCTGCCTATTCGAATATGAAAATGATTTGAAAAGCACTGGAGAAATGCTGCTGGCGTACGTGCAAATATTTCCATTCGTTGCCTGCCACTGACACGTGAGCAATTAAAGCATGCCCAATGAACTCATAATTATAGGCATAATTTAAGGCAAGGCAGGCAGCAACAAAATTGTGCCTCTTGCGTTGCAGCAATCTTCAAAACGAATGACTTAGGCAACGAACGCGCCACTTCGCCAGCCAGCGAGATAAATCTGTTTAACGATCCAGCTCGGGTATTTAACATCACTCGAAGTGGATGTCTCCCTCTGAAAAAAAAAACAAAAAACATTGATTTAAGATTAGCCAACTGAACAATGCGCAAGGCAATTGTGTGGCAATCGGGGTTGCCCTTGAGTATATAGAAAACAAATCACAGAAATATAACAGCTTATACTCATCACTTTGATTAGAAAAGATTGTTTATGATTTTAGTAAAGAAGGATAGAACCCCTATCTTTGTTATAATGATTAATTAAGAAGTTGAAGGAGAAAACTGTGCGTTGACACCCATGTGACATATAGAACCCGATCGCTCATCGAACCCGAACGACTTTCCCTCGATCATGACTCAGGGTTATAATAATAATAAAACCGGCATCGTACTTCACTTTTCAGAGAAGTGAAATTCCGAGCGAAGAACTGACGAACTGACGATGAAATAAAATACGATGCCGGGGCGTGATTATCAGTTTAAAGAGAACCCGCTGTTAATGCGAGTCCAACGAATCGCGGTCTCGATCTGGATCGGAATGGGAAAACACTTTACGCGCTTGTCACGCACATGTAATGCGGAGAACACACTGTAAGCTACGTGAGTTTACAAAAAAAAATAACAACGAAATATAAAAAGAGTATCGAAAATAAAAAGAAACCCCAACTGGATGCTGGAGCGGCAACAACTGAAAATTATCATATGCAGAGATGCAGAGAAAGTCATGTCCACAAATAATTACTACATTTTAGCTGCCTAAGAAGACGCAGCCGAAAACAAAGCCATAAAAACAAATTTTTTACATGTTTTTTTTTTTTCTTAGCAAAACTGAGAAAATTTCTTTCTGCATTTCCGTGGAATTGCTGAGCATGAAATTCGTATGGAAATAAAAATCAGCCAGTGGTCAGAGCTTGTTATTTCTTGTTGTTGTTGTTCCCCTTGTTTCCCCTTTTTTTTTTGCTTTTTCAATTAAAGTAAGCAAAAGCTGAGCAATTGCCAAACGGAAACCGAACGGAAAGTGTCAACACGGTGGAAAAAGGCCGGGGGAAAGGCAGAAATCTGAGGCGTGACAGGAAGTTGTGGATGCCAGCAACTCATTAGAACTAATTGTGGGGGTCAGACGGGAGGTCAGGGGGCAGGGGGCGGCGGGCAGCGGTACGGCAGTTGCTTTTTAACAGGTGAAAGGCCGTCAAAGACGTTGGCCTTTTTGCTTTTGCTTTTGCTTTGCTTGGTCTTGTTTTGGCTGCCACTTTCTTGCTGCTGCTGCTGCTGCAGTTGTTGGTCAAAACTTAGTTGTATCTGCCAAATAATTTGTGGCGGCCACAGAAACAGAAAATCATTATTATTATTACTTTTTCTTCAATGTTATCATCTGCTGAAAGAAAGGGGAGTGCTGTGGAAGTTTCTGTAAGCGGAAGGTTGCTGCTGGTTGCATGTTGCCGCTTTTCATCGCCATCGCCATTGAGATGCGAGATCCTTGTCTTTTAGGTCAGGAATCTCCTCCACCATTGAGATAAACTCTGAGTTGATTGGCTCTGGGCTTGAACTTAAGCCCCGATAATTGGCGTTAATCGGTGGAATTGTTGGGATGACAAATAGCGAACGGATGTGGCATGAATGCTTGCAACAATTTGTTAACAATTGTGAAATGAATTCGATGTCTGTCTTTTGTTGACAGGGCTCATGTATGTTTTATCTAACGTGTTTTTTTGATTACAACAACTTTTATTTGATTCAATAAATTCAAAAGTACTGAATGATGATTAAAATGACTTCAACTCGACCGAGTATTCGTAATGCGCAATCCCTATTTAATAGAAAATTAAATATGACGGCATCGTTTAATTTCGATGTGATAGTTTTGATAACCGATTGATTAGCAATGATTAGCTCAATCATTTATGTAATTTGCAGAAAACAAGTAAACTCATATAACGAAGGAAAAATGTTTGCGAGTTTTTAAGTACGCCGTTTACATTAACAACCACTTCTTCAGTGTGTGGCTCGATCACACAACCCAATTCTTTATTTTCCAATTATCCATCCATTCGACACACTTTTCCCCCACCATAATTGATCTGCAACCGGCGGGGCCAAGTCCCGATTATCGAATGATTTATATCTTTCCCATTCAGATGGCGATTCGAAATTCCGATTCATATTTCACCATTAGTCGGCGGGCAATTATAAATGTTTTGATCCGAGTAATTGCCGCTTGCGTCAGCAGTTCGCACTAAGTGGGTAACTGAGGCAATTTGGGTTCAGGCCACCGACCACCGACCACCGATCACCTTTCCCCCCGGAATCGTCTTTGGGTAAGTAAGTTGAACTTTGCGAGCCAAATGATTTATGTGGCAGCCGGAGCAACGAATAGCAGGTTGGCCGAATCAACGTGCATTATGCATTATACAGCGGGCCGCTCAGTCCCGATAATAAATTTCTATAATTTTCCCCAGTTTCTTTCTTGCATTTTTGGGCCGCTGCAAGTGAAGCGTAGAATTACGTGAAAAAGTGAAATTATGCGACGGCTCTGCGGCAGTGAATGTAAATTGCCACAGATCTCTGGCTCTCTGGCTTGCCGGCTTACAAACCCACCGACTGGCAGTGGTGCGTGAAAGCAGGCGCCACTGCCTGAGCCACCAGCACCACCAGCACCACTTGTACGCTCAGCGAAAAGCCAAGCCCTAAATATAAATATTCTTATCTCTTTTTGCATGAAAATAGTTTTAAAATTTCCTTTTCTTTAAATCAAATTAATATTTTATTTAAAGATAACCTTTACAATTTGTAAATAAACTAAATGCTTACAATTAATTTCAACAAGTTGTCATGGATTAATGCATTAATATTATAAATGTACTTTCAGTTATTTTTTCAATATATAAGTTCAACAATAATGTGCTCAGTGTACTCGAACCACCAGCAACACCGCCTCTGTCGATGCGTGTGACCCAATTCGGTTATTTCGATTGCAAGTTCAAGTTTTGCTCACTTTATTTATATATAAAGATATGTATGCACATACATATCGCCTTGTGTTCTTCTGATTTCTTTGGTCATTACTTGTCAGGCTGTTCACGTCGCCAATTGGACTTTTAGGAAGGGGAACAAGGAGTTCGGAGCGACGCTCCCCACTTTCTTCGACTTTCGCACGAAGTCAACTTGGTTCGGTTTTTGGCAACGCTTCAAGTGCGTTGGAAAATGCAATGCCACAGATTGTTGTGATTATTTCAATGAATAATTTAGTATCTACAAACACAAATCCACCATCTTTAGTGGTTTTTAATACCAAGTGGTAGTACTACTATATTTTTTGTGGTTTTTAAGTTGTAATTAAGCCAAATAGTGACTTACAGCGGAACCAAACACCTTATGACCACAGTTAACGAGCCCAATCACTTTTTGAACGATTTAAAAAAATTAATTTTTTTGTCAATTTTTCGCATTTTTGGTAAGGGGTAACATCGTCATTTTTTGCGAAAAATTGCCAAATTTTAACAATTTCAGGTGTGAATGCTATCGGATGCAGAATTTTATTACGAATTCATTGGTGTATGCCATTCCACATTTGGAGGAGTACTTTTTGAGATAATGCAAAAAAACTGGGTTATTTGAGCCATTTTATGTTGTTTTAGGAAAAACAAACATTTTTCAATGGTAATTTGTCTGTTGTTTCGCCAAAAAACAACTTACAGCTAAAGAAAGTATAGTTTTTGAAACCAGAGAAGCCCAACAATCTACTCGAAATCCTATCAATAGAAAGAGCCTTTAAATACATCCTAGTTTAACCAAATCCCTTTCAAATCTTCATTCGATTTAACGGTTTTTGGTTGCAGCTGCCTCTGAAGAAGCGCCAGTAAGATGATGACGATGACAGCAGCCGCGGCAGCCTCCATGTCCGCCTCCGCATCCGCTAGCGGGTCGATAGGGAACTCGGCATCGACGGACTGCAGCAGCAGCATGCAGGGATCGACGACCAGCTCGGCGTCCAGCGACGTGATGACCTTGACGACCACGGCGGCCTCCTCGTGGTGTGCCATCCCGACCAGCTCCCGCCTCCGGGTGCTCCGCCTGGTGAGGCCGCACCAGCGCCGGCTCCTCGTGGGCGGACCGGAGCGGGGCAGCACCTACGGGTTCGCGGTGCGCGGGGGACGGGAGCACGGCACCGGGTTCTTCGTCTCCCACGTGGAGCACGGCGGCGAGGCGCAGCTGAAGGGCCTGCGGGTAAGTGGTTCAGTGGGTCAGTGGTTCGGTGGTACAGTGGGACTCCACTAGATCTCCCAGTCACGTAGCAGAACGTGATGGACTCCAGGGCGGGTGTGCCATTCACGTTTCACTTTCCAACGCAGATTGGCGACCAGATCTTGCGGATCAATGGCTTTCGCTTGGACGACGCCGTGCACAAGGAGTTCATCCAGCTGGTTTCTGGCCAGGATCGGGTCACCCTGAAAGTGCGGGGCGTGGGGATGCTGCCCTGCAGAGAGTGAGTGGTATTTTGTGGCATTCCGGAAGGAGTTCTCCATTGTATTTGCTTGCAGCCAAGCGGAGGAGCGCTTGTCGTGGAGCGTGGTGAAGCTGCCCAGCGTGAGCGGCACTCCGTCGGAGAGTTCCTTCAAGGGCGACCGACGTGGCGCCAGTCGGGACATCAGCGTGGTCCTCCACGTGGCGCCCAGGACGAAGCTCGGACTGGGCATCTGCAAGGGTCCCGAGTGGAAGCCGGGCATCTTCGTGCAGTTCACCAAGGAGCGCAGCGTGGCCCGCGAGGCGGGACTCCGCCCTGGCGACCAGATCCTCAGCGTCAACAGCATCGACTTCTCGGACGTCCTCTTCAGCGAGGCGGTGGCCGTGATGAAGAGCAGCAGCAAGCTGGACATGGTGGTGCGCACGGCGGCCGGCTGCGACCTCTTCCCGGGCGAGTCCAGTGGCTACAACAGCTCCGCCAGCTCGGTAACGGGGGACCAGAGTCCCTGCTGGGCGGATGCCAAGTCCAAGCGCCTCACGGCGGTCAGAGAGGAAGCCGGCGGAGGAGGAGGAGGCGGAGGCCTGAGCTCAGCTCCTGGAGCGGCAAGCACCAACTGGCCGCAGGGCGTCGAGGTGCACAAGCAGCTGAACAAGACCATCATCAAGCTGACGGAGAACGGGACCTCCATCAACAACACGTACATAGCCAGCAGCAGTACCGTTTCCGGTTCCGGTTCCTCCGCCAGCGCCAGTGGAACTTCCGGTCGCAGCCAGCAGCAACCGCAAGCGAATCATCCTTCGCGCCACTCAACCACGATGAAGCGCAGCCACCTGAAGTCTGGGAATACGCCGGGTTCCAGGGGATCGGAATCCGCAGGATCTGGATCTGGATCGGGGGAGTTGTCGCTGCGCCGGCTCCCCCGCCACCGGCGATCCTTGAGGAGGCTGCTGCCAGTAGATCAGTGGGCAGCAGTCTATCGAGTGCCATAACCGAGGAGCTGAAGAAGCGGAAGGAGGTAGGTCATACTATATACATTGAGCATTTCATCAGAAAAGCAATTAGTGTTACAGTTTGTGACACTCTGCGAAACTAAGTTTAAGTGGCACCCTTTTCTGAGTGCACAACAGCAGATTGCGCCAGCAACTAAGCAACTAATTGGAATCATTGCAGAAGCAGCAGCAGCAGCAGCAGCAACAACAGCAGCAGCAGCAGCCCAACAATCGCGATCGAGATAGAGATCGGGATGGAAACCCAAATGGACACGAAAGCGGGGAGCGTCACAATGGAAACGGAGGCCACAGCCGCAGCTCCGGCGGCCCAGTGTCGCATCGCCAGAGAGCCAATCTTGCTGGCGTGGCTGCCACTCTGCAGGGCAGCGAACGCATCAGCAATGCGGGGGGAGGAGCAGGCGGCTCGGGCGGATCGGGCGGCTCTGGTGGAGATCAGCACACGGCGCTGATGGACGAATTCAAGCGGGCCCATCAGCGAATGTTCAGGAACGGGTTCCATGAGAGCGAGCACAAGGTAAGCCACTTGCAACTGAGCAACTTGCAACTAGCAAGCGCAGCTCACACAACGCAGCAGCAACATCGCAGCAACTTATCAATGGTCGGTGGGCTCCTTGCAAAGGTCAAGAGAGCGAGCTCTGCGAACTGCACTTGTCGTGGACCAGGAGAACCCCCACCCCCTCCCCCTCCCCCATTGGGGTGCCCATTGTTTATAGTTGCTGTTGCCCAACAACTCAAGTAGCTGGCCACTTGTGGCTCGAGTATCTCATGGGGGGGTTTGATTGTATTAAGTTGCGATCGGCCCCTCAAAGCATTCCATATTAGCGGGCAGATCGATAAGCGATTGAATCGTTCATATAACAGTGATCTATATTGGGCACTAATCAACAGCATTGACCATTCAGGTGACTAAAATTAGTAATGGCCTGCCTGAAATCGCAGAAACATCTAGAGGCTTCCGATAGATAAGCTAAATATGGCAATCCGAGGTTGATAAAATGTATTCTATGTACGTTTTTGTAAATGCAGCGAATGTATTCTGTAGTTATCTTTCCGATAAGAAACTATCTTAGTTCACGCTTCTCCCAAAACTTCTGCTTCTACTTTGTTTTCATAAATGATATATTATATCATATTATTATATTAGAAGTACTTTTAACAATTAAAGGCCATCAGTCCGAAAATCAATCAGAGGCAGCTGAGTGATGTCCGTAGATCTCGGATCTAGATTTCCGCACCCTGGCGATTGCGACGATGACTCACGATCCGGGTGGCAAAATAGAGCGAGAAAATTGGAGGAACCAAAACAAAAGCGGGCAAACAATTGGCCAAGAGCAAACAGGTGGGGTGGCCGAGTGGGTATATGTATGTTTTGAGTTGGCTGTTAGGTGACTGCTCCTCAATGGCTTTATCTAATCGGCGGCGCCGAGCGATGAACGCTGAACGATGAACCTAACTGCGCCGCCGAAGTTGTCCAGTCTTGGCAAGAACGCGCTGTGGAGCACATCGCCCTGCGGCCGGAACATGAGTTTGTTGCGTGTGAGGAACGGAGGAGGAGGAGGAGTGGGAAAAGGGGGGGACGGGGAGGGAGCGGAACGCATGCCCACCATGCGACCCGTGAGCATGGGGCGGCCCCTGGTGACCATGTCCACCTACGAGGTATTCACTCCCAGGTTCTCCATCTCTCGAATCGCTGATCTGCTGCTAACCTTCGCTTTTCTGCTTCCCTGTTTCCTTCCAGGAGCGTGGTGAAACGCTGAAGCGCACCTCGATCATGCCTGATGAGAGCTGCTACCGAAACAGTATCAACCACAACGGCAATGGCAATGGCAATGGCAATGGCCTCGCCAGCAACAGGAGCAGCAACTCCAGCCACACGAGCCACCTCAGTGGCAGCAATCGACTGCAGCCCCAAAACGGATCGCATCCGACGAACGGCAACGGATCCTCAGCAACGGAGCTTCCGCCGCCGGTAAGCAAATGACCCACTGGTAACCCAAGAACGACCCCCGGCCAGCTATCAAGAGAATTTAAAGTTAACTCGAATGCAAATCGATTTTATACTCGCTGACTGTTAGTCAATTGTAATCAATGAAATATACTTGACGAATCCGTAGCTTTTAAGCGGAATTCATTCCTTTGTATTGGACTTTAGGTTAAGTCAAAGATAATTTCACCAAAGCACACAATTAAAGGTGGTTCTTCTGTTTGGATAATTATTCCTCAGAGAGCTTGCCTTACTGCAGTTTTTATTGGCAATTGGTGCGGTTAGCCTTTGATGGCAGCAATTGATAACTGGTCTTAAATCTCGCTCTTGATAATACATTTCAAACTTCCATGGTACGAACTCTGCAATTAATAATTTGGGTTTCGTTGGTCCCACAGCCACCACAGTTCGCCAACATCCAGGCGGGCCAAGTGACGCCTCAGCAGCTCAAGCTGATCACGGGAAACGGAGCTCCAAACAGAGTCGCAAGTGGAAGTGGAGTGCGGATTGGACTAGGCAATGGCAGCTTGGCCAAGGTCAAGCAGCCGATGTCGCCCGTGCGCAGTGCCAGCATCAGTGTGGGCGGATTCCGGCCACTAGCCACGCCCCAACCCGACTACGATGCTGTCCAGCTGAGATCGCCCGCTGGCACAGGATCCGCGCCAGGAGGAGCAGCCACGAGTCAGCAGCAGAGGCGCACCCTGCGACTGGGCACGGTGACCATCGGGGAGTACGGGGATCACAGGACGACAGCCAAGCGGGAAACACTGCGGAAAACCAACGGCGAGGGCAGCTCCAATGGGATTCTGAAGAACGGATCCAGCCGGAGCAGCGCCAGCTTAAATCACGGCAACTCCCACCAGGCAGAGAAATCCATTAAGTTCGGCAACTGATCGACCCGGACTGACCCGGTCATATAGTTTTGTGCAATATGCTCGAAGATTAAGAAGGGAGATCAATCCATAGGGAGAGTACAAACAATCGGACGTGCAGCGGCTTTCCATACGCATATATACTTACCATACTATATCCATTACATATACATGTATAATTTTTTTTGCTTACACCTAGCTTAGCTGTTTATTTTTGCGATTTGTTGGAAATAATGTACCTCTTGTTGCTATTATTTAACAATCACTGTAAATAACTCACAAACAAGTGCGTGTGTGTTTCCAATACAGCATATAATACCTTATTCCCCGACTCTAAAAATATAAATAAATGTCTGTACATCTAAACAAAGACAACGCTGATACTGATAAGGCGAATAAGTAGCGGGTTGCGTCAGCTGGCGTTCGACGTCAGGTAAATCGCTGAGATATCGGGCGTGTTGCCTGGGATTGGGTCTTAATTGACATTGATTGGCCAAGACAAATCTGCGACGACACTTTTCATTAAGGAGGCACTCGGCTAAACATGGAATGCATCGTTTTTAAGGGCCTCGAAAAATGAAAGAAACACTTTAATTATTTTTAACCATTTCAAATGATTGTCGAAAAAAAAACAAAACATAACAATTGCAATTTTGAAAAACTTTCCATTTTAGACACGCGGTGAACAGAAAAATCAAGCAGCGTTATATTGTTATAGGATAATTCAGATTTATGGTAAGTTGCAGCAGTAACTCCTTATGAAATTACATTTTTTAATATATATTTTATTTCTCTTTCAGGATTCGTCGATCAACCAGGGCAGCTGGAAACCGAAGGCCATGACAAAGTTTGGGGCCACATTCTTCGAGGAGGAGGTCAGCGACACTATTTAAACATCTTATATATATAAATCTCATGTCACGATGTTTGTCCGCGATGGACTCCTAAACTACTTAACCGATGTTAAATTTAATTGGCATACCAGGAGCAGTCTGGTCCAACTTAAGAGATAGGTTAGCTTAGATCTTTAATTATAGTCGCAATTTTATTTTATTGAAAATTATTTGTCTATAATAAATTGACAGTCACAATATCTCACAGCATTGCCAGATAAGATTATATTTGACTTCACAAGCAAATCGCGAAATTTGAATGTAAAAACCGGTACGTCATTACCAAACAACCTAATATATAAAAGGAAGTCGTGTTAGTTACATCACTTATAACTCAAGTCATTGTACTCCTCCTAAACGGCTGGACCTTTTTTTTATAAAATTTTTGTGTGTATTCCAGGCGGTTTGAGGATGGTTTAGATTCACAATATGTTAAAAAAAAATTTTTTTATTTTTAGGGTTTTTAATGTTTTAATAATTATTTGGAGTTTTGCCGGCTCAAGGTCTGGGTGATATTTAAAACACAATTTATGTTTTTTGACCAATATATTTCGGTTGCTCATCGGCAACCGTCTTCAGGGCAATTTTGACACGTCTGCGCCAAGTGACGTGGAGTTATAAACTGATAAACTATATAAACATCCAAATTTATAGTTTTACTAGAGGTCCTGTGTCCGCTTCGCTGGTCAACACAATTTAACAACATAAAAGTCAATGTTGCAACATTTTTTAAATATATGGAAGTATAGAAAGATGGTTATTTAACACTTTTCCAGTTTGACTTTTCCACTTGCGCAGCACAATCCAGCCGTTTCTCTTTTAAACATTAACGCACTGCAATATCGGTCGCCATTGGTCCAATATCTAAATTTTCATTATCACTGTAGTTCGCAGTGGGGTCATATTGGAATGCCAAGCGATTGAATTATGCTAATGATCTCCATGTGCTCATTTGTCTTTCTTCGCTTAAGTTTTGTGAATATACTGGCTGCTGGCTTGGATGTCTGCGGCCAATGTTTGCACGTCGTCCTCTAAGCATTTTGGACTATGGACAGAGTGGTGAATTTATCCTCAAATGCACGATCCACATAATTTTCACAGTATAACTTAAATTGAATAAAAATTCTTTTTTTTTCACAATTTCACAGTGAACACAAAAATTGAGTTAAAATGCTATGGGAGCGTGTTTGTCAGTGTGATGAGGTAGCAACTCACTTTATATGCGACAATATTGCAATTTTCTTACGGATCCCTAATTTTTTTCAAAATAAATTATAGCCTATTTAACTCCACGATAATATAGCTTTCTATCGGTGAAAGAATTTTTTAAATCGGACCAGTAGTTCCGGAGCCTATTCCCTGCAAACAAACAAACAAACAAACAAACAAACAAATTTTACCTCTTTATAATATTAGTATAGAAGTATAGATTATCAAGGGTATGTATCTAGCTTTCAATATTTTTTTTAATTCATTCAAATCGGATATATGGTTACAATAATAAATTTGGGAGTTGTTACAATAATAAAAAAAAAAAAAAAACAGAAAAACAAACAAACAAGCAAACAAATTTACTTCTTTATAATATTTGTGTGAAAGGTAACTATTTAAAAAAACCGGGCGAAGCTGGGACGGGCAGCTAGTATAATATAAAACATAATAACAAATGTTATACTATAAGAAACTTATTAGTTTTTTAGAAATCGAATTATTGAAGACAATAAAAACGAACTAATGAAATTATTGATTGTTTTAATGTTGAAGTTAGGTGTGGAAAGCAATGAGTTCGAAGAGTTCGTCCATTCGGACAGTCAAAATGGCAATTTTTAAAAACGAAATACCAGGCGAACATAAATGCCTAGAAGGTGGCTACAAAATGCAAATAACCATATCCAAGTTTCAAACCCAGTGGATCGCAAGTGGATCATGTGTGGATCGCATGTTGATCACATGTGGATGTGGATATCACCCTTCTAGGCATTTCTGTGCTCCTGGTATTTCGTTTTCGGAAAATGCCAATTTGGCTGTCCAAATGGTCATTTTTTCTTTGAAATCGTTGTTTCTGTTGGCCTAGTGATTAAACTTGAGAAATCTCCTAGATTTGCCAATTTATCCATAAGGCCCCAATAAAACAATCATTTAATTCTTATTATCGACAATATTTTTATTTAACTATAATGCCATAACTACAATGCCTTAACTACAATGCCTAACTATAATGCCTTAACTATAAAGCCTTACTACAATACAATGCCTTAATTATATTTGCCTGATCTGCAAAAGAAAAACTTATTGTCTGCGGAAATTTTAAACGTAAAAAAAAGTTTTCTAAAACCAAAGGAGTTAACTTGACCAACACTGCTCCCTGTCAAAAACCTACTGCCCTGGCAACTGAAGTTTTCATTATCGATAGGTTTCCCCAGGAAAATTAATTTTAATTGAAAAGCAAAAGTCATTGGAAGTCTCGAGAGCTCTTTTCTTGGAATGAAAAAAGAAGCAGATAAGATGTACGGCAATAGAAGGTCATTCGATGATCCAAAATCGTTTTTGACATTGGGTAAGAGTGGTTCTCGGTTGTGGAAGCCCCCAGATAAATGGCCTTCTTCCAGATGAGTACTTCAACCAGTATGTGAAGCCATCGCCCTGTGTCCATCGGCGTCGTTATGTGCCGTACTCCTCACGGTCGGAGCACTTCAGGCGAATGCACTACTTCGGCCCCGCCTATCGAAAGAAGCTGTCCACCAAGACGGAGTTGATCAACCAGCGCTCGGAGCACCTGAGCAGCCAGATCCGCGACATCTGCCATGTACTGGAGTCCAAGATCCTGATAAATGGGGCCGAGAAACGTCTGGAGCAGCTAATAAAACGGATGCCCAAGCCATCGCCACCCTCACAAAACAAGAATGCCCAGGATGCCCGGGCCAAAGATGCACAGAAGCCTGTGCATCCGCAACAGGATTCCCCGGACACCCAACCCCTTGTCGTCACCATCGGCGACGAGGTGATCTACGACGAGACCTACAAGCTGGACCCCATCTGGATGCCCAATTAAGATGGATACTCCGATTCTCCAGGCATTATGACACAACCTGCAGAAGCAGAGAAACCACCTTGTCGGCATAAATAAATAAATAAATATCCCATATTGCCAAATCAGAATTAATTGATCCAGTTGCTTTTCGAATTGGGGCATTGGGGCGGCGTTGGCGTTGGTTGTTGATTGTTGGCTTGCTGGTGGTAAGTGCAACATCAGTTTCAGCTCGACAATTAGGGTTTTGAAATTGAAAACATAAGTTACTTTTTTTATAGAAAAATTACGTTTGTTTTTTAAAGAAATCGCCCCTTCTTGAGCGGCTCCTTAAGACTAAGATGGGTTTATTGTAGCCAGTTATTTTTATTTCTATATTTCTATGCAACACAAACTTTTTTTGAGTGTTGAGTCATAATTGCACAACAGTCAGGTGCTCCGCGGGGGGCGGTTGTAGGTGAGGGGGCGGCTACCGGTTGACCAACTAACTGAGTAAACCGAGTCTCCTTCCTCATTGTTGCGGCAGAATGACGGCGGCAACATTTGTTGACAGCAACAAGTTGCCGGTTTCGGTTTTGTTGTTATTATTATTACCGTTTTAATGCTGTTTGTTATTGTGATTACCAACAGTGCGCTACACTGGCGGAAACTTTTGGTGCGATTAGGCGACTGTTAAAAGTCATTCGATAAAGTCTTAGACCATCAATTTTTGCTTCATTCAGATACGCAATTCTTTTTTTCTTGATGAAAAATTATTCGAAAGTGTTTGCATTATTCATTATGTTTGCAAGCTAGGGAGTATTGTTTTCAGTGGCTCTAGTAGTCGTTAACCCCCGAAGGTGCTTTAAAAACCTGAGCTCCAGCTGAAACCCAAACTACAGCCAAAACGATCGTGGCTCAATGTCCAAAGCGTCGTCGCTCGTGGTCGGGTTAAACCAATAAAATCGTTGCGCAGACGCGGCCATTCAGTTGAATTTTGGACACGATATACTTCGGATCGAAGCTCGAACTAAGACTTAAGCTAGATTTGCATTTGGATTAGCTTTTGTTCGGCGAACTAAAAACTAAGCGTTTTCACCTCGTTTTACAACCGCGTATTTTTGCTATTTCGTTCTCAAGACCGGATAAAAATGACGCTCCAATTCGTGGAGGTGCCTCTTATTCTGCTGCTTTTGGCCCTGATGCACTGCGTCATCGGCACGCCCATCGCCCCTGCCACGCCAGACGGCGCCACGCCCATCGATGCTCGAGTATCGGCCGCCGATTTCGGAGCCCAGGACGCCTTTGATGCCGCCGAATACACGCAGGCGGAGGCCAGCGAGGCCGGGTTCAAGGTGAGTCAGAAGTCAAGGGGTCAGGTGCTGCTGCTATAAGATCTGCTCATGATAAGGGCTCTAAATAAAACTATTACAAGATAACGATTAAGATAAGCAATTGTTTTTAAGCCATAACTACGTATTCAAGATACTTTATGAATTCTAAGGCAGTTCCCTATGCTAGTCAAAGTATTTCTGTAATTATTTAACTAAAACTCAACTTTGAATTGGCAATGGTATATTACTCAATTAGGCACTTTAAGAATTTCATATACATTTTAGATCTCTTTGCTGCCGACACCAGCGAAAACGGCAGAGTCCGTGAACCTGGAGCAGGAAGCCATTCCCTCGAAGGTGCTCAGCGTGTACGATAACAGCCAGAAGAAGCTGGCCGAATTGGCCCAGGTGAGTGGTCATCTGTACTCCCGAGGGCTCCTTTAAAGTGCTATTTCGATCGCAGCCCGTTCCCATTTTGGACTCGATCAGCGAGCACGAAAAGTACGGCAACAATGGGGACATGTTTGACGGAATCTCGCGATCGCTTGTCAACGGTTACGAGGCCTTTTCCAACCTGCTCAACACCTTCATACAGGTGAGTGTCGAGTGGCGACTGCCGAAACTGCGGCCTTTGTTTGTTTGTTTGCCTCATTTCAGAGGTGGGTCCATTCGCACGCGAGTTGCATAACACTGGCGGTGCAGTGTGAGTTGCGATTGTCGAAATTGTAAACTCTTTGCCAGTGCTGTCCCTCCTTAGTAGCTTAAAACTAGGGCCAAAAGGGGTTTAATGGGTTAGTGTAAGTGCTTAGTTCAGTTTAGCGAGTTTTAAGTTAGTTTTACGGGAGGAAAGAAAGCCAGGCGGGCAGCACTGCGGCTTGTTGGCACCGCTTATGCAATTAGTCGCAAGTTCGCTTTGACCAAGGTCAGCTCCATCCAGCTTTCTCTCTTTTAACCACCCTCTTCCCCCTCTATCTCTCTCTCTCTCTCTATCTTGCAGAAGCCAAAAGAGTTGGCGCGCAGCGTAACGAAGGGAATCACCGCTCAGTTGGATGTCATCGGTGGAAAATTGGTCGGGCTCTAAGCCACTTGAAGTGTATTTTTTTTTTTAATTTAATAAATACTTTTATTTATTTGTAACTTAACACGAACATGTTGTGTAGGAATGTATTTTGATATAAATATATACGTATAAATAAAACAATCGTACTCATAGCAGTAGTAATATTTGCTCTAACTGTATGCTCCCTCTCTTCCTCCTCCTCCTCCTCCTTCTCCTCCTCCTTCTCCTCCTCCTTCTCCTCTTCTTTCTCCTCTTCCTCCTCGACTCTTGGGTCTTGATGCTTTGCGGGCAGTTGTGGTTTCGTCTTCTTCGAATACTAAAGAGTTTTAAATGGTAACATATTGTATAAATACTCGTATGTAAAAATATTTTGGTTATCTTTTCCTATTTAAAGGGTTAGCGTAATCCACACTAGCTAATGGGTATTTCGGTTACAGTGACTTCTAGCTTTTCCCTGGTTCGTATGAAACGCACTGTACCCGCCCATGTGTGTGTTACACCATACAACTACGGAGCACATCACAATATGGATGCACCGTTAACTTAACATCTCTGTGTGCGTTTGTTTTACTGGGAGCCGTATGTCCCGTTCACACTGCCCACAGTGCGAACACATCGTCTAGCCCTTTAGATTTGTTCGATATGTTTTCGCCTACAGATACAACATACAACAAAAAAAAAAAAAAAATACAATTTCAATAAAATTAATTTTTGGCACATTTCGCAGAATGGATTAGAAACTAGGGAGTTGACAGAGAAATAAAGATGGAGGGAGACAGGAAGCGGCGGGATTGCTGCCCCCTGCCCCCTCGGATTTTACAGGCGCGTTCAATCCTCCCAGCTGCTGGTGCGGGTCTGGGGGTCAATAGACGGGGAGTAGGACTTGTAGGTGTCCGAGGCCCGCTTGTGCTTCACCGTGCAGAATAGCAGCATCGAAGTGATCAGCCCGAACAGCTGGACGAAGGCGATCCCGAGGCCCACGGCCCCCACCACGTTGAGCTGGCCGGTGAACCAGCTCTGGAGCGAGTGGGCACAGCCCTTGTCCCACCACAGCGACGGGTTCTCCGACCTAAAGGAGTTTGAAAATAGTTGATATAGATTATTAATCCTGAGGTCACTTACCTCCCGCAGTCGGCGCGCATCATTCCGTCGCCGGATCCCTCGGTCAGCACCTGGCGCTGGTCGTAGAGGGTCCTGCAGCAGGACTCGGGCACCCAGCGCTTCCCCGGCCACGATTCGATGTCGTACCAGTCCTCGTACGAGGACACGCCGCAGCACTCGAACTGTAGATCGTTGAAAGGGTCAAATCACTGTCACTGTAATCTGCAATCCGCAACGGGAAAAGCGCCACTCACCGAGTGCTGCACACTGTCCCAGATGGAGGCCACCGAGGGGGGCCACCAGAGATCCCCGGTCGCTGGTGTTGTAGTGCCGTTCGATGCCGAAGCGCAGCTCGTTGGCCAAAGTCCGTCCCAGGCCGCCGCGGAAGAGAAAGGCGATCGAGCCCACCAGGAACTCGCTCATGAACAGCATCACAATCAGCATGAAGTACTTTACAGGGAGCGGAGGTGGCGGAGGGTGAGGCATCGATTGGGGTACACCAAGAGAAAATATTAGCGTTTGAGTGGATAAAACTGAGTTGGGCTGGCGAGCCCCTGAAGTATGCTACAAGAAATAAATCACTCATACGCCATATAGGCCATTACTTTCGTAATGCTTTCGTAATGTTAACTGCTGGGTAATTTGAGCAGCGGTTATGAATGGAACCATGGCCTTTGGGTACTCACCAGAACCAGGAGGCAGCGCGACTGCACCCAGGCGCCGCAGCAGCCGAAGAAGCTGACCACGAATCCGGTTCCTCCGATGGCCATGAAGATGGTGTCCGCACTCAAGCCGGCGTGTTGGGGCAGCAAGGTGGCGTAGCCCTCGTAGCTCAGGCGCAGCCACAGTCCGGCTCCCAAAAACGCGCAGCTACACAGCTGCAGTGGGTGGAATTGGTTGAGGTTGGGAATTATAAAGGCACTAAAGACTACCAAGCAGAATTATCGAAAATATAAAGAGAAAGCTGCCTCTAAGTTGTACTAATAACCCGACCATTGGGTTTCAGTACTTCTTTATGGCTTTGTGAAACAAATTGATGTACATAAATTTTGGTGGGACGGTGCAGTTGCCGCCAATGTCAAAGCGGAGTTTGCAATCGGAACTGAACAAATCAAAGCAACGAGTCGGCAACAGCATCTCAAACAATGCCACATGCCACATGTCGGAAAGACACTTCCGCTGCAGACGGCGGCGGCAAAGTTATGGCTCTGATTAGCTGCTCTACCTTTTTGTTCCGACTCTGACTCTGATTCTCTCTACAATTCCGATTTTACCTCTGCACGGTGCATTTGCTTGTCAGTGATGCTGCATATCCGTCCACGCCACATGCATTCGGAACAATACGACAACAATGAAAATGTTGCAGCTTCAGAAACACTAAATAGAAGTGCCCTCCTCTTTTACACTTGAATATTTCTAATAGTTTTACACCATTGTTCATTTCGATTTGTATTTGGCTAATTATGGAGCTTTTAGCATGAATAACTCACCCATAAAATGATGTTGAGCCAGCAGAAGGTGCGGCGTATGCAAGTATAGCCGGCATTGCCCATCGCGGGATCTGAAGAGCAAAGTAAAGGCAAAACATTAGACCCTATTTATATTATTTTACCCTCTTTTATCATAAACCATACAGCACTTCAATGTTTGCTGCTATTATGTGTGTTTCCAATCTGCTTTTATTTTTAGTTTTATTGGTAATTTTCATTGGCATTTCCTTTTGTCTATGGCATGTAACTGGAGTACCGAGTGAGCATGCCAGCGGGGTTGTTTGGTTGTTTGGTTGGGCAATTGCAGCTGCAGCGAAATGCACAAACGTCCACACATGGAAAGGCACTCGCTTATGCAAATAATTTATGATCCAATGAAAATAATAACTAAATAAAACGCAACCAAATTAACAGCGGCAGCGGTTGCAACGTCCATGGTCACCGAAACAGATGAACAAAAAAATGTGTGTCCTCATCGACTATTTAAACTAAGTAAGGGAAAATCACTATTCCAAAAAAAAAAAGATCACATGATGCCGTTATCGAAACATTGCGAAAGGATAGAGAACCAAGGGGCGAGTTGCCCAAATCACCATTCTTCTTGATGTTCATGGGAAAGATGGAGCACCCATAGAATAGGTTTCATGTTTTGTTAAAATCAAGTTCCATGGATCTGGGAAAATTCGTGTTTGAAAAACCACAGAAAATACTCTCGTGCGAACCGAACCGACAATATGGATAAAAGTGAAGAAAACATGAAAACCAGAAAAGATCCTACTGAATCTGAATCTGAGTCTGAACTTGCAGTCCCGAGGGGCACGCGATAAATCTCAACGGTCCTACGACCCGCAACCCCTTTGGATCGGGGCTCGGAATGCCTGGCTGACTGGCTGGAGGAGGGTCCAGCGCTACGCTGTGCACTATATAATTGAAATAACTATCATACGCGACGATGATGGGGATCGTCCGCCCCCCAAACATAATAACAGCGGAGCAGTGCAAGTAGTGAGCGGGAATGGGCGGGGTAATGGGTCTGGGCTTGGGCTTCGGCTGTCCAGGGCTGTCCGGTTGGGATGGCCGCGGTTTGGCTTTTCAGTTCCATCCCAGTTCCCATTACGACTGCGATTACCATTACCATTACCATTACTATTTGCAGTCGTCTCCAAGTGCGAACAATTGCACAAGGCACACAAGGCACACAAGAGCAGCAACAACGAGAGCAACTGTCGCTCGCTTATTTTCCAATTTAACTCAATAACGCGGACTGGCTTAATGGCATTTGACGCTGAAAATTTGCGATTTACCCACCCACCATCCTCCACCTCCGTCCTGATCCGCACACACACACACACATTGTACACTATACTATACACCACACACTATCCAGCGTAGAGCACACAATATGGTACACTATATGGTACATCATACCCCACACACAGATGCACATTCATCATAATTCGAGTAGATCTGGGAAGCTGCGGATGTGGCAAAGTGATTTATGCCAGGGAAATGCCAGCTGACGTCGAAAATTGTCATTTGCCCAAAACTTGATCACGACGCGATTAGGTTATCGTATGGCGAAAGTAACAAGGCAAGGGGTTTGGCATATACAACAGAACGGATTTATATTGAAATGTTATAACATTATATTCAAGATATTATTGCAATTTTAAAAATAGTTTGTACAACTTCAAAGTAAATTGAAACAGAGATCCGCAAATTAAACAGTGGATCAAATAAATCCATGCGATGAAAATAATATCTGAGAAAGATGACCAGATTTCAGGAAGAGAAAGATACGCCTAGAAAGTACTTGGTCGGGAGTGGAAACCAGTAATAAAAGCTGGTATTGCACAGATCCAGCAGCAGCCAGCAGCAACAACAACAACAACAACAACAACAGCAGCAACAGCAACTTTGGCAAGAAGATCAGTGGCTCAGCGAAAGATTTTCACCATCTGACCGCTGAGACCTCCCCATAATATTGCCGAGGTTGTTGTTGTTGTTCCGTTGTTGTTGTTGTTGCGGATCTTACAAAGTGTCGTCCACGAAAAGTTTTCTCTTTTTTGTTGTAGCTTTTCAAAGTTGTTATTGTGGCTTTTCGGACCGATCGGCCAATCTATGTGTTTACTTTGTTTGTGCCCCATTGCCGCATTTCTTTTCAGTTGCAAATTACTTCGAGTTGTTGTTCGTTGTTTGTTGTTTGCTTTCAATCTGGTTTTGTGGTTGTTGCTGCTGCTGTCGTCAATAAACTGCAAAAGTTCGTCGGTGTATTGTCACTGCATCGCTTTTCTATATGCTTAATTCGGTGCTACTTTGGCTGTGCAAACAGGACATTTACTTTGGCTCCTGTTTCAAAGGACTTCTTCTGCTGTTGTTGGCACGTTACACACTGAACAGAACAGAACTGAACAAAAAATTGGGACACTTTTTAGCCCGATTAACTGTTGGGAAATTCCTTTCCCAAAGATTTGCTTTCGTTTGTTTGAATCTGCACTTTGGATTCGGATCTACGTTTTCTGGGACTGTGAGTTCGTGTGGCGATTCTATGCGCTCGTCGCGGTTGTTCAAAATAAACTGACAATTCTGCGCGACATCGGTTAAAAATAGTCAAGAAGCGACGTTGCGGCACAGCAGCCGAAGTTGCACGAACGACCATCCGAAGCGGCTTCGGTTGCAAGTTGCGCTACACTCCAAAAAAACCTGGTAATCAAACAAAAGTTTGCATAAGTTATTGCCTACTGGATTTCTGAGATTTAAAGTCCCCCCCTGTCACTCATCTTAAATTTGTATCTCAATCGTTAAACGGCGCTGAAATAGAATAAATCCAATGCTGGTATTCATTTTTTCTAAGTGTATTTTCTGCTTCTCCCGCGAGAATCGGGGAGTACGTGAGACCCCAAAAGAGCGCCGAGTTGAGTTGAATTGAGCGACGCGCGCCGTCTGCATACTTTATGAATGGGATTTATGTTTAGATTTCAGTGTCACGTTTTGATCCACATTTCGGCCCAAGCAGGCACGATAGAAAACGGAAAGAAGTGAAACAAACAATCCGAACGAACGAAAGCCGCCGGCAGATGGGGATTCAGATTCAAACAAACAAATCAACGGGAAGTGGATGTGGTCAGCACTCATACGCCGTGTGTGCAGCTGTTGCATCTGACATGACGTCACGGATTACGCTGCAATCGCGGACAGCAGTCAGCTGTTCGCTATTACTGTTAGCTGACTAGCTGTTCCATCTAAGAGATGGAACAATAAACAAACACAATTAAAATAAAATTTATAAAAATATAGTGGTTTTTACCAAAACTGTCAACTATTCTTTTCCAAATTGGTTTTTATCAACCAACTAAAGGGCCAGTTAAATTATAAATTTCATTCAATCGAATAGGTAGTCGGGCCTCCCTGGTTTTCAAAACTATACTTTATTTGGCTGTAATTTGTTTCTTGCCCAAACAACACACAAATTACCATTGAAAAATGTTTGTTTTTCCTAAAACTACATAAAATGGCTCAAATAACCCATTTTTTTGCATTATCTCAGAAAGTACTCTTCCAAATGTTTGTAAATGTATGGCATACATAGTTGAATTCGTAATAAAATTCTGATTCCAATGGTATAAACACCCAAAAATGTTGAAATTTTGCCATTTTTCGCAAAAAATGACGATGTTACCCCTTAGCTGTGGTCATAAGGTGCTCAAAACAGTGTTTGGTCCCGCTGTAAGTCACTAATTGGCCTTATTACAACCGAAAAACCATTAAAAATATCTTTTCCAAATTGATTTTTATCAACTAAATAAAGGAACAGTTTAATGACAGTTGAGTTGCAATTAAATTTGATGACTGCAAGGGTATATAAGCTTCGGTTCGCCGAAGCTAGCTCTCTTTCTTGTTTTGAAGTCCGCGGGGAAGTCCCTAAACAGTTTCGTTTTGGAGTTGCATAACCAAAAAGTCAAAAGCATTTATTGGTTTACCATAACGGAGACAGCGGGAAAGAAAATAAAAACCGCATCTACTAATAACCTCCGACTTTTCGTTGCGTGATAACCAATTTAGCATAAATGAAAGTCGATAAAAGAAACCCAGACGATATTTGTACATAAGTGTAAGTTATTTTAACTTAGGGGCTTCTGCCACTGATTTTATTGTGTTAGCTGCACACACTCTGTAAGCAAAATGATAAATGGTGCAGTAAAGTCTTTTACTAATTTGCATTCATGTGGAACAATATGTGCAATATGATTCGATATATGTATGTATTTACTCATAAACCAGTCTAATGTTTGTTGTGCACAAAAAAAAAGAGCTCCTATTCTACGCAATGGAAGAGGCAAGAGCAAGGGATTCCCAATGGACACCGCAATCACTTGTCCTTGCGCAGCTTCTGGCTGGACAGCTCGATGGCGTCCAGCCAGAGCTTGAGCTCCTCGGGCTTCTCCGGTCGCTGGGCGGTCTCCGGGTAGCTCTTCAGCACGTCCAGCACGTTGCAGTTGGTGATGTTCTGCTTGGACATGGCCACCGCCCGCACGAACCCGTCCGACAAGGTGACGAACTGCTGCTCCAGGTAGATGGCCTTCTCGTCCCACCAGACCAGCCTGGTCAGGATCTTGTACGGGTGGAAGATGGGGATGGTGCGCCGGTAGCGCACACTGCTGGCCCCCTGGACCGCTCCGCCCCGCCGCTCCCGGATGCGCTCGTACAGCCCGGTCAGCGCGTAGAAGTGGAAGCGGGCGAAGTCCAGCTCGCGCAGGTAGCGCGCGTTGTTCATGTGCCGGATGAAGATGTCCACGTCCTGCGAGGTGCACAGCCCGTAGATCGCCGTGGTCTCCGTCACCTTGCGCTTCCGCTGGAACAGACGGCCCGCGAAGACCGTGAACACGCAGCGGATGAAGTAGTTGACATCCCAGATCACATAGAGGACCAGCAGCACCACCAGCCAGGCCATCGCGGAATCAGTCTTCGGATTGCTGAAAAGATGGCAAACGTTAGTGCCAGCATAACTCTTTTCTACGAAAATACAACTGAAACTGAAATGAAATCTGGACTTGCATCAGACTTTGGCGCTGATTTACCGGACCGACAAAGTCCGTTGACGGAAAAGTCAATCGTATGGGCTGACCTCGTCGAGCAGCTAGAAATACATTTACATTTTACTTACAAAGCAGTCGATCGTTCAGCCAAGTCGAACTCCCCAGAAACTTGTAGCGGGACGAGCGGAGGGAGCGGTAAGTCCGGCGGTAGCAGCGGAGAAGACGGAGCGGTACGCAACAACACAACTGTTGGCTCGGCAAGGCCACAGACGACTGAAGACTGAAGACCGAAGACTGCAGACTGTTTACTAAAGACGCCGATTGGCAAAAGCGAAGACGACGCAACGCCGAAGAAAGCGAGCTTTCAAAAGTTAGCCAACGCGAGCTGTGTTGCCAACAATAAATTGCTAAACTAGCTAAAACCTGAATTTAGTCTAGCAAAAAAAAAAATAAATAAATAAAGCATAGAGAAATATTAAGCAATTTTTAGTAAGTATACGTATTGGTATGAAAACTATCAAAATGATCTAAGCAAATTAAATTCGATTGAATTTCTAAACAAATTTTAAACTTATTTACCACCTATATACTTTTGGCTTGAAAAATGACATTTTAACAACACTTTAATCAATCCATGAAATCGGTGGAAGCGATAATAAAATGGCAAAACGTAAACAATATAAAAATGTCAATAACATGGCTCTTATTTAGGGGAAACTCAACGTCCAACTAAATCCTTTGCAGTACTATTTAAGTTATTTAAAAAACAATTAACTCGATGGGCACAAATCTAGCTATTAGAAAACAGACATGAGCAGCACTGGAACCCCCTTTTTAGTCACTCTTCCCTAGTCTCTCCAGCTTTCCCCGTCTCTTAAATAAATCCAAGCTTGCCGGGGCAAGCCTGGTTCCAATTGCTGTTTGCTGATGTGGGAGAATTTTGCTGTGGCGTAATTAGCAAATTCGCACGTATACGCTTAAAATTATAGGTATTCTTAAAGTGACTGCAATCAATGCAAGCACTAGCCACCGAACTGCAATCACCCGGCTGTTTTCTAATAGCAAATTACCCTAATAGACAGAGTCTCGAAGGGCCGCTGCTGAAAGTTCACCATGAGGGTTCAACAACAAGTTCTAAGCAGGTGATATCGAATGTAGGAAAATATTTACCAGTGGGCTTTAGTACTGCTTAATCGAAAATGTAAGCAAAGCTGGAGAGTAAAACAATTATTTCTGAAAGAAAAGTTTCTTGTTGATCCCAGGCGCAAAAACCAACGGCCCAAGAAAATCGCAAATTCGGTTTCATCCTTTCACATTTTCTTGTTACTTTACTAAACAATCATTGTACATCGTTACTTACACACTGTGGACTACCAAGGGGTTCCCTTCTGTGTTGGGGGAGTGGCTGATCTAAGGGTAATTATACAGTACAATACAATAGTTAAGGCCAAAGGAGGGCGGGTTTTTCAGACACTTTAAGCTTGCAATTTACGCGTTCCACGAGCACACTTAGACACTAGACATTAGCACGCACGCACGCACACACACTCACACACACAAGCACGCGAGACAAAAAAAAATGGGTTTTTGGGAATATCCGTTTCCGGTTGCGCATCCGCATCCGCACCCGCATCCGCATCCACTTTCGCTCTTGGCGACTCCAGTCAGCAGCCGCTGCGCAGGTTTTTGCTGGACATGTCGTTGTACTCGATCCACTTGGACAGCTCCGGCGGCAGGGAGGGCTTCAGCTTGGCGCAGTGCGCCGTGCTCGGGGGCGGGGCCGGGGCCGGGGCTCCCGTCGCCGCCCCACTCGCGCCGTGTCCGTTCTCCGCCAGCGATGTGTCCATCGCCGGGTTGCTTATGCCGCCGGCTGCGGCCGAAGGCGCAGCCAACGACGCCGACGCCGACGCCGTCGCTCGGAATCCGTTCGAGGAGGTCCTGGGCAGAAGCTCCGCCATCACCGCCTCCATGGACACGTCAATCACCCGCTGGCGACAGATGGCGATGCAGTGCACAAACTTGTCGCTCGGACGCACGAAACGGTGCTCCATGAAGAGCGACTGTTCGTCCCAGTAAATTATCTGAAAATGAAATAATCAAAAATCACACGATAATGTAATTGTACATTACAAAAAGTAAAATATTTAAATGATTACTGATCAACAAAACAACCAAAAGTCAAAAGATTATTAAGAGTTAGGTATTCTCCTCAATATTTCTGGGAAATAAGTAAATATGCCAACCATCTTTTTAATTGAAAAATAGATCTGTTTGATTTTATAAAAATTAGAAAAGAAAATCCCTTTTTGATTGTTTTATGGGGGAATTCTTTTATGAATGCGCTCAAAATTGATTTTGATCGATGCTTTCGACGGTGAAAAAGCAGGAAATAATAATGAGTAATTACTTTTCTGGAATGTCTAATCTTGATGCACTCACCCGCGAGACAATGTTGAACCGGTGGAAGGGGCGGATGAAGCGGCGGTAGCGGATGGTGGCCGCCCCCTGGAAAACAGAACCTCCCAGTCCTGTAATGGTGCGGTATAGATTGGTCCGCTCGTAAAAGTCCACGCGGGCAAAGTCCAGTTCTCGGAAATACCGAGCGTTGTTCATGTGATACAACAACGTGTCAACGTCGTTGGTAAGGCAGAGTCCTAAAAAAAGGATAATGTTGGGGGCTTAAAAAGTTAATTTGATTGATTTAATGATGTTTCTATATACTGCCATTCTGTTCCACCTATAAGGATATAGCTTTCTAGAGCGCTAAAATATATAAACGCTTTTGGAAAATAAAAAATCTTAAAGTAGAACTAGTTCTGACAACGCTGCGTATGAGTGATAACCACACCACTCATACGCAGCGTTGGCATAAGATTATCACTCATACGCAGCGTTGGCATAACTAGAGTCATTTTGTTTTCGAACTTGCTGCATTTGTTTCTAATTAAATTGACAACTGATAGATAATTTAACATAAATACTACCTAATGGATAAAAAGTTAGCTAGGATAAGCCGTTAGCTCTTTATGAAGGACCAGGAGACAGGACTACTCACCGTTGACCGTCGTAACGTCCAGGATGTGGCAACGCCTCTTGACGAAGCGCGCGAGCAGAACACAGAGACACATACGCAGGAAGTAGTGGAGTTCCAGGAGCCCGTAGAGAACTAAAATGGCCAGCAGGACGCACAGCGCCAGGTAGCACAGCTGCTCCATTTTGCTGGGTAGATGGGCGGGTGGCTGAGGGGGCGTGGTCCGAGGAGCGGGCGGCGCTACGAGAGGGAAGGAAGGGAAGAGCGGTTCATCAAGACGGCTGGCTGGCAATCAAGTTGTCGAGCGATAGCAATCTAATTAGAATGCGGAAGCAGGAAGCCAGGCAAGTGCTTGACTTGGGGTTAGGGGCGGTCGGGGGTTAAGGTTACGGGGGTGGTTTTCCGAGCGCGGTTCTTGTCCCGGCTTTTCCGAGATGCTGAGCGAAATTAGGTCACGTTTTTTAACATCAGGTGATTCACGACATTGTCACACAAACAACAGTACTTTGCTCTACTTTGGTGTTTATATTTATCAGGCTTACGAATTGCTTTAATAAATTCACAAATTACTTAAAAAGGATTACAAAATTGTCCCTGTGTAGCACACACACACGCTGAGCAGCACTCGCGCATGACCAGGACAACCCCTAATTTGTTGATTCGTGGCTCGATTCATGGCCAGGACATTCGGACATCGGGACATCAGGCCACCCGGCCACTTGCAGTCCTCTCATCCCCTTTCACCGCCAATCACCGAATAATTTCCCATATTTTCCAATAACAGGAAAAACCACTTGCACTCGCACACACCACACTTTATTAAATTTAACGAAAAAAAGGCAAAAAAATAAGTTTTTGTTTTTGTCTAGTGCTCATAACCAAAAAAATTCAAGCGAAGCGCCTACCGCAGCGACAACAGCGCACTGAGACTGAATCGCTTTTTTGGCCAAATCCAAATCCCACCGCTAACGTCCGCTGGCAAAAAGTCCGCCGCAGCCTCTGCCACCGCTGCCGCCTCTGCTGCAGTCGCAGTCGACGCCTGCGCAGCTCCCACGTTCGACGCTCTCAGCTGACGTCCTCGCAGCTTTCGGCCCGAAAAAGCTTTGCTGGCTAAGGGTTGAACCTGTTGCCGGTCCACTACGGTCTATCCCTCTCAGCACCCCCACAAATATTGGACTAGCGAATGTCGTGATCACAGACGTTCGCCAGAGCCAGAATCACTGAGATGTATGTTACAAGGGCAGACGGAAAACATTGTTAGGTTGCGCACCTCATTGATCATTCCAAAGTTTTGTAATTATTTTCTGAAAACAGCTAGGATATACATATGTGACAGGTGTTGTATATTGCATTAGAGCAATTGTTGCAACAGGCATTCCTGGATAAAGAGCCGTCAATAACCACTAGCAATGGGAACATGCACCCGAAACTAGGTGTTTCTTATTTAATTATAATTAGAAAAACCAATTCTAATGGTAAGCACAATACTTAAATATACCCAATTATCTATAATTAGATATTGGTAATTATATATACTTAAAGCACTTGTATCCATTTAAGAAGTTGTTTCTGCGTCATAGAAAAAATCCGGTTTTTACCTTAAGAAAATTTCAACCAGATGATGTTTTTATTTATTTCGTATTTCAACAGAAATCGGTTAAAACGCCGTTCAATGTTTCCGTGTAACAAATCATTTAGAAATCTAGAAATTTAAAAAACATAACAAATTTAAAAATAATAAATTAGCTACTACTACTTGTCTTTGCGAATAATATCGCAAAACTAAATAATAAAGTGCACTGTCAAGCAACAAGCAAAGTTCTTGAATTGTTCTTTGCCCCTAAGTAGAGATGTTTCCGGTTACTCGGGCTCCAAAAAAACAAACAAACTAAGATTATTCGAGCTGTACAGTACTATCACACCTACGTCTCGAAGCTCGGATGCGCAGAGAGAGATTTCTAGCCGGGTATTACATATGAGTATCTCGAGCTGCAACAAAAAACGCTGACTGTAAATTCTAGCAGGGCAAATACGGGAAGTTTGTACTTATAAATATATTATCAGCAGGTTAAAACGAAAAAATAAAACCGTTAAAAACCAAGGACTTAGGTTACCGACGACAGGCATACACTATTTCTTTTTTTCTGGTGTTTTGGGATCTTGAAACCAGCTAATTTGGCCACGCAAATCAATTTAAGACACCAGGCCAACATAACTCATAGCAGGTTGCAGCAGGTAAATCTGATCTTATTAAAAGTACTCTTCTTTTCATAAGATAGTTGTCCTTGTTACGCTTCCCCTCCCTGTCCCTACCAATCAGAAAGTTATTTCGCTGGAAAGTACAGTTGCTTCAAACTAAGCATCAGACCAGAGATGCGAAACCACGTTGATTCTTTGCGCGTGTCACGAAAGTGGCACGAAAAGCACGAGTAATTAAAATATTTCCATGTGGTTGTTGTTGGTGTTACAAGAACCACTTGTCACGCGCTCAACACTGAGAAAGCCAAATTTAAACTGATCAGCTGATCGATTTACACCTGCTAAGCGGTTATGTTTGCCTGGTGTTTAAGTTTAGAAACGCCCAAATTTGTATGGGAAAAGTGTTGTTGTTTTCATACGCAAGAGCGCTGCTGCGCATTCACCTACTTCGAAGTTTTGTTTGCCTGGTATACGGGGTCTCAAAACCAGCCGATTTTGCTATACAAATCGATTTTATGCACCAGGCCAACATAACTTATAGCAGGTTGCAGCAGGTAAATCTGATCTTATTCAATGTACTCTTCTTTTCATAAGATAGCTGTCCTTGTTACGATTCCCCTCCCTGTCCCTACCAATCAGAAAGTTATCCCACTGGAAGGTACAGTTATTTGAAAGTAAGCATCAGACCAGAGATGCGAAACCACGTTGATTCTTTGCGCGTGTCACGAAAGTGGCACGAAAAGCACGAGTAATTAAACTATTTCCATGTGGTTGTTGTTGGTGTTACAAAAACCACTTGTCACGCGCTCAACACTGAGAAAGCCAAATTTAAACTGATCAGCTGATCGATTTACACCTGCTAAGCGGTTATGTTTGCCTGGTGTTTAAGTTTAGAAACGCCCAAATTTGTATGGGAAAAGTGTTGTTGTTTTCATACGCAAGAGCGCTGCTGCGCATTCACCTACTTCGAAGTTTTGTTTGCCTGGTATACGGGGTCTCAAAACCAGCCGATTTTGCTATACAAATCGATTTTATGCACCAGGCCAACATAACTTATAGCAGGTTGCAGCAGGTAAATCTGATCTTATTCAATGTACTCTTCTTTTCATAAGATAGCTGTCCTTGTTACGATTCCCCTCCCTGTCCCTACCAATCAGAAAGTTATCCCACTGGAAGGTACAGTTATTTGAAAGTAAGCATCAGACCAGAGATGCGAAACCACGTTGATTCTTTGCGCGTGTCACGAAAGTGGCACGAAAAGCACGAGTAATTAAACTATTTCCATGTGGTTGTTGTTGGTGTTACAAGAACCACTTGTCACGCGCTCAACACTGAGAAAGCCAAATTTAAACTGATCAGCTGATCGATTTACACCTGCTAAGCGGTTATGTTGGCCTGGTGTTTAAGTTTAGAAACGCCCAAATTTGTATGGGAAAAGTGTTGTTGTTTTCATACGCAAGAGCGCTGCTGCGCATTCACCTACTTCGAAGTTTTGTTTGCCTGGTATACGGGGTCTCAAAACCAGCCGATTTTGCTATACAAATCGATTTTATGCACCAGGCCAACATAACTTATAGCAGGTTGCAGCAGGTAAATCTGATCTTATTCAATGTACTCTTCTTTTCATAAGATAGCTGTCCTTGTTACGATTCCCCTCCCTGTCCCTACCAATCAGAAAGTTATCCCACTGGAAGGTACAGTTATTTGAAAGTAAGCATCAGACCAGAGATGCGAAACCACGTTGATTCTTTGCGCGTGTCACGAAAGGCACGAGTAATTAAAAAATTTCCATGTGGTTGTTGTTGGCGTTACAAGATTTACTTGTCACGCCGTCAACACTAAGTAAACCTTGTTAAAACTGATCAGCTGATCGATTTACACCTGTTAAGCGGTTATGTTCGCCTGGTGTATGCTTCTCTTCGCACGCATCATTTCTCTAATAGCATAAGTCGGATTTCCGTATCACAACCACATATCGGAGCTCCAAGCTTTGATCGGTTGAGATGGCCTTTGTTCCATTGGAGGGGTATTATATATGGCCCTCTCGAGGGCCAACACAAATTAGCTAGCTGTAAACACTAGCAGGGAACACGCTGAGCAAATACGGGAAGTTTGCACCCATTAAATATTAACAACAGCTTAAAATCGAACAAACTTTTTAAAAGCCTGCTGAAAGCGAAGTCACTGTTCACAGGTGTGCATTGATTTTTCGTTTTATATTTTTAGCTTAAACAATTAAAAAAGTACAAGCGGGATAAGCTTTAAACTAGAATTCTTGTTAGTTTTGTTTGTTATTACTGTAGCTGTTATTGTTGGGCTTACTATAGGACAAACATAATAAGACAAAAGTAATTAAAGTTGTAAGAGCTATGTACAAATTATGTGGGTCTCTCCACTGAAGAATTGATCTAAAAACCAAAAATTTGTTCCATATCCTTGACTTATAAAATATTTATCTGGTTTTGTTTATAGGTATATAACACAAGTTAGCACAACGAACGTTTTCTTTTTCTTCCCCCTTTTTTGTTTGGTTGGGGGTGGCGGGGAGGGGGGTGTTGGGCAAAGGATTGATTTCAATAAAGGTATATAACTAGATATATGTACGCTTGTGTTTATGTATATGCGTAGTGTGTTGTGTAGCTATAGTTAATTAATCTTATACGTACATCAGTATTTATATATGTACACTTTGCGTTGGATTAAGGATAAGGAACAGGTTTAGGGATCAGAATGAATAACTGAATAACAAAAAAAATAGGTTTAAGTTAACCTTTTACCCCTTTACAGCAGTTGGGGAGACATACAGAGTCTATAGGCTAAAGTATACATATATAAAGCATGACACAAGCTTGCCACTTCCTTTCTCGCTCTTTCTGCTCTCCTCCGTCTCACTCTTTCCCCTGCTCTCATGTTCGAAGTGCGGTTCTCTTGTTTCAGATGGTCCACATAAAATAATAAGGCATACTAAACACACAGACTGCAACTTGCCACTTGGTCAACATTTAACTCTCTCCGGGTTCTCATCTCTTACTAGTTTAACACCAACTGGATCTTCACTTCTCCAGCCTGTTCGCATCTACTCCATTCTTATCTAAATCATTTCATTCAGCTGTATCATAAACTTTCCGACGAATCCTTTAACACCTGGTCATGCAGGAGCAGGCGAGCAGGGCACCAAAGCAGCAGTCCACTCTGATTTTTATTCCAGGTTCTCTCCTCAGTTGGCCGTCACCCGGCACAGCTCTTTGACGTCACAGTTTTCCACGCTCTTGGCAAAAATACGACGCAGCGTGCCCAGCGGACAGAGGTCCATGTCCTGCGGGCAGCTGGGCAGGCGCACTACTCGCTCCTGGTGCAATACCAGGACCTGCGGCTCCTCCTTTTCGCAACTAAAAGGGAGTCAGTTATATTTTTTATGTATGTTCTTTGTTGAACTAGCCATCACTTACTCGTAGCGGAGGAAAGCCAAGTTGGTCGCGAAAGCGTCAATCTGACTTGTGCGCCAGCGACGCTCGCTGGAAAAATTCTTGTGCGTTAGCGGATTCTTGTCCCGTGCCAATCCCAGGTGGGCCAGCAACTTAAGGAGCGTTCCCGAGTGCGTGAAGTACAACGTGGCGTTGGCCCGTGGCGGGCTTTCCGGAATTTCCGGGTTACTGCAAAACAAGGGGTACTAACTTAGCGAAGTTCTCGACGCACTCGTGTTTAAAAAGGAGATGCACTAGCAGAGCATAGCCACACTCACCTGATGGATGCAAACATATCTGCGATTGCCGGACAGGCAATGCGATGAGTCAATTCGTAGCCGTAGCCATCGTTCCAGTAGTACTCCAGATCCTCGAAGAACTCGAGCGCTTTCAAGGCGGCCACATCGAAGAAGTTGCACCACACCGAATCGGATGAGGACCGGGTCTCGGAACCGCGACGTGGGCGGTTCCAGGCCGTCTCAAAAGCGCACACCGCGTACATAAGCTGCACATCTTCCGGCTGGAGATTCGGCAGCCGGGTGCTGCCTCGCACTTGCTCTACAGCGTACTGCATCTCCGGCTCCGCTAGGAACCTCCGTGCATTGACTAAGGTCTCGGGATTCTTATCGACGTCAGTTTTCCACTTTCCACAGCCCTTATAAAACTGAAAAAAAAAAAAAATATATAAATTAAAATTATCAATTAGATTCATAGAAATAATAAAGAATTTTCTTTTTTGCCAAAGAAACCACTAAGCTTTTGCGTTATTTCTCATAACACGATCTCTACCTGGCGTTGGGCTGTATATGGCCACCGTATTGTCCACAAAGCCAACAGCAAGCTGGACCTTGAACGGGTGAAACGACAGCCAGGTGGGATGGCCGATCTTGGGACCAATGAAGCCCTCGTTTGTCCGCAGCACCTTCTGAACTCGTCCGTCCAGCGAGTAGATCCCAACTTTGGAGGCGTTGCCGCAAGCCACCGTGTCGGCAATCTGGTGACTGGCAATGGCTGTCACATCGCTACCGGCGTCCCACTCGTGCAGCACTTTCTCGGCGAACCAATGGGAATGCGGGCAGGCCCGCACATCCAACACGCTGATCCGACCCTCGGTACAGCCGGAGACCAACACCGATTCGTTGGCTCGCTGGCTGGTGTGCAGAATGGGAGCACTGTGGCGCCGGTATACGGAGATCCTGGCGTCCTGCGGCGAGCATCGCTTGTCGAACAGCTGCACAGTGCCGTCGTCACAGCCGGCGATGATCACATCGGATCGCATGTTGGGCAGGTAGGGTGCCAGCACCCGGGCGTACGTTTCACTGCGTCCCAACGGAATATCCGCCAGTTTTAGCTCCCTCTCCACGTCCCAGATGCGGATAAACCGACAGCCGCCGCCCCCTATAATCAGGTGCTGGCTGCACTGCTGCCAGGCGGTCACGATGCTCCCGGAGCCCGATCCACCTAGCGAGTTTCCCGACACCTCCGCGTACTTCTCAAAGTTGCTGCGGAAGCGATGGCCAGTCTGATTCACCACCTGACCCAGTGCCGTCCAGGCGGTCAGCATGCGCGCTTGGTTTGGGGAATCCTCGGTGCTGGCAGAGCTGGCCGGTGGCGAGGATTCCCAGACACGCACCACGCCATCCTCATAGGCCACCAGATTGAGTGCCATGTCATGAGCGTTAATGAACTCGATGCTGCTCACGCGGGCAAACTGGGCAGCGGATTGACTCACACTTCCTCCTCCCGCTGACTTCCGCGAAATGCTACCGTTGAGCGAGAGGGATGATCCAGATACCGATCCGTATCCGGAGCTAGAGCCAATGGTGGAGCCAGCGGAGCTCGATGCTTCCGTTGCTAGGGCCTCGGCGCTGTAGGTGCGCACGGATTGGTATTGAAAGTCGTATACCAAAACCTTATCCCGGTAGGCCACCGCAATCTGCGGCTCATACGGCAGCAGCTTGACAATGGAGGGTGTGAACTGCGTTTTCCGGTTCCACACGCACACATCGTATCCGAACCGGTCGCTCTGCTGGTGCTGTCGATGGGCGTTCCGGCGCACCAGATTATTCCTTATGAAGCGAGCCTTCCTGCGCCGCAGTTCCGCGGAGTTGCGATCCACGGGGAAGCGCTGCCGTCCCTCCTCCGCCACTCCTTCGGCGTTGCTATAGCGCTCTTTGCCGGGCCGCGTGAAATAGGATATGGCCCAGGGTATGAACTCGGTTGTGACAATGGGTGTGAGACTGTGTCCGGGCTCCAGATACTGGTTGCTCTCGCTGCCACTGCTTCGCGCCGAATGGGTGCTCTCTCTCGGCCCGCTGGGCAGTCCAAGACCACTCCCGGCCACACCTGCTCCTCTGGGGTATGCCGGCCCGCTGTCAGTCTCATCGTTTATGGAGCTGGTGCGCAGCTTGCGCTGCAGGATTGTCTGGGGATCGCCGGAAGTGACGGCCGTCGTAGTGGAGGCACTGCCCGAAAGTCTTAGTTTCGTGGCCCAGTGACTGGCGCCAGAGGCAGCTGCTCCGACGGGCGGTGATTCGCCGGCCGCTCCTGCTCCTCCGGGTCCGCCGCCACCACCCAAGTAATTCACCCTGGTATTCGGACTGGGCGGCAGACTGACGCTCAGGCTGCTGCACTTGTCGGATGACGTGGCCGTGGTCGCCTCCTTGGCCGCCATGATGGGACACAGTGCCGTGTTCCTCACGTGGTCCACAATCTCCTGGGCAATGGCGGCCACTCGGGGAAACGGATCCTGGGCCAAATTGCAGATGCCCAGCCATAGCTTGGTGAAGATCGACTGAAAGGGTATGCTGTTGGTACCGCCGGCTGCTCCTGCCGTCCCTCTTCCGCCCGAACTGCTTGATCCACTCTTCGAGCGACCCAAAGTGATGGTGGAGGAGCTTGCTACCGAGATGGTTGACGCACCAGCCATGTTGGAAATCGAACTGGAGCTGGCTCCCCGGCGTATAGTCACATGCCGCTCCAGGCTGTGTGTGGAAGAAGTTAAGTCCCGGGGGTCGCCGGTCATCACGAACGAGCCGTGGCCGCGCATATGATCCGACAGATAGACGGCCACGAACTGTGACTCGAACAGCAGCACCATCCACTGTAGGGCTGCGGCCAATTCCATCCGCACCAGAGGCGACATATCCTCGCCCACAGTCTCCAGCATTGTGATGGCAATGATGCGATCGATGTTGTTCGCCTGCTCTTCGCTGCGATCCGTCACCGAGCTGATGAATGTGCCCAGGGCGAAGACGGCGGCGGCTCGCACTTCCGGAATCGAGTCCCGCAGAAGGACGTACAGCTTCTCGTGGGCCAGATCGCGGGCTCCCGACCAGCGCGCCTTTTCGAAGTTCTGCCACAACATGCCCAGGCAGATGGCCAACCACTGGCGGAGCAGCCAGCTGCCGTCGTTGAGCTGCTCTAGACAAATGGACAGCAGTGGGCCCTGCAGGGCACTCGTCTGTCCCAGCAGGAAGTTGTGGACAATAGACGACAGCACGAAGGCGGAGAGCGTACGGTGCTCCTTGGACACGGAGGTATCCTGCAGTACGGATAGGAAATACTTGTACTCCTTGACCAGATCCACCTGACAGGTGGGATCCACGGCTAAGATCTTGGCCCAGATGAACACCAATACGGGTCGCAGCTCGCGTGTGGAGCTCTGCAGAAGCTTGAGCACATATGGGGAAAATGCCCACGCCTAGAGCGAGATTTACGGCCCAGGGACCCAGATCCAAGAAGCGGGCTAGCAGCTCCAAGGCTCGCAGGCGATGCACTTGCGAGAGGAGCACTTGCAGCACAATCGGCAACTGCTCCGGCGGCGTTCTCGACTCCGATTCGCTGTCCAGCCAAACCTGAAAAGCGGTGAGCTGGTGCTCGAAGAACGGCAGCTGTCGGTACGGAGCATTGTGGTCGAGGATCTCGGGCAACTGCTGCAGGGCCAGGTCCACCACCAAATCCCAGGCCTTCCACATCGGGTGCCGATAGCAAGGCGGCAGGGCGGGCAGCGAGACAGGGGTGCAATCGTGGCTGCGCAGGATGCGCTCGGCCAGCAGGAAGTTGCGAAACAGGCTGGCCACCAGCAGGTCCTGCCGAAATAGGCGTTGGAACAGCTCGCGAGGAAGCGTGTTCCAGGCTATCGTGTCCGTAATGGCGGTGAAAATCCAGTTGAGCTCGCCCATCATGGTGCGCCGATCGTTGACCTTGCCTGCAAGGTAATTTAATGGTTAACGTGACCTAAGGCTTAAATCAAGGCAACACCTCACCTGGTATCTTGTCAATTAGCTCGCTTTGGATGCGCGGCACCATGCCCAACTTCTCCTGCATAGCGTACCACTTGAGGGCAATGTTTATGGGTGTGGTCAGGCAGCTGGTAAACAGATCCGCCGGCAGCTGAGCATTCATGGGCAGAATTTCGTTGGCAGCACAGGCGGCCAGGTGTATGCAGTTCTTGTAGCTGACCAGCTGGTTGGGCAGCTGCACCTGGTTGCCAGCGACATTGAGTGAGCCACTCGATCCGCCCGCCAGCTGCTGGACTCCGCCCCTCTGCTGGGCGGCGGCCAGCGCCTTTTCCAGTTCGTGTTCATGCTGCTCCGCGTACGGCTGGAACGAGTTGATGATGATCCCTGCATTGGAGCAATCGTACACATAGATGGATGGCGCCGACATCCATGTGATCAGCTCAAAAATGCTCAGGGGGATGTACTGCGTGAAGGTCTTATTAAACACCCAAATCTCTCCATTGACCGTCGGCTTGGGAACTCCGTGTCCATTGTAGTGGAAGAGGATGCGCTCCCCCCTTGGCGTTTCTGCGTAGCGAGGTGCACAGTTTCTTAACATCCTCCATGGTGGGGTCGTGGCACTTCTTGTACCTTGCCCGAGGCTGCCAGCGCTCGTACTGCATCTGCAGGTTGCTTCCGATCAGTTCCATGGCCTTTGGTGGTGACACCGAACTAGGATCTATCCAGCATTCTAGTCGGGAACAGGGCTGAATCTTAACCACATCCGGGGGATCTACGCCAATGTTGAGGCACAATACCAGAGCCACACTGGCCGTTTTCATGCGCTCCCGAATGCGCCAGGGCTGATGCTCGTACAGCATGGCTTGTATGCGCTCCTTGTGCCGCTTGGTCTGCAGAGAAAGTGGGCACTTTTCATCCCGTAGGCGTTCTATAAAGCATATGTTGTCATTAAACCTCAGGCCGCCTTTCTTGTGCGTTTTCAACTCAATTTTGATGGTCTGGATTAGGGTCCTTATGCCAAGCAAAAACTCATTCTGGTCAGAAGTGATGGACACTAAGGCAAATAAATGCTTAATGTTATTTTCAACACAGAATTGGCTGTAGTGCCCACAGCGGTTGTTGAACCGCTTAGTTATTGCATCCAAAAAGGCCTCTTGGGCAGACTTTAGACTGGTCACCTCCAACGCGTCTGACTCGATTTGCTCCAGGTCCTTAATTAGCGACAACATGGGATCAACACAGAGGACGGAATTGTTAACCTCGGGGCTTTTGCGAATGGGGAATTTTATGGATTCCTGACTGGAGTGTAACTCATGCATCCAAGAGCTGCCGTGGCTGCTGTCATCACTGCTTTCCTCGACTGCTACAGCGACTGGAACGCTGCCGGCAGAGGCTTTGGCTGTGGCAGCAGCAGCGGTGGACTTAGCGCGAACGGCACTTGCCATGTTTTGCGTGGAGATTTTTTTTGTGTTTTCTCGGTGCAAGTGCAAGCGATATTCCGGAACGATTACGTCTCCGCTTCGGATCCAAACCAGCGAAAATCCCCCTGCGGGGACACTAGCACATAACCCCAAACACTTTTCGCACTTCTTCGCTCTCCCTCCAACAATTCTCCTCGTCCGCTTTTCCTTTGCCTTTCCTCTTCTCCACGTTTTCCGCCTACGGATCGCGGCCCATTTCCCGAATACGGTTAAAAAGAGCACGCAGAAAACACGCTGTCTGGCAACGGATAGCAGTGACTAGCCGTAAAACGCTTGGGGGCGATTGGAGGGACGATCTTGTGTCGCGTTTACAGTATATTACACTTTTAGCAGGCTTTATTTATTTATGTTTAATCGAATTATACGAAAAGAATTGCGCAGAAAATCAACTAGAGCTGACACAAAAATCGATGTCCTTCCATACTATCGAGGTTTCGAGAAAGTTGATATCGATTGTTTTCGTGCAACCATTCATTGTATTTCTAGGGCAGCGTTGCCAGATCAATAAGTAGGCGCGCAATTTAAAAGTACATTCGTTCAGTGCCCGATAAATACGGAATATCGTTCACTTTCAGCGTGGCATTAATTTACTATTTAATTAAATTTTTGCACAATACTGAGCTATGTTATATTGTTATAAACTTTATATAAAGGATAACTCACCCGCAAAACAGGATCCTCGTGCAACGGTGGTGGATATCGCACAGTGTGGATGCGGTGGCGACCGAATAATCCCGTAGCAAAGCTTTCTGCACTTTTCAGTGTCCTTTGCGTGGCCGTGTACTTGAAGTAATACCACTCCGGATTGTACAATTCCGGAAGTAGGTCCGGAAATCGCCTCTGCATCCGCTCCGCCAGTTCGATCAGCTCGTCCTCGCCCTCCGCCACCAGAAGTTTCTCATCTTCGCTGGCATTAAGGTGTTTCCAGCTCCATTTGCGCAGCTTTTTCAGCTCATCGGAGCAGATCGGCGGTTCAGGCTGATCCAGAATAAGTTTCCTAATCTCAGACAGGCGATTTTGTGCCTGTAAAATAACGGATTCGCTAGGATTTCGAGTTCCATGGCGGATTATGGACCAGATTCGCGTTGGGTGGCAACCTGGTGGTATGAAACGGGTAAAAATCGAGAGAAGTCAGCTGTTTTTAATCATATGTTAGTTAAAACAGTAGGATATGGAAAACATTTTTATAGTTCAGGCTTCTTTGGTTTTACTGTCAACTTTTCCAAACACTCCGACGGTTGGAGTGTTTTAGTGATAGCCCGCAGTAATAATGTTAAAAAGAAGGTAAAATTGCGCTTTAGCGGCTTTTGCTAAAAATGGTCTAGGAATTTTTTTTTTTTTTTTAATGGATACCTTGGGGCCTAAACATTAATAAAAAAGTGGCGGAAAGCTTGATTTCTAAGTATTTATTTGTAAAAATAGCAAAAAAGCAACTGGCCATAGCTTTTCTGGGTATTCACTCAGTACTATAAAATCACTCTGAGTCATTTCGCAACCTTTACAGCGTTCAGTAGTAAAATTGGCAGTGCCTGACATGGTAAAATTGTTAAATTTCTTTTGTTTTTAAATTTTCACACAATTGCAGCACTCTTCATCCACAACACATTCTCAACGGTAAAGTTTTTCGCTAGAAAAACATGGCAATGTTCTAAAACGGGTTGCCTCGCGGCAGTAATAATTGCAATTTTAACACATAAATAATTAAAATTTAAGCTTTCCGCCACTTTTTTATTAATGTTAAGGCCCCAAGGTATCCATTAAAAAAAAAAAAAAATTCCTAGACCATTTTTAGCAAAAGCCGCTAAAGCGCAATTTTACCAAAAAGAAATCATAAATACAAACCGGCGTATAGCGGCGGTGTTTCGTCGTAATTGGCAATCGCCCTGTAAGGCGTTTTTGTTGACAGTCTGCTTTCGATCTCTGCGCGATTTAAGCGACGGCAGGAACCCTTCTCCGCCAACGTCTCGCCTACGTAGTTAAGGAGGAGCAACCAAAACAAACAAGAAAGTAGTCGTAGCATTTTTTCGAGCGATCGGAAAAACTTGTCGAGAGACTCAAGAAGATTTCGGAAAAACCAAGTCAAAACATAAAAAACTAAAAATGCGCAGCTAGCACGCGACACACAGATCGAAAGACGGAGCAAAGGAAAGATGCTAACAAAAATAAACACGCAGGGGAAAACAAACTGACAAGTGGGCCAGTGCCAAAAGGGGGCAGCGCTGTTGCGGGGCGCGATTGTCAGGCAGCACTGAAACCAGGGCTGCCAGAAATAGCCGTTTAGACCGTTTGTTGGCGGTATATTTAAAATATATAAATAAATAATGTATGCTAAATTACGTTTTGTTGAATTAACTTAAATAATTATTATTTGTTGATAATAGGAGTGGAAATACATGCATTGGCTTTTTTCGGTTGCTCTATACCGCTCAACAAGTGTTTGTTTAACAGCATCGAGCTTTCTGTCGCAAAAAGCTCCGCTTTAACCAGCCCGGTGAGCGATTAAAATATTGTGTAGTCGCACGCCATACACTCAAAAGGACTAAAGCGGTTGCTAGACACGAAAAATCTTAAGACCAAACGGAATAAACAACGTGCAGTTTAAAAGTTGACAACTTAAGGGCATACAAAGACAAAACAAACAAATTAAATATATACCCTATTTTTGGTCCAGAGTTCGTTTCCATTGAGTTCTGAATTAAATTGTGCTTCTTGAAGGAAGCCTGGGTATTTTTTGGCTGCCATATGGCTCTTCAAGAGTCGCATTCCGCCAATGTCAACGGGGAAAAGAGGAAAAACAGCACGTGCCGCGAAAAGTTTTGCGCCAAAACTAGAAATCCAGGTAACCGGTAGCTCGGTGTCATTGTCCTTTCACCATTTGTTGATGGGGGGTGTACCACTTTGATTTGTGGTCATCACACATGCCATTGCACTGCAAAAAACTGGTGAAATTCCCAGACTGTTGCACAACTCTCTTTCTAATTTTACTTGCTGCAGAATATTTGGAGCCTTTAATTTAGAGCCTCTGTAACAGGAAATCGTACAACATCAAAATTCCTCGCACTGTACTTACGCTACCTGTTGGGCGCCCTTCCTTGGAGCTTAAAGCGCGTGTTTGGCAACTTTGAATCTATTTTTGTAAGCCAGGACAACAATCAGCTAACGAAAATCGATCAAATTATGTTCTTAAGGGTGGCCTGGGGCTGTGCCACCCATCCGAGTAGTTGGCGGAGGGTTTCGCCAGAGCCGCCAGTATTTGATCACCGGAGGGTTCGTGAACTTGGGACAGGTATTCCCTCTCTATCGGTGAAATTGAACGAAGAACGCAATTTCGAACGCGATTTCCGAAGCCGCATCGAGTGGCCGAAAACAAGTCACAAAGCAATAACACAAGATGGGCGCTAAAGTGGGTATTGTGGGTTGGTTTTTTCACGGGGGACGCAGCGCTCCCTAATCTCCCTACTTATCGGACAGGGAGGTAATTAATTTTTTGGGAGCCATTGACAATGACACGATGATCACGCACTGATAATGCCAACGCCAATGACTGCTGGGCGGAGGGGGGTGGCGTCTTCCCTGCGGTTGGGAGGCGCGTGGTGGGTGGTGGGTGGTGGGTGGTGGACGGTGTGTGGTTCAATGATTGGGTTACAGCGTCATGTTGGCTGGCGCAGACGGCCAACCAAAAGCGCTACAAAAACAAAAAAAAAAAAAAAAACAGAGCCGCGATTAGACCACTTTGTGTGTGGAACGTGCCAAATGGACTTCCATCGGTTGTGGTCCCAGCAATGGAGTTGGGGCAACAGGGGAACGGACAGGTAAACAGCGTTGTCTGCCCCACAAATGGGTGGCCTGCGTCCATCATTAGTTGATGGGCTAGTTGATATCCTTTGAAAACACCATTTCAGACTATCAGTTCCAATCGAACTACCCGAGTGGGGGTTTAATATCTCGAGGGAAAGTGAACCCGAATACGTTTTGGGATTTCCACTTTAGACTCCAAAGGGTCGAAACCATCGGAGTAGGGACACAGTGTATTTTGGGTCTCCCGAGAAGGTCCGCGTCCGGTGCTCCCGGTACTTTGGTGTCCAGAAAACTCGGACCAAGCGCTCGACTCGCTCGTCGTGGGGTCTGTAACCAACTTAGCATTAATGTAATATACACTCTAGGTGTCACTGCCATTGGCAATACTTTGTACACTCTGTTGTTGTTGTTGTTGTTGCTGTTGTTGCTGTTGCTGTTGTTGCTGTTGTTGCTGCTGGCAACGACGTCGGCAGAGGCGCTGGCCGCGACAGCGACTGCTTAAAAGCTAAGGACACGCGTCGAGAACGCTCAGTTGGCATCGAGAAGTCGCTTTGCGAGGTTTGGCGGCAAAACAAACTCTAACCAAAAGCCCTCGAGGAGCGACACTAACGGCCAATCACTCGCACACTGGCGAGTCGCGAATGCCGTCGAGCGGTTAGTTCAAAACAAAAAAACCAAAAAAAAAAAACGAACAAATAAAAACAAATCAAGGGGTGAAAGTCGTAAAAGACACACACAACAACAAGAAGAGCACCGACCGAACAAAAAACAAAACAAGACCGCAAGCCCGCGACGCAGAAACAATAATAATAACACCCAAAGCCTGCTACACAACTAAAAGTAATGCACTAAGATATTAATTAATAATTACAGCAACCAGCAAAGAGCGCGAATATTGAAATTAATTTGCTCTGGCCTTAATCTAATCGAAAAGGTCTTGAGATCAATGGTTTTATGTACAAACAACCATTCCGAAGTGATTGCACCGATATATGTTTTAATATAAATTAGAATACCAAGTTGTTTTCTATGCTAATCTCTTTTTTTTCCTGTGCGATGGTAAATTGAAAAGTTATTGTCTAGTCTGCGAACCATCGGCGGTAATCCGATGCGAATTGAACGACGGCCGAATTAATTTATTTCAGTTTGTCTCGCTCCGTTCGAGTTGCCATCCTCCTCATCTCATCGCCAGTCTTCTCGGCTTCCCCCCTCATCTTATATATGTACATATAGTATGGGCATATAGCGACATCGGCGTTCGCATCGCATTTCACGTGGCCCAGCAAAGTACCCAATTTTCATAACCGTTTTGCCGGTGATCGCGAGTTGAAAACAGTGTGATTATGATTAATAAATATTCATAAGCGTCACGAGATTTGGATCTGGATTTCCGATGGGCTTTCGATCAGTCCATCAGATTGGCTTTGGCTTTGGCTTTGGCTTCTGCTTTGGCTTCGGCTTGGAGACAGTATATAGATGATATAGTCGGCAGCCTCAGTCGGCGTCGCTGCCCGCCGCAGCTGGGTTAACTAGTTTCGAGTTTTGCAAATTTGCCGCGCATTAATACGTGCTCTAAGTCACAGTGAATATCGGTTCGAAAGAATGATCGGATGTGCCTCTGCACAGAAAGGGATACGCTTTCGGAATAAGGCACCTCTGCCCGGCATGAGTTCTTTCAATACTTTCATTGGCACTCCTCACAGCTATAAGAATCAAAAACAATAACAGTGTATGTGTCGTTCTGGCAATCCATTAGATATTTACGTAAAACTCTCAACCTCGCTAAGCATTTGTTTAGTTTTTTACGTTCCATAAATCAAGAGCTCATTGGCTGGTTTAAGTTAATTCTACCCAAGCAACAATTAGTTGAGTGGTCGTTAAAATAATGTTTATTTCTAACACTTGAACGACGAACTTGCAGGATGGTGATAGTGCTCATCACTTTATAATTAGAATCGCACTCGCAAGTGTTACACCTCCAATCGTGGGTGATTGAACTACTAAAAACAGCACCTTTTGATTTTTTAAGAGGACTAAAACGTACTCCTTCACCAAACCTACTCCTTCAGCCCCAAAAGTGCAGTGGTTGGATAGAACTTACAAATATGTTTGAGCCCAGTTGGCTAATTCGAAATACGGCATGTGCCTTTAGCCGCTGTTCACTGAAATTTATAGCACAAGCAACTGTTTGGCTTTGCATCCCCTGCTGAGTTGCCGGCTGCGATTGTGCGAAAAACACGTTGGCCCTGATCGCACGTCACACAGCAGCAGCAACAGCAACAGCAACAGCAACAGCAACAGCAACAACAACTACCCACAAAAGGCAACAACCACTCGGCCATATCAACGAAAAGCAAGAGCAACGACAGCCAAGGAGATGATATCAGAAGATCGTTACCTGTCAAAATCTCCGAAGCGCGCACTTTGACAAGAGACAAGCGGCCGTAACTTCTGGGGTCCCTCCACTCCACCTTCCCCTCCCTCCACTCCCCCCACTCCCCCCACTCCTCTCCCTCCCCAATGCCCCAGCAAGTCCCCTTTTGCGCAACAGCACTTACAGTGGACACCCGCGACACGTGAACACGCGAGTGGCAACGGCCTGTCAATCGACCACACTCGCTCGTGGGAGATCTGGTTGAGTCCAGTGCTAGCCGGTCTGGTTATGAGTTATATGTTGCTATATATAGCTGAGATATCGGCGAGGCTCGCTTGCGGGAAACTGCAGCGATGATAACTCGTCGATAGGAGCGTAGTAAATAAGTAGAGGCTTTAACATTTGACCCTGTCCATGTCCGTGAAAGCCTTTTCTGCTTACATATATAACCATATAGAACTGTAAATCACTGCACACTATCTCTCGATATTTCCTAACCCTTCTCTTTCCATTTCCATTTCCATTTCCATTTCCATTTGGATTTTCGCCAGTGCCATCGCCGCTGATGTTGCGTGCGTTGCCGCCGTTGTCGCTCTAACTGCGAACGGTCCGCCGCTGTACCGCTGTACCGCTCCACCTGTCCGTCGTCCGCCGAGCGCCGAGCGCCGAGTGCCGACCGCCCACCGCCAGACAGAGCGGACGGGCCATAAATCAGGCGCCCGATAAAAGGAAGGGGAGGCAAGATGTCGCAGCCACATGAGGCAACAGCGGCCCCCGCAGCCGCTCCACTTTCGCTGCACCTGGAGAAGCCCTTGAACAATGGTTACCTACAGGCGAACGTGCCGCTGGAGGAGCTGAGCGCCACGGTGGTGTCGCCGCTTCTGGGGCAGCAACAGGTGCCACATCCGGTGCAGCAGCAGCAGCAGCAGCAGCAGCAAAGCCAGGTGCCACAGCTACAGCAGCAACAGCAGCAGCAGCACAAGCTGCCCACCGTCGTTTTCCTGGCGCCCGACGGCAGTGGGGGCGTGGGAATCCAGCGGAACGCAACGCCGGGAAACCCGGGGGCAGGAGGGGGTGGAGGGGGCAGCAGCAGCAGCGACTGGCTGCTCAAGGAGTCGCAGCAGAGGCGCCGCCTGCTCGTCCTGGCCATCGCCTTCACCGTTCTGGGAGCCGCCATCGGAGCCCTGGCCATCTACTTCGCCAGCGTCCACCAGCGATGCCAGTTGTACCACCTGGAGCCAGGTAAGCGGCATCCTAATCAGCTGTCCATCCGTTGTCAACAGGTCACTAGTCAACTACTGATATTCGATTGCCATTCTTATGGAGAACATTCCAGCTGTCATGGCGGAAATGAAAATCCAAGGATTAATCATGTTCGAAGCATGAGTTATTAGTGCAGACACATGCCAGTTTTCAAAAGTTGGACAACGAGCCATTTCATGCTGAAAGGCACTTAAGTCGTTAATTATTTTTGGCACCACTTCAGGAAAATACTACCCCACAACTATGATAGACTATTTTTATCTTGGAGATGGCGTTCCGATGGCGTTTACCTGCCTGCCAGTACGGACGAGCTCCTTACTGGGTCAAAAGCCAATTTGCAGGCATCCTGCGCTCCTCAGCTGGATCCTGCCACTTCCCCGAACCCCGAACCAGCGCCTCTCCTGGCCACCCAGTAGGCATGTTAACTGAATTTAGCGCCTGGTCGCTGGTGATTCAAAGAAACGACACGAAAACTCAATTTCCTTGTCCTGGGGAATACAGAGCACAGAATACAGAGCACAGAACACAGAGCAACAGGCTGAAGGATTCTGCGGTTGCGAGTCTGCCGGGTGTTGTAATCTCCGTCCTGCCGACTTCCCTGTAATGCGCCCGTTCGAAATTCAATTACAGAATATGTCAAACAACAACAACAACTCGAGCACAACAACAACGCAGGCAGTCGCTTCCCTGCCGCTCGCCTTTTTGTGGTGTGCTGATTGCCGCGCCACAGTGGTGCAAAATGCCAGTTCAGCCAAACATGAATCAATCAAAAACATATGCGAAAGTATTCCTGTTGTAATTCATGTTTGCTTTATAGTATGTATACTACCCTTCCTGGTGGTTGTAGGTTGCTTTAGGTATTCTCTACTCCAAGAAATTAGGCGACCACCTTTTGGCCAGAGCCCAAGTATTCCGTATTCCGAGACACTGTCTGCCTTGTGTTCTTATCTCGCGTTATCTGCGAGTGGTGGTTGCGTCGTTCGAGTGGCTGGGTGGTCGGGTGGTTGGGTGGTGCTCTAGACTCGACTTCCTTCTGCATTCGTTTGGGAGCACATGAAGAAATGCGATTCAAAGCGACTGAAATATTCAAGAGCTGCGAACCGGGTGGCTCCCTCGCAGGAGCAGGATGTCTGTCCCGGCATAATTTACATGTTCATGTGCTCCCTCGATTACAAAAACAAGTGAGGGAGACAACGAAGAGAAAAGAAGGCAAAACAAGGAACAAAAAGCAATCAATCGGCATTGCCAGGGATGTCTATGAATTTTTAACGGCCTTTACAATCGATCGCGTCCTCTTCCCTTCGGCTCCTTACACTAATTGAATATGTACACACATAGCACCTCCGTCCACGCCATTGCGCCCCATTATCCTGTTTATATTTACAGTGATAAAACGTGTTCTCAACATTTTGCTCCAGAATTCATTCACGAAACCTCAGAACGGATGCCAACGGCGAGGCAGCAGCGGCACCATCAAAGCCTATTTCTTTTTATAACGATTTAAAAATATCACTTTGGCGGCATCTCCATAAATACCCAGCGCCATCATCATCATCATCGCCGCTTTACAGGGGCAACTTGTGGTAGGCCTTTGGCCTTGACTATGATTTCCCTCCCGCTCTTCAGCTTTTCCACTTCCATCCCCTCTCGACCATCGATTTTCTCTCCTACTACTCCTGCCTTTAACCTTAAAGGCTACGAGATACGAGAGTTGCAGGCCATTAAACAGATAAATTAAAGATCGCTACGAGGCTTGGCTTCAAGTTGAACCAAATCCATTTGGTGAAATTCAGAAAGTAAGATATATTCTCAATACTTCAAATATCGCCCAGGAGGGAATGCAGGTATGCAATAAGTAAATTAATAAGCTTCTGGAGTAAATTACATTTACGATATTATGAGAAGGCACAAACAGTCGAATTTAATGATAAACCGATGGCAACAAAATCGATTGATTCTAATACCATCCTTTGCTGAATTTCGAATAACCCTATTAGGCCATAACATAATGAAATTCGCAGCTCCTGGACATTCAACCCGAGTGGCCAAGTGGCCAAGTGGCCAAGTGACCAACTGGCCAACTTGCCAACTTGCCGCATGCCACTGGCCACTTGCGGTCCACTTAAACCTATTAACGCCGTGGCAAATGTTATTGGCTGGGTGGCAGGGTGGGTGGCTGGGTGAATAGCTTTAATTAATAACTAAAGCTGCCATCTCCAACGCTTTTCCCCCGGCTCCTGCTTCGACTTCGGCTTCAGCTTCGGCATCACAGCACCACTTTTATTGACAGCCTCGACAAGGACGACATGCAACATGTGTCCTGTCCGGGCGGCAATCGATGGCCAGTGGGTGGGACTCGGCTCCGGCTCCTTGTTGCTTGAGGTTGGGGAGCAGCCCACTGGAGAACTGGAATTCAATTTTCTTGAGTAACCCGCTGATAGGGTCTTCGACTTTTCACATTTAAGAACACATTGCTCATACGCCGCGTGTGCGTGTGCGTGTGCGGGAGAATACTGAAAATCTGCATCTCTAATTGCAGGCAACGATGACAGACCGAAAGGCAGGTGGAACCAGTACTCGGGATCCGCCCCCGAGGGCCCGGAAAACATATGCATGACCCAGGAGTGCGTGAGAACAGGTAAGCTGAGATCCACTTGGAAATTGGGAAATGGGGAAATGGGGAAATTGGGGCCTCGACATGCCATTGCCGACTAAGCGGTTCATATGGCAGAAAGACAATATCAGTAATGACTGCAATTCACATATATAGTACGTACACCCCGATCAGAATTACCGGAATGGAGTAGCGCTATAATGAATATACCATAAGTTTTAATGTGCTCCAGGCGAACGAAAGGAAGTCAGCGCAGTGGACACAATCACCAATAAGTGCGCGGTTTATTTGGGCTGTAAATAATTCATCGGCTATTAGGGAATCCAAGTGGCCCAGTGGGGGAATGCTCCGCCCGGCGGTGGGGAACACGACATCTGCTCCGCCATTATGTCAAGCCAGGCGGGCGGCCAGCAACACCTCCAAGCCGAGTCACTGGCCGAGGAGGAAATTGGCCCAGTGATTGACTGGCTGGCATGCCGGCAGATACGGGACACTTGGACACACCTGTCCGGCTGCCGGAAATGTTCTCCTGAAATATACATGGCCACTGGCCACCACTGCCGGGCGGGCAGTGCAATCGATTCTGGTGTCCCACTTATTACATGTATGCTTTTCGGGGTCTACTGAGGTCCGAGTCAACAGCGAAGGGATGTGGGATACGAATTCCATGTTTCTTGCACTTCACTTATACGCTTTTACATCTGGAAAAGCAACTGGCATTTTCTGAGCTTTTTCTTGGAAAGCCAATGATAATAATGATAACCAACCAAACATTCTATCGGATGAAACTGAGAGCAAAAGTCCAATGGACACTGGCAATGAATGGCAACTTAAGGATAGAATTATTTGAATCATGTAATTTCCAAGTGCGCTTTCAAAGTTTGCTTTCTTACCTGGAGCATAAATTATTGGCTTTCCCGGCCACTGTGGACTGTGAAGCGCCTCGCAAAGTGCGCACTTGGTTTTCCGAGATAATGAATTTCAGCTGGATGACGCTGATTTATGGATTGCCAGCGCAGCGAGTCAACAATGCAGGCTTATCGCCGGAATGGCTGGCTCCTTCTTTGCCATTAGTTCCGCGTCCATTCACAACTTTGGTGTGGCCGAAAAAGTTGCATCGCCGCGGGAAAAGTTGGTTTTCTGAAGCGCCTATCGCTTATCGCCCGGCCATACGTATCATGAAAGTTTTGGGTTGATGATTTGTGGGACAAGTTTACAAGCGGTGCGATTGGGGGGAAGGGGCATAAATTGCTGGCCCAGCGGGTGAGGCACTAATTGCACGCCAACTGACGGGTTTCCCAGGCGTTTGATTTACTGGCTAATAAACCGGCAAACCGGCAATCAATCCAATCCAATGCAATCCGAATCTGACCTAGCGGCCTCCCTGCTCTCGGCCATGGACCTCAACTCCGATCCCTGCGAGGACTTTTTCCAGTACGCCTGCGGCACTTGGAACAAGATGCATCCCATTCCCGAGGACCGCAGCTCCATCAGCACGTTCGAGGTACGTACCCAAGAAGTTGGGAAGCCTCTCTAATGCCCATCCCCCCGATCCGCCCGCAGGTCCTGTCCGACCAGCAGCAGGTGATCCTGCGCGCCGTCCTCGAGGAGCCGATCGACGACCGCGACAACCAGGCCACCATCAAGGCCAAGACCTTCTTCAAGAGCTGCATGGACATACGTAAGTATCGATCCTTCGATCCATCTTCTCTGAGCTCTTAGGATCTCTTTTTTCGCAGCTCAAATCCGCAAGGTCGGCATCGGACGGCTCAAGCAGGTGCTGCGCTCCCTGGGCGGCTGGCCGGTCATCGAGCGGGACTGGCGTCCGCCGGCTAACCTCTCCGTGGAGCGGCTGATGGGCCAGCTGCGGCTCAACTACAGCGAGCCGGTGATGATCGAGCTGTACGTGGGCGCCGACGACAAGAACAGCTCGGTGAACATCCTGCAGATGGACCAGCTGCAGTACGCGCTGCCCTCGCGCGACTACTACCTGAAGGAGAGCAGCGAGAACGACCGCCGCGCCTACCACCGCTACATGACGCAGGTCTCCCTGCTCCTCGGGGCCGATCCCGCCACCGCGGCCGCCGAGCTCGAGGAGGTGGTGCGCTTCGAGACGCAGCTGGTGAACGTCTCGCTGCCGGAGGCGGACCGCCACGACACCAGTACCGTCTACTTCAAGACCTCGCTGCCGGAGCTGCAGCGTCTGGTGCCCGAGGTGCAGTGGCGGGAGTACCTGCAGGCGGCCCTCGGCGCTGAGATCCCGCTGCAGACGGACGAGCCGCTGGTCACCTATGGGCTGGAGTACCTCACCGAGATGGGCCGCATCCTGGCCGACACCGATCGGCGCGTGGTGCACAACTACATGCTGTGGCGGCTGGTCATGTCGCTGATGTCGCACATGATCGACGAGTACCAGCGGGAGCGCGTGGAGTTCCGCAAGATCCTCATGGGCATCCAGTCGGAGCGGACGCGCGGCTCGCAGTGCGTCGAGTGGACCAACAAGAAGCTGGGCGTGGCCGTGGGCGCCCTCTTCATCCGGGACAACTTCAACCAGGAGAGCAAGGAGGTGGCCCTCGAGATGATCCACACGATCCGGGCGGCCTTCAACGAGCTGCTGGCCGAGAACGACTGGATGGACGACGAGACGCGGGCGGTGGCCAAGGAGAAGGCGGACTCCATGAACGAGCGCATCGGCTATCCGGAGCTGCTGACCAACGCCACCGAGTTGGAGCAGGAGTACGTGAATGTGAGTGCAGGGCAAGCTCCCAAGGATCTCCGATTCTCAAGCCCCTCCTCTTTCCCCAGCTGACGATTGTCCCGGACAACTTCATCAACAATGTGCTGAGCATCCTGCACTGGGAGTCGGAGAAGATGCTGCGCCTCCTGCGACAGCCGGTGGACAAGGAGAAGTGGACCACCGAGCCGGCGGTGGTGAACGCCTTCTACAACCCCAACAAGAACGACATAGGTGGGTTGCCCTGATTCCTGCACTTGGTCACTAACTCACTGGGTAACTCTATCCGCCAGTATTTCCCGCTGGCATCCTGCAGCCGCTGTTCTACAGCCAGCACTTCCCCAAGTCGCTCAACTACGGCGGCATCGGCGTGGTCATCGGGCACGAGATCACCCACGGGTTCGACGACAAGGGGCGGCAGTTCGACAAGGAGGGCAACATGATGCAGTGGTGGAACAACGCCACCATCGAGGCCTTTCGCGAGCGGACGCAGTGCGTCATCGACCAGTACTCGGGCTACAAAATCAACGAGGTGGACATGTTCATGGACGGACGGATGACGCAGGGCGAGAACATCGCCGACAACGGCGGTCTGAAGCAGGCCTTCAGGGTGAGTGTGCATATGATGATATGTACATGATATATCCCATGATATTCCATCACCAAAACTTACTCCGCGATCTCCACCCCGCAGGCCTACAAGAAGTGGGAGGCGCTGCACGGCCGGGAGCAGCTGCTGCCCGGCCTGAACATGACCCACGACCAGCTGTTCTTTCTCAACTACGCCCAGATCTGGTGCGGATCCATGCGGCCGGAGGACGCCCTGACCAAGATCCGCTCGGCGGTCCACTCGCCGGGATTCGTCCGTGTCCTGGGGCCCCTCTCGAATTCGCGCGACTTCGCCCGCGCCTACAACTGTCCGCTGGGCAGCACCATGAATCCGGCGAAGAAGTGCAGCGTGTGGTAGTCGTCCGCCGGCTACCGGCCGAGGCGCCGATGTTTTTTTTATATATTTATATCGCATACTACATACCATAGTACCATAGTATATACATATGCCCATATACACAATGCGCTACGAGTGGCCACCAACCACACCGATGAGATTGGGGATCGATCACCTGTTCTGTTCCAATTTTATTTTCGAGTTTCCTGTTCTTTTTTTTCCGTTTGTTATAGCGCAGTATTGCACATGTACTTATTACCTGGCTATATAAATTTATAGTGTGTTTTTAGCTGTACACTAGTGCGTTGTCAGAGTAGCCCACGAACACCCCGATCCGCACTGTCCGACATCTCTCCTTACCGGCATTATATTCGTGAATAAAGAACAAGTACGGAACACTTGAGGCACTCTTTTTGGAGAACGGGTGGGTGATGAGTCTCGATTGATGAGTGTGGGTGATATGTGTGTGAACTGTGTGTACATCCATGACCACTCGAAAAACCACTGAGATCTCCCGGTTTACCAGTACTCGTACTTCTCTCGAACCAATCCCAATTGAAAGTCGAACTGGGAAGCAGGAAAGCGGGCTTGGTCGTGCTTTATCCGTTCATTTCAAATTCTCTTTAATTTTTAATGCTCGTTTTTTGGTTTCGCTTCGCTGCTTTACATAGTATGTGTTCTCAGTATATATGTACGTATCTAGTGGAACCAATCGAACCATTCAAATTATACGCAAAGGGTACGCAACGAAATGATTACAACGTGGCTATTGACTATTTGTCTAACAGAGTTTCGGTTGCCGTCTTTGCATCAGAGGATAGTGCTTAGTTTCTTATGTCCCTTCTTAAACAAATTCACATTTAATTGGCTTATTTTACTTTGCAAAGAATTACGGGCTTAATGGGGTCTCTTGTACCAGCATGGAGCTAAAAGCAAATTTGCTTAGTTTTGCGTTTCTTTGGCCGTTATGGCATTCATTTAAATTTAACTCTTTTCTCTAAATTTGTTGATGGCTTTTGTTTGTTTTTCTTTATGTTTCCATTTTTATTACAAATTAACTTATGTTTTGTAGCAGTTTACCTAATTATTAATCAACAAGAAGAAACGTTTTTATAGTTGCTTGACGCTTCGCACAAAAAACTGACACACACAACTAAAACCAAAAACGGATATAGTTTCATTTGGTTTACTTCGAAGCAGCTATTTTAAAAAATTACAAAAAAAAAACGTTCAAAACTACTAGCGCATTAACCTATAAACTTCATGCTTTCGTTTAATTTTACTTGTATTTTTACTTTTATGTTGCTTTTTGTATTTTCGGTATTCATTATTAGTAGGCTTATGTAGTTATATTGTTTTGTTTTACGTTAATATTCCTTCGTCCTGCCTCATACAATATATAGTTTTCAGAGTTGCATTTTCAGCTACGCGAGGCACTGCTTGCCATCACCGTTACATTTCGCACTGCTTGTATTGTGTCCGTTTGGTGTGGAGAGTTTGATGAGTAGGTGTGCGACAGAGAGCGATAGAGAGTAGGGATTAGACAGAGATAGAGTCAGTGTTTGTCACATATGTATAAATGTATATATATACATATATATATATATATCTTGAGATATATTCGTAGAGAAAGGCACAGATGAAATTATCGTATAATTAAATTTGTTGCTTCTTATTTTCCTCGCGTTCGCCCAAATCGTTTGCTAAGTTTGATTTTAAAGTTTATCTAAACTGGAGAGCTCGTTCACTTCGTTTTTTATAGTGTGTACAAAGAGTGTAAAATTGTTTTCTTTGGTTTTCCTTGAAAAATTAGCTAAGACCATGTTGAAAAATTGACAGTGTTAAGTTAGTGTTCTTATCGATTTCTCGCTTCTTTGTCTTGTTTAAGGTTGCCTTCTGAAGAAATATCTTGATACTCTATTGTAATTCGTTGATAGTTCCATATATACACATACACTATATATAGTCATTAAACATTAATCTTTAAATTTCTACTACGTTTCTCTTGGTTTTTCTTTATAAATGCTACTTTTTAAAGTTCATCTTGTAGTTGTTGCTGCCATCTTTGCTTTTTCTTCGGTTAGATTTGAGATATCTTTTTTTTTTTTTTTTTTTTAAAAAAAAATAACATTTCGAATGCCCTTACTGCGTTGGCACTGTGTTTCGGATATCTGCACTTTTGGGGGCCAGGGTCTTTTGGTCTTTAGTCCACGGAAGATTTGGAAGCCTTTAGAAGAAGATAGAGGGACAGACAGGGGGAGATTTGTGAAGATTGTCGACCGGATCGTAATAGCTACCTGTTTGGTTGTGGGTGTTGGTGTGGGTGTTGGTGTTGGTGTGTTTGTCTGTGTGTGTGTTTACGTTCCTAAGTAAATTCGTTTGCACAAAGTTCTTATTTTTGGTTTCCCCTTTTCCGTATCCTTTTTTTGTTGGGCGTTCTTAACCCTGCAACAACGCAGCTATATTCGTTTTTAGGTTAGGTACGATCTTAAGAGCTACAGTTCTCTATTGCTTATCATTGGGTTCGCTCTGACGCTTCTCGTCGGCATCATTCCCTTCAATTAGTTTTCCCTTTGGCTAAGATACATGGGTTCACGTACAGGCTTTCTATATACAGATAGCATGTGGTGTGTTTTCTGGTGTCTGCACGGCTTCTCATATAAACGTTTTAACTTTAAGAGCTAATCACAGAGTTGATGATTCTTCCTTCACAAATTTCCATCAGTTTTGTTCGAATGCAGTATCCCTATAAGTATCATACTCGTATCTATATATATGTATATGTAATATAACTGTATATATGTAAATCGCATATAACACTTGTATATAATCCAGCATCGCCTGGGGTATCTTCGTTTTCGACTGCTACATTTAAACGGAAAACACTCTAATCAACTTGAAACTTAGCTATCATATCTCTCTGACCGGATCTATCACGGTCTTTTAGTTTTTTTTAGGGTTCTTCGCTTGAGTTCTGCTTGTTAAAGTTATGAAAACCGTAGGATTGCACTAAAAACAGTTGTCAATTACATAAGCCTGCTAGCCTTTCATTCCATCGATTTTTTTTTTTTTTTTTTGACTTCATCTTGTTTTTTTTTTTTTTGTGGCTTTGAGCTTGCCATGTAACATTTCCGTTCAATCGTTTATAGTGAAACTGTCATCGACTTATCATTACTTGGGTTCTCTCACCACATCACCACATCGATCTTTATGCCTAGAGCCTTATTTTATAGTTATAATTTGTAGAAAATTCCCTAAAGTACTCTTTAATGGCGGCCAGATTTACACTACAGAGATTTTGTCAGTGGAAAAGTTGCTTGGGGATCGACTTAGCTCACTTAATGGATTCGTTAAGACCCAGATTGCATTAGATTCCATTACAGCAATTGGTATTTTGGAACAGTGACTATCTTAACCGTTACCCTGGCTAGAATCCGTGCTAATCAGCTCTTCAGTATCCACTTCAGTTGTAAACCCGGCCTTGGATAGATTACTACATACTTGAAAGGATCTAGAGAGTGTGTGTGTGTGTGTGTGTGCTTGCGTTTAGTCCACGGATGACTGTGGCGACTTGACGAGGAGCAGCTCCTTGTAGTCGCTGTCCTCCGCCTCGATGTCCTGATCCTGATCCTGTTCGTTGTCCCGCTGCTCCCGCTGATCCATGCGCCGCCGCTCGCTGATGATGCGCAGGATGTCCGAGGAGTCGGACTTGCTGACGATCCCCGTGGCGACGTTGGCCGGCATTTTCGGACTGCCGCCTTGCTCGGGCAGGTCCAGCGAGCCCGAGCTGATGACGGCCGCCGATCCGGGACTAGATCCCGATCCCGATCCAGATCCAGACCCAGATCCAGGTCCTGATCCCAGTCCCAATCCCAATACCGATCCCGATCCGGAGACCGATCCTCCGGCGGCCGCCGGCAACAGCAGCGAGCTCTCGTCCATGTCGGCGTCCTCGTCGAGGGCCTGCTGCTTGAAGAGCTGCTTGGTGCTGCCGCTGCGGCTGCGCGGCGGCATGGATCTGGGCACGGAGAGCAGCAGACTGCTGCGCAGGCATCCCTGGTCCACCGACTGCGACCAGCCGAAGGGTCTGCGCTGATGCTGCGGATGCTGTGGATGCTGCGGATGCGGATGCGCCACGATGGGCATGGGCGTGGGCGTGGGCAGGGACAGGGGCGGGGGCAGTGGCGCCACCGAAGGCACCAGGGCACTGACCACCGCCAGGGAAACGTCCGCTGCGTCTGGGTCCGTGTGGCCCACGTCCGCGCTGCGCACACTGCGCAGGTCGTAGGAGCCCACTCCAAATCCTCCTCCTCCTCCTCCACCACCACCCCCCACTCCACCCCCGTCCGACTCGAGGCTCTCGAAGATCGTGCCCCTGCGGCAGTCGAGGGCGTCCCCGCCCCAGGGCAGCGAGTCGCAGCTGGTGCGCTTGGCCTCCAGGTTGCGTCGTCGGATGGCCTGCTCGTCCAGTGAGCGCTCCTTGGACAGCACGCCGCGCTTGCGGAAGCCGGCGGCCGCGGAGGCGCGTCGCCCGCGGCGACGACTGTCCAGCGGCGGCAGCGGGAGGCCGGCCACGCCCACGGCCAGCGTTTCGCCCGTTCCACCACCAACGCCTCCCGCTGCCGTCGCTGGGCCGCCGAAGGGCTCGCCCAGCCGGGCGCCGAGCGCCTGAGGCGTCAGCGTGCCGCCCATCTCGGCCAGACTCAAGCCGAGCATGGATTGCGGTGGCTGCTGGAAGTACTGAACGGTCTGCCGTCGTTGTCCAGCTCCAGCTCCAGCTCCAACTCCAGACGTCACAGATGCCGCTCCGGAGCCCGCACCCCCGCCACCCGACGATCCACCGCCGGCCACCTGGTTGAGGTTCGTGGCCGCCGAGCTGGTCAGGCTCGAGCTGGGATTCCCGGATGCGGCTGCGGCCGCAATTGAGCCGCCGGGAACAAGGGGGAACTTCTTGTCCAGCGAGGGCGTGCTGTAGATGAAGTTCTTCGGCAGGGACTTGACCTTGGCGAGGGGGGCGCGGGGGAGCGGCCGCCTTCGATTGCGCCTCCGCCAGCTGCTGGCACAACTTTTGCTCCTGGGCGAACTCCTGCTCGCGCACCAGCTCGCGCTCGAGCTCCACCTCCATGTCGAGCTCGTCTTCCATTTGCTTGTGGCTCTCCTCGAGGTGTTTCATCAGTACAGCCACGACGACGTTCACCAACACGAATTGCGCCATCAGCACGAATATCACAAAGAATATGGGAGCAATAACCGAGCTGACGCAGCAATTGCGCACGCAATCGGCCGCGTCATCGCAGTTATCCCTCAGCGTGTCCTTCATGATGCCGTTCCAATTGTCGCCAGTCGCTACGCGAAACAATGTGAGGAAAGCCATGCCAAAGTTGGCGAAGTGCGCGTGCTCGCCCAGTCCCTGGCAGGGTATCTCGTCGGAGCACTCGAGTCGCCCGAACAGCTCCACGCCCAGCGCCGCGAATATGAAGAAGAGCAGGAAGAAGAGCAGGCCCAGGTTGCCCACCTGGGGCAACGCCTGCATCACGGTGTCGAGGAGGGCGCGGATGCCCTTGGCCATCTTGAGGAGCTTGAGAACCCGCGCGATGCGCAGCACGCGCATCACCCGGATGATCGTCGGGTTGATGGGTATGATGTTCGTCTCCAGCTCCTCCAGCACGATGCCCACGATCGAGAGCAGGACGATGCCGACGTCCAGCTGGTTCCAGCGGTCCTTCAGGTAGAGCTTCCAGCCGAGGGCCACCAGCTTCATGTTGGCCTCCAGGATGAACACCGCCGTGAAGAAGTAGTTGAAGATCTTGAGGGCGTACTTCAGGGGGTTGGGCATCTTGTAGTACTCCATGGCCATGGTGACCACGTTCAGGCCGATCACGGCGGCGATCGCGAGGTCGAAGTACTTCGAGGTCACCACGTTGTGCACGAACATCCTGGTGGGCGAGTAGTTGGTGTAGTAGGGCGGCTCGTGCATCCTGCGCCGCTTCTTCTCCATCTGCAGCGCTCTCTTCGCCGCCCGCCGGATCTTCTCCTCCTTCTCCTGCTCCTCGCGGCACCGGTGGAAGTTCTCCACCACCACGCCGACGAACATGTTGAGCACGAAGAAGCCCACCAGCAGGATGAAGGCGATGAAGTAGAGCAGCCGCCACTCGTTGTAGTTCACGATGGGCTGCTGGTCCACGCCGACGGCGTCCAGGCCCGTGTACATGATGTTTACCCAGCCGTCGCGCGAGCTCAGGACGAACAGGGACATCAGGGCCTTGCCAAGGTCGTCGAAGTTGTACTTCCGGTTGGTCCACACGTTCCCGGGGATCCGGCGGCACTCGTCCGCGTTCCGCACGCCCTTGATGTTCTCGCCCTCGCAGTAGTAGAAGGTGCCCTTGAACAGCTGGACGCCCAGGATGCCGAAGATGATGAAGAAGGTGCAGCAGATCAGGACGATGTTGCCGATGGGACGCAGGGACGATAAGAGCGTTTGCACGACTAGTTTCAGACCCGGGGCTCGGTTGATCACCCGCAGCGGCCGCAAGGATCGGAGTAGTCGAAACACCTGCCAGGATTTTTTTTTTTTTTTTTTAGATTTTTTTCTATTTTTTTTTTTTTTTTTTGGGAGAGAACAGAACAAAGTGGAAAAGGACGAGAAGAGAAGAATGATTGTGGTTGGTGCATCGGCTACACTGCTGTATCGCACTGCTTGCCTCAAGGGCTGCTTGGGCTAGCGGTCGCCAGGTGGCGCCACGTGTGCCGCATGTAGTCAAAGCATGAGGTAAAATAAGTAGCCTGGATGAAGCCAACAAACCGAAAATACACCAGTAATGGCCACAGGTTTAAAAATCAATTGAAGAACACATAAAGCAACTAAAAAAATATAATTCGGCAAACTAAGAACAAAATAACTGAACCCTTTTTTCACTCGAGTGCCCCCCGCTGTTTTGTAAACCCCTCTTCTACAAGCACGTACCAAAATCTTTTCAATTGCAAACTTAAAAAGCCACACTGGTGTGTTAAACAAGAATCAAAACGAATTAGAAGTCCTTTAAACAATACAAAACGTTAACATTGCTTCAAGAACATAGCAAGGCAATGAAAATGAATATATGTGAGTATTGTTAAAAGTACAACAAGATGAGGCGATTGCACTTATAACTAGGATGGAGATGTTTTGGGGTTCGATCAGAATGGGACAGCTCAAATGAAGCTTACTTTATGTATAGGGGTATGACACTAACTGACAGTTCTACTGACCAAATGAAATAATCGAAGGATTGGATACAAGAAAGACCTTCAGCCGCAAAAGAAGTCTTAGGTAGAAATAATTTTGTTACTGGTATTGTAATGGTATTACCACTGATACCATTGTCTTACTAAGAAAACATTTTAAGAAACATTCTTTGGAGCCTACATACGTAATAATTTGTTAAGTGTCATAACCCTATTACTTGGAGATTGTCGACAGGAAGGGGGAAACGATCAACTATATACAGTACAAAACTTATGGAGGCGAGTCAACGGATTACTTGAATTAATGTTCTTCTTTGGTTTTGGGGGGTACTTTTAGAGTTATATATTTCGGGAAGGGGCTCTACACACACATACTAAAGGTGAAAACAAATTGGATTTTCTTGCTGATTAACGCATATAGCAGCCGAAATTTACCTGAAGTTTTCGTATAGATATACAATATTTATATATTATATAGACGAGTAATAGAGAGACAGACACGAAATGTGTGTTAATAGAGATCAAATAAAAATTGAACAGATTTTCGAAAATGTTTCGTTGAAGAATTTTGCCACGTATGTGGGTATGGGTGTGGGTGTTGGTGTGGGTGTGTGTGAGAGTGTTTGGGTGTGTGGGTGTGCGCAAGTAAAAGAAAGAGCACATAAAGAGACAAGATGGCCAATCAGCAGAGAGACAGAGACAGAGAGATAGAGAGAGAGATAGAGATAGAGAGTTATGTGTTTGGGGCGATTTAGCGAACTTTGCGAGTTTTGATTAAGACTTAGCGTTAGCGTTAGCATTAGCTTCAGATTTAGCACTAAAATGGCGATATGGCGATATAGCGATAGCTTTTCTGATCCGAGTGCGCAGCCCAGCAGCCAAGTAGGTGGGCGTGGTCGGTTCTGGGCGTGATTCTTGGTTCTTGGTTCTTGGTTCTTGGTAGTAGCTGTTCTGGTTGATGGTCTTGTTGGCTTGTTGGAAATCGCTCGAGACGACTGGCTTTTGGTTTTTGTTGGCTTTTATTGTTGTTATTGGTTTTCCGACTGCCGACTGCGGACTGCGGACTGCTGGCTACGCCTACGGCTGTCGCTTTCGAATAGCAAAGTGTCCAAGGGCCCGCCCCCGTACTTACCCTTAAAATCCCAAATATCCTCGGACTCGATTCGCTAATCAGGGACATTAACAAATCAATTATGGAAATGGTAACCAAAGATCCGTCCATGATATTCCAGCCGGACGTGAAGTAGGCGTCGTGGCCGTAAAACATTCCCGTGGCCACCACCTGCAGTTGGATGATTGCAGGAACGAGAATATATAATATATTGTATTATATTATCTACTAAAAACACACTTATGTATAGACCATACCTTGATGAACATTTCGACGGTGAAGACAACGGTGAACACGTAATTGGCTGTGGCCAGGAACAATCTTTCGGTGCTGCTAGGAGGGATGTTTGGTCTTTCCATGGCCAGGGTGATGCAGTTGAGCGCGATGAACAGCAGGACCACGTTGTCGAACCACTTCTGGTTGACGAACCACGTGCAGATTTGCCGGAACCTGCCGAACGGAGGGCGACGAAATGCAAATACGTGAATAGGAACTCGCAGACTAAGTTAAAATTCAATTTTCCCTTTGGGGAAATGCTTACAGATAAAGAATTGCTAAATAGCTTAACTCCTAAATTCGTTTGTTCAACTAGAAAACTACACCATTTGTTTGTTACTTATTTTTAGGTAAGTTTTTTTAGCAACTACTGCCTGTTCTCATTTCCGGAAAAATGGGATTGTAAAAATCCTAGACTTTGGAATGGCCTGAAAAATGGGATTGCGGAAATGCGACTAAAACTCAACATAAACTTAATTCCATAATTCCGATTAAAAAATCGGACACCCAAGTGGAATACCTCTTAAAATTGTTTGTTTAGTTCCCTAGTTTATTTTTATTTTCTGTGTTGATTTTTAAAAAATTTTATTTCTTAATTTTCCGAAAATGGCATCTCTCACTAAAATGGGTTTCCGTAAAGGGTTTCACATTTTGTAAGATTTCAGGCCTATTTCGGTGGGGCACACCTTTATATGTTTATATGTATGTATGTATATGTATGTATGTATATGTATATATATATGTATATATGTATGTATTACGTATACGCACCTGTTGTCCTCTGGGAATATGTAGAGCGAGTAGTCCTCGCGCTCGGTGGTGAAGTGCTTGGGCGTGAGCTGCTCGATGAGCACCTTGAGCTTGGAGTAGCGCTCCCCGCCCCCCGGCACCATGGAATGTGGCTGCATCGCCAGCTGCTGCTGCTGTTGGTCCTTGGACAGGCGGTGCTGCTGCAGGTGCTGCTGCTGCGGGGCGGTCGAGGAGAAGGAGTCCTGCCTTTGCTGGAGCAGCTGCTGCTGGTGGAGCTGCTGCAGCTGCTGCAGCTCCTTCTCCTCGAGCCGCTTCTTCAGGTTGTAGTGGCTGATGGAGTTCTTGCGCTTGTCGCGCGCCTCCATGTACTGCTGCAGCATGTTGTCCGGGTCGTTGAGGTTGCCGTACGACTTGTTCCACTTGTCCAGGTCCATCTTGGAGTTCGTGTACGAGAGCGACTTGCGGTTCGCCTCCAGGTTGTGCAGGTTCAGGTGCGAGGTCTTGCTGAACGCCAGCTCGATGGAGCTCATCCTGCGCTGCCCCGCCCCCACGCCCCGCAGCTTGGGCGGCTGGTTGAGGTTCAGGTTCTGGTACACCTGCGAGTTGAAGATGCAGGCCGAGGCCCGCCGGCTGCCCACTGGGCCGCTGCCGCTGCCGATGCTCAGCGTGTTCGAGAGCCTCCTGATCGAGTTCTGCGGACTGAGGCGGTTCGTCTCCTTGGCGCCGCCTCCCTGGCTGCCACCGCCGCCGCCCACGGCGCTGCTGCTCCTCAGCAGGCAGCTGCTGTCGCCGCCGTTGTTCAGCTGCTGCTGCTCCTCCTCCTCCTCCTGCTGGGTTCGCCGGTTGCCGCCGTATTCGGTGGCCGTGGAGGAGCGCCGCTTCCTGGAGCTGCCCCGCCTCAGGCGCTGCTTGAAGCCTTGCTGCTGCTGCTGCTGCTGCTGATGCAGATGCTGCGCAGGCGTCGCCAGCGGGAGGCGCTCGCTGGACGAACTGCCGCTGGTGGAGGCGCCTGTGTTGGTGCCCCTTGCCACCTCGCCGCCGCCGAGACTCACGTCGTTCAGGCTGTGGCTCTGGCTCTGCGCCTCCGCCGAGGAGGAGATGGTCGGCACGTAGATGGGCGTGGCCGCCGCCGGCGAGCCGGAGCTCTTCGAGATGTCGTCGATGATCACGCTGTGCATGCTGGCCGAGCTGCCGGCGGCGCTGTTGACCCCGCCCCCTCCGACGCCGACGCCCAGCTGGCTGGCGTTGAGGATGTTGAGGGGCTTGTGGGCCAGCACGGGCGAGGGCGGAATGAGATCGATGGAGGGGATGCCCTCGTCCAGGCTGCGCTGTCCGCCGGTGAAGATGTTCGGAGGTCGCAGCAGCGACGGCGACGGCGGACTGGGTGGCTGGATAGATGGATGATGGGAGGGGAGGTGGGTTATAGCTCCTTGCAGCTGGGTGCTCCTACTCACCTCCATGTCGCCCCACTGGCGGAAGCTCATGCCCGGCTCCAGCGTGGTGCTGGGCGAGTCCTGGGGCGTGGCCGCCGTCGTCGTGATGATGGGCGGATCCCGGACGAGCCGGATCTTGGAGAGGCGCGGCGCCTCGCTGCGCCGCTCCTTGATGGAGTATGTCTGTGTGCGACAAGTGGTGGTGCAAGTGGTGGTGTCAGGTGTTCATGTCTGTCTGTTGCGAGGCTCCTCGAGCTGCTCTCCTTACCTTTTTGAGGCCGCCGCGCGGCTTGGCGTGCTGTGCCCCCTCCTCCTTCCCGCCGCCGCCGCCCGTCTCCCTGTCCCGCTCCCTCTCCCTGTCCCTGTCCCTGTCCCTCTCCCGATCGGTGGTCGAGGAGCCAGAGGCGGCGAGGGAAGACGAGGGAGCGGCAGTCGAGGCGGGCAGCTCGTTGATCTGGTAGTCGTGGGTGGGCTGCAGCAGGCGCTGGCGGTGCATGTTGCTCTTGGCCTCGATGATCAGCTCGGCGGAGTCCTGCAGCTGCGGGAGGATGACGAACCGGGGATTCAACTCGGATTCAAGCGAACGAACGAACGAACCCGAACAGGAACGAACAGGAACAGACAGGCCACACATACTTGTATACTCGCATGCAGCATGCATCTATCCCACTCACACACTCACACACACACACAGACATCCCGCTTACTCCTCAGTCACAGTCACACCTGGGAGCTCCGGGAATCCCCAGATCCTCCTCCACATCCGGATCCGGATCCAGATCCTTGCTCGAGCTCACTTACCTTGCGCACATCCTCCGCCGATCGCCAGCGGTTGCGCACCTCGTAGTAACTATCGTTGGTGGTCGAGGAGTCCGCCTCGCTCCGCGACTCATCGTACATACCATCGCTGTAGTTCTCGGCCAGCGTCTCCTCGCGCAGTTTCTTAACCAACTCGCGCTGTTCGCGCTCGCGACGTTCATTTCGCTGAGGGAATCAAAATTTCAAAATTAGACTTTCTCGTCAACCGGCGGGACTTCGAGATCGGGTTGGTGGTCTAGGGTTCGGTTGGGGGGCTCGAAGTCGGTGGGTCGGTGGGTCGGTGGGTCAGTCGTTTCTTGACCCACTTCTGGCTGGCTGGCTGGCTGGCTGCCAGGTTGGCCATCCGGTGGAAACGGGCGGGATGTTTGGGGGCAGAGAGCGGGGTTTTGGGGCCGCGACGCGACGCACACGATGCTCCAAGTATGACAAATTATAAAATTTTATAATCCATAATTTATATGTAGAATCAACCCAAGCGTTACTTTACTTTTAACAAGTTTCCCAAGTTAGCTGAATCTCAAAATAAAGTCAAAGTACACCACTGGATATTGCTAGCAAACTTTCACTGGGTTAAAAAATAATATTTGCAACATAATAGTTTAGATTCCCATGATAACATATTGTATCCCATATATTTATAAATAATGCTTGCTATTCTGATAATTATAGTGTTCAAATTTGAAGCGTCGCATGCGTATAGTTGGGGTAAAAATCATATCGAGAGGATCCAATCGAAGAGGATCCAAAGATGGTTTCGAAAATGCGCGGTTCTATTACTTTTCAAGTTTTGGGACAGGGGGAAGATGTTGGCAAAACTCTACCTCTGAACTGAATCCCTCAACCAAAATGGCCACCAATAAATTAAACAGCACATAATTGCCGAACGTCATTAGGGCCACAAAGTACAGTGCGGCCCAATGACTCGTTTTTTCCATTCCGTTGAATAGGACGACGTTCCAATCCTCCTGCGTCAGTATCTAAAAACATTGGGTTTCGTTTCGTTTTCGGTTTTCGGTTTCGGTTTTTTTTTTGGTGATTGTTGTAGTTGTTGTTGTTGATTGTTGTTGGAGTTTGATTGGAGTTGGAGTTGGAGTTGTAGAGTTGTAGTTGTTGATCGGTGGCAGTTGCAGTGGCGGGCGGCAAACGTGGTGCAGATTTAACGTACATACGCATGGATATATATGTCGTGATACACATATCGGAATCGGAATATATATCGTAAGAAGCGAAAGAAAAAGAACGAAATACCAATAAACAAACTTTGTAATTTGGTCGTTGAGGTGGGCGGCAAAATAAGTAAGTAAGTAAGTAAGTAAGGAAGTAATTAGTTAAGAAACACGAATGGAGAACAAATGGCAAAAAGTCAAAGGTCAGACAATAAAGATAAAGAGCTAGAGCAAAACGGCAAACGGTGTTATCTTTTTGATTAATGCATATAGACGCATATAAGTACGTATGTATACACATCCTGTACGATCGACATACTTATATGAATGTATATTGGGTGAGCATCGATCACTAGCGGTTTGTTCATTTTGGTTTTGGCAACTCAGGCGCATACACGAAATAAGCGTTTAAATGAAAACTATTATAGGGTGATGATAACCTGACCTCAGAAATGAAAGTAATTAATAATTAATAATTTAATAATTTACTGTTGGGGCAAATCAAATAAAGTGGATTGCAATCAAGAGGCAAAGCCAGAAAATGAGTTCCCTAAACTAAAAACACGAAAAAACATTTACCCAAATTCCTTGGTGTTTTAAATTTATAATTATATTTTCTGGATAAAATTTGCTGGCTTTATGAACTATTGAATGTTGTAAATGTTCTAATGCACAGCCAATGACACTTGGGTTTATGTTTACCGTTAGAAAATGAGTCAGTTGAGAGAAAGATATGGATGGGACTTGGGGAAGATCAAGCAGTGGCGGCAGCTTGACTCAAAATAAACCTGGGCAGCCTGTTAAAAAGCCGCTTTAACTATCTTGAAACAATAATTCGTGGTGTGGCATACTAAACAAATTCAAAAACTGAATAAAACTGAATAGTTACATAAACAAAAAACTTAAGCACGCTAAAAGCAAAGCCAAAGCAAATAATTTAGTAGCAGCAAAGGCTCTTGTCTAAACCAAAGAGCAAAAAGGCGCACAAAACTCTTGCAAATAGAAATTTGTAAAAATGTAACATATTCATGGAGCGTTTTGTTCCATTCTGTTTTTGCTTTGTACAAAAAGTGCCAATGAATTGTTCTATTTCGCTTAATTTTTTTGTTTTTTGTTTTTTTTTTTTTTTTTTTATACAGTACAAATGCGGCGAATTATTTTCTTTTTTTAGTTTGTTAAAATTTTTTGTGGCTGTACATTCATATTGCGCATAAGCAACTTTAAAATATATGTAAAATCAACGCTTTTTATACAGCTTGCTTAGCAACAAAGTTTAAAATGAATGGACTAGGTGAAAGAAAGAGATATAGAAAAGGCATAGATCGAGGGAAAGCAGCAGCAGCATAAGGAAATCAAAACGTTCGTTTCTGTTTGAACAAGCCAACGAAGCAACAAACAAACAAACAAACAAACAAACCAACGAACAAACAAAAGACTCAAATCAAATATATACAGTTTGCATGAGTGTGGCTGTTGATGATTCTCTGGGTTCTGAGAGGTCGCGATCGAAGGCTGACTCGGGTCCGGCATACAAATATAAAGCTAGAAGCCAAAAGCCGAGGGCAAATTGGGGTTAGGATCACAACGTCATGCAAAAAACTCGGAGTATCAGCGATAACGATTTTCGCTTGTGTGTGTCGTATGTGTGTGTAAGCGAGAGATGTGGAAAAGAGATAGAAGAGAAAAAGAGAGATAAAAAGATTGATGTGAGAGAACCGGGTGTCAGTCCTTTCCAAGGATATTCGGTCGCGGCAATCTGCGTATTAGAAAGTCGATACTGGGATGCCGTCGATAAATTTATCGAACAGTAACAATCGTTCTTTTTGGAAGCACCTCAAATAGTATGCACGTTTAGTGTTAGCGACCTTCGGTAATGAATATCAAAATTCGTCAAAATGGAAATGTTAGTAATTTTACTCAGAAACCAAAGTACATGGTTTTTACTTCGAGAAACCGTAATATCAAATTCTTTGAGATCAGACCCATACATCTATATTAAATATATATATATATATATATAAATCGATGTGAAAGTTAAGATAACCGTCCTTCTGTGATCTAATCGCAGTATTAACAGGAACATGTTGACTAAATTGTTTCGGATTTGATCCCCAGTGTTTAAAAAACTGCAGTCGAATTAGCAGAAGTCGCAAAATATAAGCTATTCGGTGCTTCGACTGTTTGCAATATTCTAAAAGTAGCAATTGCTTCTGCTTCTGCTTTTGAAAAAATTAGAAGTCGCAGTCGAAGCATAGCACAAACTTATGAAAGCAACGAAAAGCAAAAATCATCAGCAGGCCTCGCTTTTCGTTTTCTTGCTTCTGATTTTGCTGCTGCTTTCAATCGTAGCCGAAAGTCGTTGCTGTTGCTGCTGTCGGCTTTCGGAAGTCGTCAGCAGTCGAAGCCTCAAAAAACGAGGCATTCGACTTATTGCTGCTTTTGATTTTTGATTTTGCAGCTGCTGCTGAAGCAGCTGAGATAAGAAGTACATACTAATGTACATTTTTCTAAAAAAAATTTAATGATTAAACATGTATGTTCATATATTAAAAATAAAAACATTATAATTTTAAATTATTCATCTTCTAATTAAAAGCAGCAGCGTCGAAATCAAAAATCAAAAGCAGCAATAAGTCGAATGCCTCGTTTTTTGAGGCTTCGACTGCTGACGACTTCCGAAAGCCGACAGCAGCAACAGCAACGACTTTCGGCTACGATTGAAAGCAGCAGCAAAATCAGAAGCAAGAAAACGAAAAGCGAGGCCTGCTGATGATTTTTGCTTTTCGTTGCTTTCATAAGTTTGTGCTATGCTTCGACTGCGACTTCTAATTTTTTCAAAAGCAGAAGCAGAAGCAAAATCATATAAAATGACACTTACGGCAGTTTTTCAAACGCTGTTGATCCCACCTAACGGTCATGTGTGTGCGTTAAAGCGTTTCAAGTTGTGAATGTTGTGTGTGAAGAACTCTACGACTACATTTGCTGGCACAAGAATCGGAACGAAATCGAAAGAAAGTCGAAAACAAAGCTGATTAAGAGAGAACTCAGGGTATACAACCAATAGATAATGACTAGGAGCAGGATAACGCAAATCGAATCAAATGAAGAGGTCTAAGAGAGCAGAAACTAGGAACTGGGAACTTTCGTGGCTATACGTAAGAATTTGTCAAATACTTTTTTATAATCACAAGAACTTCAGACTGGTTTGATAGGTATTGCTGTGGCTGTTGTTCAAAGTGGGGTTTCGGGGGGGTTTAAGGTTGACTGTGGTTTCGGATGGCGGAAGGATGGGGACGTGGGTAAGGTGGGTGGGTAAGTGGGTAAGTGGTTGGTAGGTAGGTTGGTAGATAGGTTATGGGTAGTTTATTGCTGTATTATTGTTCTTACTTGGAATACTGTGACTGTGGCCCATAAAATGTTGTTGAAGTGTTTGCGATCGCACTCGCATTGCGGATGCCGGCTGATTATTTCGGGACACGTGCACTCGCGTTCGAGTCCGGATTCGTCCAAAAATTTACAAAACTTACCGCCAAACAGATACATGCCGAGTATGCTGCAGGTTTATATATATGCTTTATATATACCGTATACATATGTATTTATTTATAGAGTCTTAGATGTGTGTATGTTATTATAGTTCATTAATGGCTATATAAACTGGTTCATAGATATAGAGAGAAGGCTGGGTTCATATAAATATGATTATATTATATAGTTGTGATTCTTATGTCTAGGGATATAAACGGGTAGTAGGTTCATCTAGAAGTCCCTCTACAAATATATATATATATATATTTAGGTTGGGTGTCATTGGGTTACTTGTGGTTTTTTTGGGGAAGAATAAACGGATAGAGAGTCGAGACTTCTCATTAAATGCGCATTCTGCTCTTCTGCTTTCCTGGTCTTTTCTATTCTTTACTACCTTTTCATTGGCAAGTTCTGTCTGTCTATATACACAGTGGTTGTCGGGTAGAACTTAATCTGGTCCCGATTATTATTAGCTTGCATATTTACATATACCTCCTAATAAAGTGTGCTGTGCAATAAGTAGTATACGGCAAAAGGATATTTTCTGTTTTATTTTACAATTGGTCTTGAAACCTGGGAAATGACAAATAGTATTGAACTCGTCGAAACCTCTACTAATTACACGGGATAATATACGTGTTTTGCATGTACGTTTGTTAGGTATGTGTGCCTGAAACTGGGGGGACTTCGATTACAAATCACATTGGGAGACTGGTAGGGGATGCTTGTGTACGTATATGTGTGGCTATGTCTGTGTGCGAGACAGTGGGAGAGACAGAGACAGAGAGAGTTCTCCTTTCAGAGGGTTTTTTGGTGGAGATCTATACAACTTAGAGTCTAAAATAGGTTAATATACTTAGACGTAGGACATAGAGCAAGGTGTAAGACAAAAATCGAAGCTTATATATAGTACATAAAGAAGAGAACGAGCGAGACTGACCGGGACAGAGAGAAAGAGATAAGTGTACATATAATGTGTATGTCTCTTTTCGATAGGTGAATGCGAAGTGTTTAAGATGCTGGATGCAATTTCAGTTCTAGTCGGTTATATTTACATACATTTGTGGCATGCTAGAAGCGCAACGAACTCGAACAGAAATGCTTACCTGGTGCATCAATGTACATCACACAAATACATACACACATACAAGGAATTTTTGAGCATATGGCTTATGGACATTCCTATATTCGAATACTCCAAACGACATGCGGATGCGCGCTGCTTGCTATGGAACTCGTAACGGTAATGAAATCGCCACCGGCAACGGTATTTCTAACACTAACGGTTAGCTAACGGTAATCGCAACGTTCAACACATGCACGGCAAATCAAAAATCGTAATCGCAATGGTATAATTAATTGAATTAGAAATCGAAGTAACTGAAGATTAAACCAGGTCTGAAACTAAATACCACACTTAATCAAGGACACACCACAAATTAGTGCGAGCGAACAAGATGTCTAGCTAGCTAGTCAATCTCGAGTTTGGCAATTGAAAGCATAAAACAAAAAAATTATACAAAAAGAAGCTTATTGCGAGTGCGAGTGAATTTTTGATTTTCAGGATTCAAATCACTCGCGCCCACTTTAAAAACATATGGTTAAACAGACAGACAGAGGCAGAGACATAGACCGAGAGTGAGAGAACGATAGAACGTCACAACAGTTATCGATTGAAACGGAAATGAAACGGCTTATCGAATTGCAACGGAAACGGAAACGGAAACGGAAATGAAAACAAAAACACAAATCTTTATCCATATCGAAATCGAAAGAAAGGGAGAAACGAAAAAAGCTTAATGCTCAACGTATTTCTCTGCAGGATTAGTAATGTGTCTCTTTGGGTTTTCTCGTTTTTTTCGGTTTCATGAACAGTTAGGTTATCGTAATCATATCAGTAGCAGATTATGGCGTAACATTAGGAGTAGTAGTAGTAGTATAGATATATACATATATAGGTTTACGTATGGTATAATGCTGATAGCAATGGGTCTACCTGGAACACTGTGACGAGCGCCCAGAGCAGGCTGTCGAAATTCTTACGATCGCAAATCATCTCTCCGTTAATTTTCTCGCAGAATTTACATCCGAACAGATTCATGCCGAGTATACTAAAGTGATGGTTTGGTTTTGTTGATATATAATATGATATATATATATATATTTTTTGTTTGATTGTTTTTCGTTTTTGATAATTTTTTAATATATATTCTTATATATTTTTGTGTTTTGTTGGTTTTTGGGGGATATTTTTTGGGTTGTGTTTAGCATACAGTTTTTTAGGTTTATTTTATTTTCGGTTTTCATATTATTTGATTTTTATTGGATTGTTTTTAGTATGTTTTTTAAGTTGTGTACGGTGTGTCAAAGAGAGAAAAGAGAGAGACAATATATATATATATAAAGAGAGAGAGAGAGAGATAGTTAAGAAAGAAAGAGACAGAGTGTGGGTGAATGATAGAGATACAAAGATAGAGAGCAAGGGAGAAAGGGATCCTAGTAAGTGTCATTGTAAGTGAAATGAGCGGCAAACGAAAGCTAAGACAAGAAAGCACTCGAAAAAAGGGAGGAGGTGAGAAACAGAGCTTCAAGGCTTGCCTTTTCAATTAAAATCGGACCTCGAAACAGAATACAAAGGAAACAAAGTTACAGCTTGCTCGAAAGGAACTTGGACAAGCTAAAGCCTTGCGGTTAATTGGGAAAATTGGTTCTTTGGTGTGTGTTTTTGGTTTGCTGGCGGGTTTTGATTGTCTGTTTTCAGTTTCTGCATTATTTTAGTTTTTTCTTTTGAGTTTATTCGGGGCATTTATCGAGGTTGTTTATCGGTGGCGACGCTGGCTGCTTTTTTGTGTATAGCTTGATTTACAGTTCATTCGTTTCATTATTCGCTTGTTAATATATAGTACATATATAGTATGTTAAGTTATGTATGTCGATAGTGGTCCGATGTTTCGAGTGGCTGTTGTGTTTTGCTATTCTAACTACACAAACTTGGTTACGTTTAGGTTAGCATCTAGGCTTGCTAATGTGTTTGTTGTTCTTTTCTTTTTTCTGTTGTCGTTCTGTGTGTTATACTGGTTAATCATAGTTATACGAGTATATCAATTACGATTATTCATATAAAGATATTTATAGAAATAGAGAGAGTACGGGTATATATAGGTATGTATCAAACTGTAGCGACTGCAACTACACAATAAGTAAGCGTACGATCTTTTAAAGTATTTTTAAGTTTATTTTCCAAATACTTTTTGTCGAGTGTAATCTTGAGCGTGATTGTGCGTGTGCCATGTCCGTGTGAAAAGCTCTGAGCAGCAAAGCTTACAGGCCCGCATTTTTAAGTCGTCTGGCAAATGCATCAAACCAAGCCGAGCTTTCTGTGTGTGAGTGTGTGTGTGTCTGTGTGGGTGTGTTTGTGTTGGTTAACGCTAAAATAAGCTAGGATACACACTTAGTTAATTTGAAACGGAATAAAGCGTTTTTGGCTAACTAACTAAGCTAACTAATTGTTTCTGTGACTTATATAGCTGTATTTTTAGTGTGTTTAACCAAATGAGTTTCAAATGATTGCGTGTCCAAGAGAGAGAGAAAAAGAGAAAGCAATAGATAGTGACAGTGTTGGAAAGAGCTGTGTGAGTGTGGTGTATTCGAAACGAGGTAATGAAAATTGAAAGAAATTTGAGTGAAGAACATGTTCCAAAAAACTTCATAAGGAAAGGCATCGACATGGTCGGTGCTTGAAATCGAGTGATCCGAGTGAAAGTGTAGTAGAAACAGCATTTTAGAGAGCGAGGGAGAAATTTTGTCAATGCTAAGTATTTAGGAGGCGTATGCGTGTGTGTGTGTGTGTGTGTTAGAGTAATGCAAAGTAAACGAGCGAGGACTCAAAGTGTACGACATCTAACGGCACTTTGGGGACTGTAGAAAGAGACGTAAAGTGGGGTGAACAGGATTGGGAAAGATATAGCGATAGAGATATATTTAAGTGATACGGGTACAGTTCTTGCTGGTACGGATACGAGATCGATTGCTTAAAAAGTTACACAAATTGTAACGTCATCTAACTACGATTCTTCCATAATTTTCAAATTTTACTCAGAGACAGTAAGTGAGAAATATACCAAGATATAGAACTTAAAAATAAGTGGTGTTAGATAGAGAGAGAGAGAGAGAGAGATAGAGAAATCGTTAAGAGATCGCTGGGAAAGACATAAAGGCAAATCTTTACTCATATAGGCAATACTCAAGTGGTACGCAATTGAAACGATCGTGGCGGAGAAGGGCATAAATGAAGGCGGGACTTGGAGAGGCGGGAGTTCAAGAGATACGTGTCATTTTTTGTATTGTTATGATGTGGAAAAGGATAGAAAGCTGTTTGATCTTAAGAACTCATGTGACTCGAAGTGAAAGGCGAGAAGAGAAAGTATTATTCAAATCACTGCACTTATTAGGATGATCGGTAAAGCTCATAAAGGTCCTTTGGACTTGAGATAAAGTCATTAAGACTTGCTTTTTACCCTGTATTGATTTGACAGAATATCTGGTTTACTGGATTGTTTTTAAATGTTGCTTAGCAACAAGAGGCTTTTAAGATAATTTTCAATGTATTCTTGATCTTATATCGCTGATTAGTTAGGAAATTGTAATGTTCTGATGTCAAGGGAGATGGATTTTCGAGAACGATGGGTTGGTGGCTGGGCGGGGGTGTTGGTTGGTTGGGTGGGTTAGTTTTGGGACGTTCGTCTATGGGAAAGCAGCTAGTGAGGCGCTAAGAACTGTTAGACATAAGACGACTGCTATGGGCTAACGAAACTGAACTGTTTCTGTTTCTGTGGCTCTGGTTTTTGGGTTAATCACTCTTTTTCATTACATTGGTTGTTGTTTGTGGGGCGCGTTCGATAACTGTTTGGCTATCGATTGTAGATTATATTGGATTCTTTCTTTTTCATAATTAATTTTGTTATCTCCGCATTTTTTGTTTTGTAAGTGTGTGTATGTGTGTGTCTGTGGGTGTTTGTGTCTTCTTTAATTGTGTTTTTGCGTCTGTTTGTGTGTTCTCGTGCCCATTTGTCTGTGTTTGTGTATGTGTATGTGTATGTGTGTGTGTATGTGTGTAAGTTGTGGTGAGTAGCTGGCAATCGAACTCACCTGAAAATGAAGATGAACAAGACAAGCAGGGAGAAGAAGACGGCCACGTTGTCCATGGTGCGAAGCATCACGAACAGTTGTCGGCGCAGGTTGGGCATGAAGCGGACCAGCTTGAGGATGCGGAGCAGCCGGAAGGTCCGAAGCACGGACAGACCGGAGCCACCGCCCCCCGTACCGTTGCCCATGAACGTCTGGCAGATCTCAATGGCACTGGTTTGCGGAGAAAGTATACGGAAAGTTAAAGAGTTTGCGGAACTTCAGACAGGGAACTTTGAAAGACAGGATTGGCCCCTTAAAAAAAAAAGCCTATTAAAACAGCAAAGTGGCCCACGAGGCGTATACGCAATGTGCTTGCAACAATCACGTATACGACCAGTGGATCATTTAGTAGGCACTCGCTCTGTCACTGGTTTGCGGAGAAAGTAGAAGAAAAGTAAAGAGTTTCTCGAACTCGAGACAGGCAACTTTAATCCTTTTAAAAAGCTTATTTAAATAGCAAAGTGGCCCACGAGGCGTATGCGCAATGTGCTTGTAAAAAATCACGTATACGACCGGTGGACCATTAAGAAGGCACTTGCAGAATTTTAGACAGGGAACTTTGAAAGACAGGATTGGCCCCTTTAAAAAAACCCTATTAAAACAGCAAAGTGGCCCACGAGGCGTATACGCAAGGTGCTTGCAAAAATCACGTATACGACCAGTGGATCATTTAGTAGAAGAAAAGTTATAGAGTTTCTCGAACTCCAGACAGGGAACTTTAATCCTTTAATAAAGCTCATTTAAACAGTTGAGTGGCCCACGAGGCGTATACGCAATGTGCTTGCAAGAATCACGTATTCGACCAGTGGACCATTAAGTAGGCACTCGCCCTCCAGTAACCAGTTGGCACTCACCTGAGGATCACGATAATGCCATCGAAGACATTAAACCCGTTCGCTATGTAACGGAACGGTCCCTCGGCAATCACCTTGAGCAGCATCTCGACGGCGAAGATGCCCGAGAAGACGACGTTGCTCGTCTCCACAATGGCGGTCAGCTCGGGCGGCTGGTTGTGGTACTCGATGCCCATGGACAGGGTGTTGATCAGGATGGCCAGCAGGATGCCCTGCTGGAAGTACTTGTGCTCCACCAGCCGCCTTATGTAGCGGCGCACCCAGCTGCAGACGCGCGACAGGCAGCGGTAGACGGCGATCAGGCAGCGGGTCGACGGCGATCTCTGCCTGGGCCGCTCGTCCAGCGGCGACAGGGCGTTCTGGTAGAGATCGTAGCAGCAGGCGTAGTCCTCCATGTAGTTCCCGGTGGGGGCACGCGCCTCCCGAGCCGCACGCGAGTTGCCCTGCGCCTGCCGGGAGCTCCGGTAGTTCCGGCTGTGGCTCGTCGTGTTGTTGTTATTGTGGTGGTGGTGCGGCCCGTGCGACTGCTGCTGCTGGTGGTGCTCCTTGCGACGGTGGTTCGCCGCGTGGGTATCGTCGGGCCCGCCCACAACGGCCGACACCGTCGTGGGCTCGAGCTGCTGGCCGGGATCGCCGGCCGTCGAGGCCACCACCACGGTGGCTCCTTCGGTGCCGTTTGGCGGCGTTTGGCCCTGACCCGCCGCCGCCGCCGCCAAGGAGCGCGGCTTGTTGTGGTGGGCCCGCAGCGCCTCGGCGGTGTGGGGATCGCAGCGGGCCAGCGATGTGTAGAAGGACTCTAGCGTACTCTGGCCCGTCGGCAGGGCCGCTGAAAAGGCCACTGAGAATGCTAAGAGCTCTTGACAAGTCATCGCGTCGTGTATACCCAGTTCCGAGCAATCGGCATAGGGATTGGCGATGGTGCCGATGGTCTGCGGCAGGTTAACCTTTCGGGATGAGGGAAACCAGTTGAGTTGACTGAAGGCAAACAGCGAAGGCTAGTCGGCTACTCACCTGCCAGATGCTGCCATCGCCGGCCTGGGTCATTTTCTCCGTGGAGAAAATGTTGCTTTTCTCAGTGGCTCCTCCCCCGGCTGCTGCCCCACCTGCCCCACTGGCGGCACTGCTCTGGTGGTTGTTGAGGCCGGAACCGCTGATGTTGTTGCCGCCGCCGCTGGCACTCGCCGCTGCAGCTGCAGCAGCAACGGTTCCCGCAACGGTGGCCACTGTGGTCGCCGCCGCGGAGTTGGAGCCCGCCGCCGCGGGGTCAGCGGAGAGGGCGGGGGGCGTGTGCAGGAGCACGTACTCGTTGAACATCACCGACGGCCGCCGGCTGGCCGAGGTGGGCGGACTGAGGAAGCCCGAGGTGCACGGGTGGCTCTGCGGGTGTGTGGTGGTGCAAAAAGAAGAGGTGGTTTTAGAGGGAGTACGATAACCAGAGGGAAAGCTCGGCAAGTTTTGGGGGAATGTAATGCAACACAACGCTCAACTGGGGGTCTAAAACAAACTACAATCCAACTCCAGTAACGATACAATATATATCTATAATATATATAGGGTTCAGGAATAATATTATACATGGGTCGTCCTACAGATGCATTCCTTCAATTTCAACCTGATTAATGTTCTGGAAACCAATTTACATCTTCATTAATACTGAATGCATACTTTTCCCACCAGGTTTGCCAATGCTCGTAATTTTATTGGGTTTCCAATATCCCCTACTCGTGTTACCCACTTCAATCGCTGCCCGGCTTTTTCGAACCCACCTGGCATTTATTATTGGAATAATGGGGACATATGCACGGTTCGAGCCTTTGTCTACCCTTCAAATGGCATTTACATAGGCAAACAAAACAAAATGATATAAATAATTAATGGACTTTATGGTGGCACAATGGACTCGAACAATGGCTTCAGATTTATCAATGGGACAATCGATTCGCTTTGTGCCTTTAAACGCGAAACAAAAAGCTCCAACTGCACTTAATTTGCAAACATATCGCCTCTATCTACAAATTGCAAGTGTTTTTCAAATTACCCATTTGTTTTTAGTGAACGCTTATTCGGCGATATTTGTTCGCAGGTTAAGTGCCATTGTCAGAGTTCAAAACTAGCCCCTTTCTACTTTTATTTTCGTAGAACACTGAGATTTGGTTTCGGTGCGCTATTAATCTGCCGGCTATTTACACACATTATTTATTTAACGTATTTATGGATCAGTACCTTGCCTAAATTTCCCAACTGCAGCTATTAGCAAGGTTTGTAACAGATATGAGAGATTATTATTATATATAGTACGTAGTTATTATTATTATTTTCGTTTGTGGCTGCTGTTTTGAAATGCTGTCTGTTTTTGTTGGCTGGCTCTTTTTTGATGGCAATTTGGAAAGATATTTATTCTGTTTCTGTAGCGTTTTTTGATCTTTACTGTTTCGTTTTCGAATCGATTTGGGTGTTCAATTTTGTGGACTGCGCTGATCGCCAGGGAAGTGTGCAGTGGATACTCACGATTAGCTGCTCGGAGTCGATCATCTGCTGCGGGAACTTGAGCAGAATCGTTTTCTGCTCGGCGCCACGCCCCTCCGGCTTCAGTTGATGGTGGGCGGTGGACTTCTTTAGCGAGGAGCTCCGGGGAATCCCATCTGCGGCCAGCGATTGTTCAGTGTTGTCGGAGGAGGAGTGTTGCTGCTGCTGCTGCTGCTGCTGATGTTGCTGCTGCTGCTGCTGTTGCAGCAACTGATGCTGCTGGTGGTGCGCCGAGGACATGGTCACACTGGCAGCACTGCCGTTTATTCCATTGACCAGAGCCACTGTGGTGCAGCTGGGGGCGTTGTTGTTGCCACCACCGTTGTGGTTGTTCCCACTGCCGTTGTGGTTGCTGCTGTTGCTGTTGTTGTTGTTATTGTTATTGTTGTTGCTGGCCGAATTGAGCGGCACCATGACGGTAATCATCTGATCCTGAATGCTGGACGGCTTGCGATTACTGTACTTGGGGCACTTCGGATGGTGGCACTTGATCCGCGACGGCGAGAAGGTCAGATTGTCGGCGTTGGGCAGGAGACCCTCCTTGCGCTGCTGCCTCTGGTACCTGCACCACAGTGGTTTGCGGTGAATGGAGTGGGTGGGGCGGGGGCGGAATGGAATAAATGTTTCGATTAGCGACAAGTTCAACTGGCAGTCCGCGCGGTTCACACACTCATGTCTGTACACAAAACACCGTGTTCTCTGTTTTCTGTTCTCTGTTTTCTGGTGGGGCAGGTGGTACGGAGGTACGGGGGAGTGGGTGGTTTCGTTGCACGTGCAGCGGGGGGATGAGGGATGGGTGGTTTGGGTGGTTGGGTAGTTGGGGTTTCCATTTGTACGTGCACTCTCATTAGTGTCAGTGCCATGTCGCATGTGTGTGTGTGCTTAGCCATTAGACAGACAACAATCGCAATTACATAATTCAATCAAATGAACTCAGGACAACGACAGTACAAAAATGCAAATGATCCAAATTAACACGAGTCCCATCTGCGGATTCAGTGCCATTCGCTTAGCTCTGTACTCTGTACTCTGTTCTAAGTGTGGAATCATTGAATGGCGGCAATTCATACGTATGGAGTGAGGCACGGAGGTGGGTAGGTGGGTGGGTTTGTGGTTGCACAGCCGGGTCATCAAAGGGAGCTCTTAATTAGCTGCTCTGGGGCGGAATACTACATCGTTAGATCTTAGTTTCCCCCCTTGGAGGAGTCTATGCTTGGCGAGGGTTCTTTTTGAACCCAGTGGGAAGCTTCGTATTTGAATGCAAATACAGCAGTTCATTGTTCTTGAAGCTCAGATACTCCGGCAATTGGTTTCAGCTTGCAAATTGCAAATACAAATCGAAATGGTAACTGATTGCTGCCAACTGATGGCCTAACATTTCAAATTCCAGTGCAACATAAGGGCTTTAATTACTTTAACCAAGGTACGATGCATTTGGGAATATATTGTATCCTGAAATAATTAGCTATACACATTCATGCCCTGCGACTAAATTCGCTGCTGAATCAAGCTTAGTACTTTGTATACTAAAGTCTATAACAAGTTGCGATACACTCGAGCAGATGCTTAAACAAAAAACCAAGCAATTTAAAAAATAGGGTTGAAAGTTGTATCTCAAATACAAAAAAATAAATGAATAAAACGATATAAAAAAAATAATACAATCATGATCAACAAAAAAAAAATATAAAGAATAGATATTATTAGGTAAACAAAAAACACACCTTAAAAAAATACTCAAAACTAAATTTAAAAAAATATATTGAAAAAAGGAAAGACAAAAATTGAACTCAAGACCAGGGCTCTTTGATAATAATAAAGAGTATCCGGAGTATTAGGAATCATTGTATTCCATTTTTTGAGATTTTGAGAGAATCTTGGGTGATTGGGGCAAGGTCCTTGTTTGCTGCTCGAGGTTTTGCCGAGAGATTTGTACGCTAATTACTCGCTTTAACGGGTTAGTTAATCAATCAAGTTGGCCAGTGTCTAAGCCTACGGTTTTGAAAAGCTTTTCTTTTCGCCTCGATTCGGTTCGCGGTCGAGAGGTGGGTAAAATTAAAGAGAGAGGGGGTAGACTCAGATCGAGAGAGACAGACAGGGAGACGTGGAGAGACATGGAGGGGGAACGGAAATCGGAAATCGGAAATCGGAAACCGGAAAAGGAAAACCGGAAACCAAAGTAACGAACGGAAGACATAATTGAACGAAATCAAAAGGTACAAGCAGCATACTTATATAATCTGTACTTCTTTAACATTCGTCTCTTGAAGCGGCGCCACAAGTGGGCGATGTATTTGACGATCTCCGCGTAGCAGGTGGCCGGCTCCGAGTTGTTTGTGCTGCTGGCCAAGGTCGAGGTGGAGGTGTACCTGGCCCGCTCCTGGCGCATCCGCTCCATTTCCCGCTTCTTCGTCTCCGAGAACTGCGTGGCGATGACGACCAGGCACAGGTTGATCATGAAGAACGAGCCAATCTGCAATGGGAAGGCGCACATTTAAGTGAAATGAAAATATTTGTAGGTTCACAGAGCACACACCCCTTTGAAATCTGTAATAAAACAGCATTCAATGGATATAATGCTGATATATTAAGTATAAAAGAAAAAGGTGCGTGCGCGCCAGCAGGTGGCACTATACGTACGTATAGTTGCTGGAAAAACTTTTCGCATTTCCGTTCAAAAGTTTTCGTTTTCATTGCTGCCGGCGACAAATGCAAACTAAAAGTTTTCCCCTGCCTTTGTTTATGCTCCTGCACACATACACCCACACACACACACACGCCGACTGCTCCTGATGGATCCTCGGGGAGGACCTCTCCCGCCAGCCACTTAAATTCAATTAGCTGGGGGATCGCCAGGCGTCCGCTGGTCATCTGCCGATCACTTTGTATATATAATATAATAGGTATAAGCCCACTAGAATGCCCATTTAGGAGAGCTTACTTTCACAACTTCACCTCTTACTTGGTACCTCTTCCTTTTACGACTTAAAACCGAAATACTGGCAAAGTTTAAGCTGGAATCCATATTTCAAAACAAAGCAAGCGCTTCAAATTCGAATGTCGTGGCGAGGCAGAAAGTGCATAAAACAGAAAGAAGCAATTTCCCTCCGTGGCGAGCGCCCAATTGCAAATGGAGGAGGGAGCTGTGTTCGGAGTGAACTTTGGAGGGGACTTGTACTATTTGCATACCAAAAATTGTTGGCAACAAGAGCAAAATCATTTTGCGCACAACATGAACAGCGACAAAGGCAAACATGGACTATATATGGAGACTGCGGGGAAGAGAAAGGTTGAGCAAACTTCAAACATAAATAATTAAATTTGCCCATGTGTGTCTGCATCTACATTTGTGTTTGTGGCGCTGTCTACGTAGGTACATATGTGTGCGTGTTTGTGTGTCTGTGAGCCATTAAGGCTTTTAATTAGTCCAAGGACACCTGAGCACAAATCCTGCCATGCAAATGACAGCACAACAGACTGGAGTCCACTCGAAGATGGCACTGGCGAAAGTGGACAGTCGCCGGGCGGAAAATGTGAAAGTGGCAAATGCAAATGCAGTGGGAAATGAAAAAGGGAGAAGGGAAAGTGGATGGGTGGATGGGTCTGCTGTCTGCGTGGCAACATGTTGCCAACTTCATGAAATTCATGGCCTTTTTTGTAGACAAACTTTGCTCCTTTCGCTCGATGGCCACCTGAACAGCTGAACAGCTGAACACCTGAACACAGAATCTGATGCGCGTGTGTGGTCATGCCATAGTTTAAAAGTAATTTACTTATTTGCATTGCCAAATTGCTTTAGCATACTTTCGGGCAACAATAAGCCCCTGAAAACCGGGCTGCCAGGCGCAACTTTGGCTCAATTGGATTGAGTCCCTTTAAGCCGTCTAGAAATTAAATATTCAATTCGTGATCAAAGCGAGAGGCCTCTCACCTCTCACCCCTGACCCCTGACCCGCTAACCCACTCAGTGAGCCCACTGAAATCCTCGCCCAACAACACTCACCACAATCAGCAGCACAAAGTATATCCAATCCCAAAAGCTGTGCGCATCCTGCACGTAATACATTATGTCCGTCCAGCCCTCCAGCGAGATGACCTGCAAATCCAACAAATATTTCACCATAATTAGCGTGCGCTCTCCGCAGGAATATAAATGTACGAGTGTATGCAAAAAAACCAAAAAAAACCAAAAAAAAAAAAAAACAGAAACAAGTCGAGGCTGATAGCTGGTGTTTTATTGTTCACGCCCGGCCATTGTTGGCCGAAAAGTGAGAGGAAAAGGGGTTGTGGGCACAGCAATTAGGTTCGCCTTCTGGTTCTGCGGTGCTGGGACCACGGCACGTATGCGTAATGTGTGCCCTTGAGCCGAGAAGCGCGAAAAGTGCTCATGCTTTCTGTTTACTCTTTCTGAGCATTGAAGCAACCTAAATAAAATTACCTATTGAAGGGTTTTAACTGTTTTAAGAGCATTTCCAGTGCCGAGTATCAATAACCCATCCATTAAGCTAGGCACTAATCACGGTTGGCTCAGGTTGAATGTATTTAACTACTAAAACATTATTGTTTAAAGCCTCTTCAGCCAGATGCGTTTAAATGCAAAACAGATTAGGGTCCCTGTGGGCACTGAAATAGACTCCCCGACGCTTAAACCGCCGTTTTAAGCCCGTTATTGGTTTCATGGCCTAATGTGCACTTGATTTGGGCTTAATTACATCGTTTGACCTGCATATCAATAGATTTGCTTGCGGTGGGCGCCATGTAATTGGCATATCAATTAAGGTCTGCCCCGAAGGACGTATTGGGGGTTCGGCAGCCGTCAGTTGAAGCATCAGTTTCGACGCCTGATGGGGGTCTATCCCCATCACCATCACTATCACTATCGCTATCACTATCCCCATCACACTATCACTTTTCCTGTCCGCGTCCGACGAATCGGGATGCAAATTGGTGGCGTTTGTTTTGTTAGTTTAGGGAAAGCAGAGCTGAGAGTTTTACTCCCGGCAGAAGTTGACACCGAATTAGCATTCAACATTTTTCGTTTCCATCGCTGCCCTTCGCCTGTTGCTATTTGGTGAACCCACTGGACTATTGAATGGGTACACAGGGAGAAAAAGTAATGTTGTTTGAATTCTTTTTACATAAAGGATCTTCTAAGCGTTAATAAATAAATAATCCAAAATCTTTATATATATATATATAAAGATTTATATATATTTATATATCTTCGTACTTTATCTGTGATAGTTTCCCATTGCAGGGGCGGTACTCACCAGGAATATGGCCACCCAGGCCATTCCGATGTTGTCGAAGGAAATGGTTCCCTGAAAGGGATTCTCCCCGCTCTGCTTACAGGTGGTATAGTACTGGTTCCAATTGACGCAGGACGTGTTCGTCGGCTCGTTGAAGTCGAACAGCTTGGCCTCCTCTGCAGATTGCGGATTGCGGGATGGAGAGATGAAAAGTGAAAAGACGGGAAGACGGGAAGACGGGAAAACGGGAAGGCGGAAAATGTATTGTTTGTAATTGTGATTGCTTCGGTGGCTCTGGCTGTCATTAAGCGACAGCAAGAGGGCAATTAAAAATGCCATCAAATTTGATTACAGCGCAATTTGCACTTCATTTAGCTTTAAAGTTAATGTAATTGACGTTGACTGGGAATGGGGATGGATATGCAGATGGAGATGGGTACGGCGAACTTACCATTGCAGACCAGCGAACCGATGCGGTACGGTGGAAAGTTGCCGCAGAGATGCATACCCGAATCGTTGGGCGTGGAGCAGATGTAGTCCTGATCCTTGGAGAACTCGTAGTACTGCGACAGGCTAGGGGTGCGATGTGTACAGAGAATTAGGAGAGTCATGGGATGCGATTGTCAGTTAAAATCGGAAGAACATCCAGCACACAAAGAAACAAAGTGTACGAAAGAGAAGTTCACACCACGAAACGAGGGAGACAGAGAGATATTTAGAAAGAAGGGGAAGGAGTGAGAGAGTGAGAGAGATAAAGAAAGAGCACAAAGAGAACAATTAATAATCATAATCCGTAATCGTAGTTCCATATAAGTAATCTGTATGTTAAATGCGTTTCGAAAACATTTACATCGAGTTTAACGTAGAGAGATGTTTTGAAATAAAGCACATAAATGATATTGATAAATCAATTTTGGGTGGTGCTGAGCTTCGTGGTTGACCCGCGAGAACATTCAACTAATTAGAGTGAGATAGACGATGCCAATTCGAGTTTACGTGAGGCAAAATAAATGAGCTTAACAGAACTGAACAGAGTGAGACACGGTTGACCAATGCAAAAGAGAGACAGATAAAGATGTGAGCACGTGAGCGAGCGAGAAAGACAGCGATGGTGATTGGCGAGAGCAAGAGCTAGAAGAAAAAACTAGAAGCAAGGGCTAGAAGCTAAGGCTAGAAGCACGAGCAAGTAGCAAGAGCAACTAGCAAGAGCGAGAAGCTAGAGCGAGTAGCGAGTAGCGAGTAGCGAGCAGCGAATTGAAAGACGAGTTGAAGTTGCAGTTCCCTTACACACAGTAAGCAGGATAGCGAGAAAGAGTGAAGTATAGCAGAAGCTGGTCACACTGAGCACAAGTACAGAAGCACACAACTGTACCGGAAGAGTGGAAGAGTGAGAGAGACATATGCGAGCCACAAGGCGCTAACTAAAAAGCAAAAGCACAAAAGCTAGGGAACGTGGGAACGTGGAGGGTCGGTCGGAACAAAAAACGAGGAGAAAGGAAAAAGAAGTAGAGTATTGCAAAAAGCAGAAGGAGGAGGACCACACACCCATAAAAAAGGAAATGAAAACGGCAAAGCAATTTAAATTAAACGCGCAATGTTGCCACAAAATGGCCACCGCGCCGGAAACTCACGACTTCAAAAAATGTCTGCCTCAACCAAGTGTCAACCGTTAAGCCTGTTTTTATTTGTGTGCGTGTGTGTGTGTGTGTGTCTGTTCCAGAGTGTCGCTGTGTGCGTGTGACAATAAAATGTGTTTAATATGCACGTGCAAGCACGGCAATGACATTTGAGGACGAGGGGCAAGCGGCACCGCAGTGAATTTTGAAAAATTCCGCGCCTGCTTTCCCTACTTTTTGTATCGCCCATCCCTTCGCACAGTTCGCAACAATTCGCACGCTCCAACGTATGCAAAACTTTATGGAGTTGTTCATGTTCATATGCGTCTATGTATTTAATCGTAGTACTTGGCCTGTATGTGTGTATGTGTATGTGTATGTGTATGTGTGAGTAGGACATTGCGAGAGGGGCGAATGCAGCAGGGGCAGCTTTAAATACCTTTGCAATAGAAACTGATGATTTTTCCTGTAAAAAGAGTTCAGCTTACAAGAGATACACATACATAGGCGCACACAGACAGCGCGACAGTGTGTGTGTGTGTAAGTGAGTGCGGAGAAAGTGTGCCAGTGTGCGTTTCTTGTCTGTTGCTGTGTGTGTGTGTGTGAGTGTATTCCGCTCTACACTACTAAATACTGAATTGCTCTGTGCTCCATTGTACTGTACTTTAAGTGTGTTTGTCTGTGTTTTTGGAGTGTGTGTGTGTGTTTGTGGACCCCAAAATGTTGTTTAACTTGGTGAGCAAGCAGAGAAAAATGTTGTAAAAATAGAGAGATGTAACAGTCGAAGTTGTAGACTGTGTTACACCCAGCACTCGCTATAAGAATCCATCTATTGAGTATCAGGTGTAAAGTGGTTGCAATATATATATTATATTATAAACGAGTGAAAATGATGTATCCTAAAATATGTTATTATAATAAAAAGGGCAAAAAATATTATAATTTTCGGAAAATATTTGTATTGATGAAATAACCATTAAAGTTGATTGGTTACAAGTAAGCTTTATTAACTTGATCCAAATTACCCGACAAAAGAATCGATGTGTAAGACAGGATCATATATCCCTTTAGTTAGATGCTATAACCGAATAAAAGGAGAAAGGGTACTCGGGGAAAGGTATACTCGTATATACGAGTATACTGTTGCTAATTGGTATGCTTGTTATTTCGGTTGTTTGTGTGCCTTTGTTGTTGTTGCTTCCCTTTTCCAGGGGTTTTCCCGAAACATGTCATTCATTTGTGGGCAGAACCTCAAACAATAATGAAAACAAAAGCAGAACACTGCAAAACGAAACCCAAAATTTGGCAAACGCAACGCAAACAAAACAGTTGGGTGGAGGATACAGATCGGAGTGCAGCTCTTTGACGCATTTTCTCTATATACCATATATGTACGAGTGGTTATATTCACATAAGTGTGAGTGTGGTTTACTTAACAATTGAGATCGGATTCAAGTGGTGCCACATCAACAACTCTAGACACAGAAAAGGAGCGTACATTAAGGAGTTTAGGCTAGGCTAAAAATGTATACGATGGGGTTAAACTAGGTGGCTTTAAACGGGCTAACTAGGGACTTTTGCTTTCGGTACAGTTGTGTAGGCTGGGAACTAGGGGCTTTTGCTCTCGGTACAGTTGTGTAGGCTGGGAACTAGGGAGATTACATATGGTGTTTTCGGGCGGGGATAAAGAGAACAGAAACAGATTGCTGAGTAGTTGTCGGGTTTAGTTTAGTTTAGTTAAGTTTAGTTTATATTTAGTATAGCTTGGTATTTCGTATATATATGTATATATATTCATATATCTTCAACTTTTACTTAGACAGATAGAGCGTTAGCTGGTTAGACGTAAGAGTAAAACGAATCGTATTTTGTATAATCGTATATGGCCAAGTATATTTACTGATACAAGTATATAGATATGCACATCTACTAATAGGGTGTATGTCGACTAACAAACGTGTGGGGGAGCGTGACGGCTAAATAGAGTACTGTGTGTGTGTGACAGAGAAAGAATTAGGTTATTGAACGGAGCAGGAACTTCTATTCCTTTGGTTGTCCGTTCAAAGCGCCATGGCCACTGCATTTTCTTTGGAGCCACACAAATCTGTAGAGAACACCTCTCCGGAATTTACTTTTATTAGACTTTATCATTCGTTGGGAATTTATGTAAGTGTTTTATATTCTCAAGAGATTTCAGTGGAACCCGCGACACAAGAGTGCAGCAGTGGCCAAGGCGCCCGGGTTGTTGGTTAAGGATACATTTAGATAACGAGCTGTAGCTAGGGAAATATATAGCAAAGCCCAATGATCAGATAGGATACTGGACTCAAAGAAGAGAAAGTAGGCGAGTAGTAGAGGGAAAGTAGGGGCAAGGATTCGGGACTTTGCAGGCTAGCGCTGGCGAAGACTGGGTGGATAGTTAGAGATACTTATGGTAGAGGCAGTGGTGGAGAGTTACATTGATAACAGTATAGTATTCATAGACAGAATCTAGTTGTAGTAGCTAGCTAGTAGACAGACGGCTATTAGAGTCTGTTTGTCGTGTCCACTGGGGGCTCTTCTGTTGGTGTGTCGCACTGTGTATACGTAGGAGTGTGTGTGTGTGTGTTCGCATAGGAGTGTGTCAGAGTGTGGGTTAAGTTAAGGGGGGAAGTAAATAATTTTATCTTACGAGTTAACACGGACTCGAACTCTGTACACTTCAGGTAGTCCCCTGTAAACAAAAAATTTGTTCCCGGTATGATTTTTGTTTTGTTTCATATTATCTGCTTTTGTTGGTATTTGTATTTGATATTTATTTGTTTGTTTTTTTTTTTTTAGTTTGTTTTGTCTAGGAAAAACGTAAAACTCGAAAACATAACAAAGATTAGAAGGGTGTCAGATTTTGGACTTTTGATTTGCATGGCTGCCAATTCGGATATAATTTGTTCTCTTGTTCTGTTTTGGTTTCAATTGTTCTTTCGTCACAACTTAATAGAATCGAAATCGAAGAAACGAAAAACTGGAAAGGAACATATATGCATATATATATCTATACTCTGTTTGCCATTCTCACAGGCTTTTCCGTGGATCTGAGTGTGAGTTTGTGGGTGTGTACTGTGTGTGTGTGTGTGTGTGTATGGGTGTTAGTGTATATACAGCATGACTTCGAGGGCTTACAATATCACAGAAACGTTGATCTTGATTGTATGGTATACTTCCTGCAGGTGCGAATAAAGTTTCTCAAAACAAAAAATCTTATAAAACCAAAAAGATTCCAACTCAAAAAGGGAGCTGCGGAAAAAGCTTCGATACAAGTACCATTATCAAAATAATATAGGCTAAAAACCTGCACTTAAAATAAATCTTTTGAGTACATTTTTTTACTCCTGAGTTTTCTTTAGCGGCTTAACAAACTACTTGCAAAGTCAAGTGAATTGACTATGCATTGCCAGCTGCACATAAGTATATACAAAAATTGTGCAAAGCTGAGATCAGCGGCAAAAACCAATTCATTTGCGAGTAGTCTATAAACGGATGTATGCATCAGCAAACGGTTTGTACAGCAAACGGTTCGAGAGCAAACATCAAACAAAAACTGAGGAAAACAAAGCCGAAGAAAAATAAAGTTTCTTGAGCAAGCGACCCAAAAATTCCATTGCCTACTTTAAAGGGCTGCGCTGTCTATGTGTGTGTGTGTTTGTGAGTCCTCCTCTTTGACTCGGTGTGCGGTGTGCGGTGTGTCTGTGTGCGAGAGTGTGTGTGCGTGTGGGGGTGAGGGAGCACGCGTGTCCTTTCTGTTCTGTGGGTGACGTTATAGAGCCGCCGCGGCACAAACACAGACGCAAACACAATGCCAATGATAAATGATTGTTTTGACCAAGTTTAAAATCTTTTGTAAGCTGCCGACGAGAAAGTGGCACAGTGGCACCAAAACAAACATGCAAGAGGACTTGAGAGGTCTCGAAAAACGTGGTCTCATGTTTGGTAATTGTATGTATAATATAAATTGTATCTTTTTCTTGCCTCAAAATTGACTTGGAAATGCAGTTAAATAAAATCATTCGTTAATTTCAGTAAATTCTTCTCTAGCTGGGAAGCTAGAAACCAAGGTGCGGTTTCCTTTTGACTTGCTCCTGATGACGCGACCACAAGACTGCCGCTTGGGGTGCCACAAACTGGCACAGGCAGCGGGCTGGAGGCTCTAGGAAGCGGACTTCATCAAAAAAAAAGACGGCCTTCTGGATTTCTGGGTTTCGTATGCAAATTGCCGAGACACTGATGCAGCTTCAGTGAGACGTTTATGGCTTGGTTTTTTGTAGTGCGGACTGTGCTCGTGTCTTGAGGCTAAGGCTAAGGCTAAGGCTAAACAAAAACTAAAAAAAAGCTAAGCCATGAAACCAAAAAAGCCAACAGCGGGGGATTGGGAGAGTAGCAGCAGCCAGGCAGTTGTGGAAGACCCAGCTCACAGTCTGGACTTTGGACTTTGGGCTTTGGGCTTTGGGTTTTAGATGGCGTGGTTAAAAGACAACAAAACCCAAAACCGAACCAAAAACAAAAACAAATCGAAAACGAAAACGAAAACGTAACACTTAAAGCAACAAAAGGCAATCGGATCGAAGTACACGATACGAATACAAAATATATAATATATATATATAGTATATATGTACAGCATACATATATGGCTAGGAGTACGTATATGTATGGTATGGTATGTGCCTAGGTATGTACGATTATGTATGATACCCGGAGGCGTCGGCAGACAGAGGCGCCTATATGGTACTCGCATTCCCATACGACTTTCACTGACTTTCACTGACTTTCACTGAGGCCTTTCAAGTAGAGCAGTTCTCAGATCTCAGTTCTCAGTTCTCAGTGTTCTCAGTTGTCAGCTCATGTGGCGCTACTTACGTGATGGGATAGATCACGCCGGTGGGAGGGTCCAGGCTGCAGCGCTGGTGCAGGATCCCCTCCCACAGCTGCACTCCGATGATCCCGAAGATGAAGAACACGAAGAAGCAGAGCAGCAGGACGTTGCCCAGCATGGGCAGGGTGTCCAGCAGGAGCATCACCAGTATCCGCATGCCTGATAGATCGAATCGAAAAGGGAAGGCAGGTTAGGATTTCGATGGGGTTAGGTTAGGGGTTAGGATCCTTGATCTGTTCGACTCACTCGGTATTCGGTTGATGGCCCGCAGGGGACGTAGCACGCGAATCGTTCGAATGGCAGTCAGGTTGAGGTTCTCCACATGCATAACGTACTCCAGCAGGCCGGCGAGGACGATGAAGAAGTCCAGGCGATTCCACGAGTCCGCCAGGTAAGTGTTCTTGCCGCACATGCCCATGGCCACCATTTTGATGGTCATCTCCAAGGCGAAGAAGGCGAAGATGATGTCGTCGAAGATCTGGAAGAGAGAGGATTGCCATCCATGAGATCTCTGTTTCTTTTTTAGGGGAAACAGCTCCTCCGCACCTCAAATCCCATTCGATTAATGACCTAACGAACTAACGAGACTTGATCAAATTAAAATTAGCAAGCCCTCTTGCTTGGTGGCGGGGAGGGGGGAAGGACATGGCTTGCAAGGACACTCCAGCCCACCATGCGTCGCACACATGAACACGAAATGAGTTTGCCTTGGCGACATCATCATCATCATCATCGTCATTCGCCTCGTTTTCGGTTTGGGTTTCGTCCTCGCCCTCGTCCTCGTCCTCATCGTCATCTTTTTCTTGTGGCCCGTGCAACGTCTTGTGTCAAGTAATTTGGGTTTTCGAAGGTTGCGAATGGTTGGCGGTGGTTGGGGTGGTTGTTGGGGTGGAAGCGGGGGCGGTTTACCACCGCCCACTTATGTCACCAGTCGGTGACTGCGGCTGTCGTTGTCATTTAGACTTTGTGCTGTGTGCCAATTTGGCGATGCCTTCTCTTGTCTTGCCTTGTCCATCCCCATTCCCATTCCCATCCCCATTCCCATTCCCATCCCCATCTCCATCCTCAGCCTCACTCCCATGCCCATTTTCATCCACCTTCAGTCGAAACTCCTCGTTGTCCTTGCAAATATCCTGTCACTGGCTTTTCGGGGCGGGGGTCCTGGCCCTGCTGTCGTCTTACTTTACACTTGGCTGCGGCCGAAAATGTCGCCCGACTTACATATCATTTACAATCATTTTCACACGTTGAGCCCGGCCTGGTTCTCTATGCTCTTCTGTAATTGCCCCACTGAACAGCGGCGCCCCTCCAGGACAGAAAAGAACGGAAGAGAAAGGACTGCTGTGGTGGCGGTGGCGCCTAATGAGCCGAAGTGGGTGTCGTTGGGTTTCGCTGGGTGTCATCAGTGTGTGGCAGTGGCAGCCAGGAAGTGAGCCAAAAAATTGCTTAAATAAATGGCATTTAATGCGACACCGATGCTGACAGGCCCACCTGGGGAGCTGGGGAGCTGGGATATCCAGCGGGGAAACGAGTCCTGCCCACGCCCACACTTTTCGCAACATCGTTTCTTCTATCAAATTAACCTAAGGCCCCTGGGATGGATTCATAATTATGTCAATTATAAACACCCTGCTGGGACAGCAATCCTCGTACTCGCACGTTGGAATGGAAAAGTCCATTTGATGGGTGCTGTTTTTGAAAAACAATTATCAAGCACTTCACATTCACATTACAATCTGTTGTTTCCGCTATTTTGTTCTGTAAATTGGTTTAGTATAACAATAAGTACTCCCATCTATAAAAATTAACTTGCAGCGAAGGTCTGGCGAAGCACTTAAGTCTTTCTTATAAATACAATACTCGTATTCGCAATAGGTAACAGGCATTTTGGTTGAGAGGACTCACCTGGAGGATCTTGCAGCGGTTCGTGACACAGGCGTCGTCCACGCAGGGCTGGTACATTCCGAGGGTGATGCAGTTGAGCAGGATGACCAGGATGGAGACGCGCTCGAACCACGTAAAGGCCGCCGGAATGGAGTCGCGTCCGTGTCTAAGTTAAGTGAATAACCAAGGAAAAGGCAAGCGAGAACAAGGACAAGGATTCGCGGGAGGAGGAAGGGGGTCGTTGCCTACTTTTCTGCGCTGATTGAAGGCGAAACAAGTCGAGCGAAAGGGGGCGTGGCGTGGTGGATAACAACTAGCAGCCGCCTCTAATGCGCACTCAAGTGCTTGTCAACTTGGTTGCCAGCCACCCACTATGAACCACCCACTATGAACCACCCACCATGAACCACCCACCATGAACCACCCACCATGAACCACCCACCATGAACCACCCACCATGAACCACCCACCATGAACCACCCACATGCCTCCTGCGGCTGCCGCTTGTCGGTCCCGTTTGGTATGCTCTCGGTTTTGGTTCTCGGGCTAAGAGGGTGCAAGTTTGGGGTTCGTTGGCTCGGCTCCCCCTTCCTCCAGGTTCCGAGCCACCAAAATACAGCGAATGGCCAGAATTGACAGTTGGCAGTCAGCTCATAACACTCCATCTAAATGCTTTTGGCCAAACAAGGACGCGTATGTGAATGTTGCATTGTAAAATGCTAGTTTTATGCCATGCATCGTATGAAACTAGCATTTCCCTTCAGTATTTTTAGGTTGATCACCCAAATGCAGAAAAGTCTTTGAAGACAATGAGGTAAATATGAGAATAGAAAAGGAGCAGAGTTTGAGTTAACTAAACACTCGCTCAAATTGCTATTGTGTTTTTTTTTGATAAAACAGAAAAAGAATTCATTAAACGGAGAAAGTACAATACGCATTTTGAAGACATTAAAAATCATGAGACTTCAAATAAAAGTAAAGCACTTGAACCCAATGTAATGTTGGACTTTTTAATATTTCTTCGCTTTTAGCGCTCTACATTAAATGGAACTCAATCGGCTGTTGTCTGTTGGCTGTTCTGGATAGCCAGATGTTTCCCCCAAGCCCCGCGAAGCCAGCGCGATTCACTCTTCCTTTTCGCCACTTGTCGCCTAAAAGCCTCGTCGGTGCACTTTGGGTTTCGGGCCTGGGCCGAGAAAAAACAGCGAAGAAAAACAAGAAGAAAAACTCGAAAATCACGAAAAACTTGCACAAGGCCAAGTTGCCAGCCAAGGGGAATGAATCCTCGAGCTGACTTAATGCACGGCCAAATGAGCGCCAAGGACTCTTTCTTTCGATAGAGCAATTAAGGATCGAGAACACACGCGCAAAATGGCAGGAATGTTTACGCTATTAACGCACAATTAAAGATAAAATGCGGCGAACAATGGTCTGGCCGAAAAAAAAAATAAAACAAAGATGAAACAACACACACACACACACACACACATACTATACACCCACACAGGCACACAGACAAACAAAATATCCGTGGGGGTGGTGGCAGGGATGAAAAGCTGCCACAAAAAGGGCAATTCATTAGGAGGCGAAAGGGAAAGGAGATTGGAGCGTATGCAGGTCGAGGGTCAGAGGTCGGGGGTCGGGGGTCGGGGGTCAGAGGTCGGTTTGGATCCAGTTTGGATTCAGTTCAGCTCGGTTGGGTCCGCCGCCGCGGCCGTGTCATAAAAACAAATGTGAACGTGAACAGGCCAGACGGCACAAAAGGCCGCCCTCGAAATGGGGGCGGCACCGAAAGGGGCGTGGCCCGGTCCACGCCCACTCTCCCTCCGCCTGGTTAAATACTGCAGCAGCACAAATATGCGACAGCAGTAGCAGCCAGCCACATCGACCCTGGCGCATTCATTTCATTCCGTTAGGGATGTCAAAAAAAAAAACAAGAGTATGAACGATATATAAATATTTGAGCAGGCTGCATTTTTGTATGCAAAATGTAATATACGTATCGATATTTTGTACTGAGTTTTTGCCTTACTGAGAATAAAAAGCCTGGAAAATATATCCATCCCGTATCAGTCGGACCGATACTTCGTGCGAGAGGTACTTTTACTTGAGACCAAGTCACCCACCTACCTAGTATTATATATATTTTCATTCACCCCTAGTCAGGTGTGCCGCCCTGTGCAGTGGGTGGTGGGTGGTGTATGGGTGGCAGGCACTCGCGCATTATTTTTGATTTGGCAACAGCAATGGGCCCCGAACCAACAGTAAACAAATTAAGTCGAGCGTAAAGTCGGCCAGCGGAAAGGAGGCGGTTCCATTAAGGGGGCGTGGCGGGTCAGCCAGTGGGCGGAATGGGAACGCATGCAAGCGTGCAGAAATCGCAACAAATTAAAAGAGCCGCAAACAAAGGCGAGAGCCCCGAAAGCAAAAGCCGAATAAGATGACTGAGCATGCCAAATTGGCATGGCGGGTCGAGAATTCGAATTCGAGAGTGCTGAATGGTAAATAACGAATAACGAACAACGAACAACGAAGGCGAGAATGAGACAGATGAAACATGAAAAGCAAACATTTAAAAGGAGAAAATGCCAAAAAGTGAAAGTGAAAAACTTGAGATAAATTGGCTCTGACAAGAAACCATTTCTCCTCAGCGATGGCGGCGATCAACTAAATTGGTTCTATGGCATCAGAGGGTAATTGAATACCACTTTCACTACTCATCTACAGGGAGATATTAGAAATGGCCTAAAAACATTGAAATGTTATTCAACGAACTGAGCTTCAATTTCAAACCGATTTCACAGCAAAAGGGTCGCGTTTAAAACGATGAGATTATTTGATTGCCACCTTTTCAGGGCTTAAGCCAGTGGCGGAAATTAAGAATTCCCACGGACGAACACGGTGAACACAGTGAACACAGCGAACACAGGTTGTCCTCGCATCAGAGGGACGGGGCATTTGTGTAATGAATACAATGCACGTACTCAACGGCGGTCAGCGGGGCTAATGGACATTGGCCAGAAGGGATCCATGCCAGCACTACACCACTACACCATGCCTCCTTGCCTCCATGCCACCATGCCACCGCTGCAAGCTCCTGGCCCTCTGTCATAATTAGTTATGGGCGTGGCGGCGGTCGCACATTATCAAAGAAGCGAAGCCGAGTCCTGGCGCTCTCTCTGGCACTCCATGCTAATGATGCCTGCGTGTCCGCACATCCCTGTGCGAATGTGTGCGAATGTGTGTGTGTGTGTGTGTGTTTGGTCCTAATGGCGACCGCACAAGGATGCAGCTGCTCCCAGTAACCTCTTGACCCTCGTGCCGCACATGTTGCACGTGCCGCGCACATTTCACGCTAAAAGCCCCGTGAAGCGAAGGAGACAGCCTCGCTGCCACTGGAAACTGCCCGAAAATGCATCGTTTCACCTGGGAGATGTGATGAAAGTTGCATCGCTAATTTGAGTTTAAGTGTCACCCCGCAGAGAAGAACATGTTTCTTTGGGGTTGGAAGATTAATGAATGAGCACTCTGTTTGTTCTACCAATAAAGTTGAAGTCAAATGATTTTACCTAACTATGGGGTAATGTTCCAGCGAATTTTCTTCGCCTGCCACTGGATTGCAGGGACTTCAGGGTGTCCAAATCGAAGGACTTCGAAGGGACAAAGCGGAAGGGAGCGGAGGGGGGCGCATGCCATCCGATATTGATACGCAAGGCCAGTTGGCGACGCTGAGGCGGCTTCAACTTTTTGGCAAATGGCTCCGCTGACCTCAGCTGCAGCCGAAGACACGTCTGGGTCACCAAAGAGGGTCGCCGTCGGAAGTGGAATCGGAAGTAGATGTGGATTCGGAGGGAGGAGCGAGCAGAGTGCAGAGGAAGTTGAACTTAAATTAGTTTAGCCCAAGCAGTTTGATTGCTTCTGGCCGGGCGAAGCGATTGAAATGCAAGCAGGACCAAGTTGCACCGCAACACAGCCACAAAATCACTTTGGCTTACAGCTCAACTCAACCACCAGCCAGCAGCAACCACCCACGTTACGTTGCCAGTCGATAATAATTGGCGCTGGGGGACGCATCGCATCGCATCGGATCGCATCGCATCGTAAAGTTTGACAATAAAATCCATAAAATGTCAGCAAGATATAGAACAATACAATGGCGGGTGGAGCGAATGCTGAGCGCGAACAATGGGGCAAATCAAAATTTATGGCCAACAATTAAGTGGCAAGTATCGAGAGAACGATTACGTACTTGTGGCTTGTGGCAAGAAAGGACCTTTCCAAGGAAGGGGGGAGGGAAGGGAGGGGAGTTAAGTGGGGGAGGTGGCATATCAAGTGGGTAATCGCAGACATCAGCGTGGCTTTCTGGCTTAAAATAAAAGCACTTCACTCACGACTTCCGCCGGAATGTCACCGGAGAACCGGAGAACCGGAGGAGAACCACGACGTTCTAAACTCAATTATCATAATTTACTCAGCCCCGAGAACGGGCATAAATAAATATCAACGTCAGTCAATTTTAATTTCGCTCCGAGTGAAATGTGAAGTGCGCGCCGAGAAGAGAAGTATGCAAAGCGATTTTTCATGCACATGTGCCACATGCCACATGCTACTCGAAGGAGGAGCAGGGGAAGTGCCATTGGCAGTGGCAGTGGCAGATAAACAACATCGAGTCGCCAGGGTTGTCATCTTCTTCCTTCCGCCTCCGCCTCCGCATCCCATATCCCATATCCCATATACGATATCCCATATACCATATCCCACATCCCACATCCCACATCCCACATCCTACTGATTTGCGCACATTATCCCCGCAGAAAATGGATGGGGATGCGGCAAATATGAGAAACAAGTCGGCAGCGGAAGGATCCGCCAACTGGGACTGGAGGACATACATCCACTGCTCCGCTGCTCCACCGTTCCCGTCTCCCGATGATGACGCCCATTCAGATATTTATTATTTATGCCCAGCGAACTCGCGCACACACGCAGTACTTCTACCTTTTGCAACTGCTGACATTGTGGCATGAATTTTGCAACAGGCAGCTGGAAAAATAGCGAAGCAGATCGAACTACTTGTACCCACTGTTTGGAGAATACAATTTAGGTCCTGCTATTATGGTTGTCCTATAAAATCCAATTTGTAGCATAAATGTGTAAAAAAAAAAAAAAGAAATAAATTCGAAGCAAGTTCGGAAAGATTAAACAATCATTCAGCCAAAACCGAGAACACTTTTGGGGCACAGATCATATGCACCCATTGAAAATTCGGATGTCCGCATCCTGCAGCGGCATGTCGCCCCCATCGAAACGCATTCAACCTTTGCCGACCGATTCGATTCGAGTGTCCTTAGGCCCATTAAAAAAAAAAAAAAAAAAAAAAAAAAAAAAAAATACGTCAAAAAGTGGAGAGAAAATCGAGAGGACACAAAAAAGAGGAGAAAAATCAATAGGCTCACAACGCACATCCTGGGAAATGTGTGACAAGGACACTCCGGCACACACATACCAACACACAGACTCACACACACATACGCACTCACCCAGGGGTAAACTGGCAGCGAAGGACAATGGTAATTAGGGCATCCCCAGCCTGCTTTTTGTTTTGCTTTTGTTTTGTTTTGTTTTGTTCGCTTTGCAAAGGATATGGATTGGTGATGAGCATCAGGCACCAGTTGCGTGGCCGGGTGTACTGCGTCAGCGCCTTCATGGAGATCTCGGGGAATCCCGGATACGGCAGGTTCGGCTCCCCGGACGAACTGGACGAGCTGGAGGAGGAGGTCTGCGAGGAGTCGCCGTCGTCGGAGCTGCAGCTCCCATTGCAGCTGGAGGCGGTCGAAGAGCTGACCGCTCCGCCGCCGCCGCCCCGCGACCGCCCACCTGCCGCTGCTGCCGCTGCTGCTGCTGCGGCGTCGCTCAGCGAGGAGGCTCCACTGTGCCGGCGACCTGCCCGCCGACGCGGTGCCTGCTGCTCCTGCCGCTCCTGCCGCTCGCGGCGATCCCGCTGCTCCTGGCGATCCCCCCTTCCCGGATAGCGGCGCCTGCTGCCTTCTCTGCCATCTCGATCGGATCCCGAGGCGTTCGATGTCTGGCGGTGATGCGATGACCTTTGACCGCCGCTGCTCGCTGTCGCTGTCGCCGTCGCCGCGGGGTTCATCCCCGATGATGACTTCGCATTGGCACTGGAGGAACTTGTTTTGCGCAGCCTGCGGCTTCCGCGCCGGTGGCCACTCCCACCGGAAACGCCACTGCCACCGCCCCCATCGACGATCACCGTCATGGGCGGCTCATCGTTGGAATGCATTTGACCTAATCTGTTGTTGTTGTTGTTGTTGTTGTTGTTGTTGCTGTTGCTGTTGCTGCTGCCAAGCTTGGTGTTGCAGTTGCCGATGTTGCTGTTGCTGTTGCTGTTGCCGTTGCTGTTGCTGTTGATGTTGCTATTACTGTTGATGTTGCCGTTGCAGCCTTCTGTTGCTGCTTCCACGCGACGTCGCTGGCCATTCCTAGCTGATGCTGCTGCTGCTGCAGCTGCAGCTCCCGCTGCCGCAGGTGTTGCAGGTGTCGCTGCTCCGGAGGTTGCTGCTGCCGCTGATGGAGTTGTTGCCGCTGCTGCTGCCGCTGGCTGTGGCAGCATTTTCTGGGGGGCCAACTAAGCGAACGCTGGTCATTCCATCTTGCCGGCGATTGCTGAAAGTGAAGAGGGAAGCCAAGCAATTAGGACAGTCATTAAAACCTAATATCAAGCTATATAACAGCAGCATCAGCTTGCACTGAGAAAAACAAGTATATCCGGATACTGATATATGATTCTATATATGTATCCGTTTAAGAAAAATTCAAGTCTATAAGTCGAATAGCACGTGCTCTCATTCTATCAGTATTAATGTTGTTCGCTTGCTTTTTGCACTAAATATGTATTTGATTCGCAGTTTTGATGAGCTCATTTGAACTCAATTTGGGAGCCGACAATTTTCTCCTTGTGTACGTGCAAAGTTTGGGAAATTGATTTTTAATGCGATACTTGGCGTCAGCAATGGGCACCAACCCACCCACACACCCACACACCAACACACACACGAACACCCTCCCTTAAAACACAACACTCGACCCCCCGCCTCCCCTTGCCAACGTAATAAAGCCAAAACATAATTTATACGCACGTGCATTGCTTTTTGTAAAACCTTCTGTGCGTGTGTGCGTGTGTTTGTGTGTGCCAGTGTGCCAGTGTATGTGTGTGGAGTACGAAAAAATAATGAGAAACACATTTTGTGCGTATAGACAGAATCGTAGCATACTTTTCGGGAGAGACCCTTGTGCGTAGGTGTGCGTTAAATCATTAATTACGGCCCATGTGCCCCTGCATGTGTCGTGTGTGTGTGTGTGCGAGGACCTCTAACACATTAACGTGCCAAAAAGTGCTTCGTTGTGGCTTGCCACACACACAAGCACACACTCACACTCACTTACTCAGGGGAGACTTGCAGTTGTGTGTAAATTGGCTCATTGATAGGCCGCCATTGAGGGTCACAAAGAAGGGGAATGCTTTGAAAGGCTATTGAGATATTTGAGCGGATCTATGGAGTCGATTGAGCAGGCAGCACACTGGACTCCGGCAATAATAGCCAGCACCAGCTTATCGAACAATTTATCAAAATGCAGACACCCTGAATACGAAAACCAAGTGTTTGCCTCCCCGACATTTCAAGTAACCGATTTTGATGAATGCTCTGCTGGTGTGTCAATTAATTGCAGAGTGCATACAGAACTGAGAACTGAGAAAACAATTGTTATTCGTTATTAGAGGGGAATTGATTTATTTAAAATTTCACAAATATTTCACACAAGTTGGTTATTCCGGCTTACTGCCTGTCTATAGGCAATATCAATTCTATCAATTTTTTGTTTTGTCAGCTACTCATTATTCTAGGGGCTAGACACGTGTCCTGCACAACTGCTTTTTCTCGTGCCACCATTGTTATTTATAGGTGGAGCCCGAGACTGGAAATCAAAATAATTAATAATAGCTGCTTGGCGCCATTTGCTTATCAGGCGGGAGCGGAAGTCAGCGCCAGAAGACAAACAATGGCAAACACTGCCACACACAGCGGCACATGACAATAGAAAAGTTACCGCACTATTTGGAGAGCGTGGAGCAGGCTCAAGGAAGCGGGAATATATATATATAGTATAGTACACAGGAAGAAAAACAACTGTCGTAGGGAGCGAATCTCCATCTCCATCTCCATTCGCTGTAAGCTGTAAGCGCCTTGTACGAAAGCAAATGGCACATGGCACCCGTGTAAGCTCTGTTTGGGTTGGCTTTGTGTGTATGTGTGTGTGTGTGCGTGTGCGCCATGTGTGTGCCCTACACAGATATACATAATTAAACACAAACAACGCGGGAAAGGAAACTCTGGTGTTGATATTAGTCAAAGGGAGAGTAAAAATACAAACAGGCTAGCACACACACACACACAGAGACTCTGACTTCGTGTGTGTGAGTGTCGCCTGGTTACGAGATCAATTTGACATTTAAACATGTCGGATGTTAACGCGATAACAATTTGAAATGGGTCAACACAGCGCAACACGAATTTATGTTGTAAGCGGACTCAAATTGCAGATATATATCGGACATATAGTAAACCGTTTGCCCAGCGAGCGGGCTTATTGTGGGGCATTCAGGGGATTTCCCGTCCATTCTGCGTTATAATATCGACAACAAATTGCAAATTATGTTGCAAGGAATCAAACTTTACGGGCTTAACCATTTGTCAAAGGCAATAAGTGGCGGCTAAATAATTACAATTGAATGTGGACTCGACAGAAAGTACTCGTATTCACCAGTTGCTCTGAAGCCATGTGGAAATATACGAGGTAACTCCACTGTGCGTCGAGCTGTCTTGCAAGTTCTTCACTTATAGCCAACCAATTTGTTATTTGTGTTGGCTTCGCCCCTTTCGCTGGGGGTTCAATGTAAACAGCAACTAGGACGACTCACTTTTTCACTCCGTCGGCGCCATGAAAATATGCAAATAAATTGTCGCTTATGTGGCAAGATATTTGCACAGTTCTCCAGCTTTTTTTTTTTTTTTTTTTTTGAGGCTGTCGCTGTCGCAGAATCTGCAGATATATAATTTACTTTTAAATGCAAAATCAAGCCGCTGTCATTGATAGCTGTCGCGGCGGGAGAAGGGGAAATAAAAGAGGCAAAATAATACGCATACGCAGCGTGGTACACACGTTGGCAAATAAATCAGAGAGACAGCGCGCCTCCATGTCGCCCGTTGGAATGGGGATCCGTTTTTTTTTTTGTCAGCTCATATGGGGCCTGCCTTCCTCGAGCCGAAGATTTATGCTCACCGCCTGCTTTATGAGGCAGCGACTGTCAGGAAAAGTCGCCGATATTAACATAAAGCTTTGGGCCAAAACAAAAAAAAATACGCTTTTTCCTGGGAGCAAGAACTTGGCAAAGAACAAAACTTAACTTTCAGTTATCAATGCTCTCATTCCGATTGCCATTCCATTAGGCAATGGTCAGTAGAGACATCGCCCCGGTTGCCTCGATTGCCTCGATTGCCCCGACTTCCAAGAGTTTCTCCACTTTTGCCGAGGTTCCCGGGCTCAGCTGTATTAACATTAATATTTATGATTGCTCATCTGTGTATAAATCGAAGCTTCGTCTCGCTTTCGCCGCTTTCATTGCTTGCTTATTGCGCTGATTTTATTATTATTTTTATTTGACTTGGCTGGCATAAAAGGCAGTCGAAGGAGAAAACTCATTTTCATGTTCAGCAGCTGCCAGGAACACAAGCAGTGAGATATATATACATATACACGTATATATATCTATATATACACCTGCTTGAGACTCAGTTTTTTGTGTTTCCATTTGATTTTGCAATTCTACGAGTAGTATGCCCACCAACTTCCACCGCTTTTCTTGCTTTTCTTGCTTTTCAGCTTCATTGAGCGCATTGCTTTCACTGTTCACTGTTCGCTGTTTCGCTTTTTATTTTGTTTTGATTGCCCCTGCCAGAGATTTGAGCTTTACTTTCTCTTATTTCCATTCTTTTCATTCACAAGCCACACGTTGCTTATTGTCGTTTTAAATACGCAGACATAAAATTCATATTTTTATGCTCCGCTTTTTATTGGCCATGAATGACGGCCACTGAGCCGCTCGGAAAATCCAGAATCCAGTATACGGAAGCCGAAAGCCGGAATTCACCTGGAGCACAGCCGTAAATTTGCCAGTAAAGCATCAAAAGTATCCCTTTAGCATCCTCTATATACATATTGCACACATCCTTTTCTCCATTTGGCAGTTCGGTAAATTTCGTGCTTTTTTATTTGCAACTTTTACGTAATACGGTTAATGGAATCTGAGAGTGTGTGTGTGTGTGTGAGTGTGTGTGCGTGGGGTTTATTCATTATTCGATAAATATTCAGCAAGTGAGCGAGATGCACGTCTTAAGTTTCGTTCTGGGACTGAGGGCGAGGCGATTCAATTTGGTAATGGAAGCTATAATCGAAAAAATCGATTTATAACCGAGTCTATCGCAAAGAAGACGGACGATCCATGAGTTGTTCGGACGATCAAGTAATCGATTACACTGTGCGACAAAATTTAACGAAATGTTTGTTTGAGTTCCTTTTTTGTTTGTTTTCCGTTAAGGGGCATAAGTTATGCACAAAAATATTTATGCCACCTTCTAAGTGATAGGATTTCTTTTTATACCCTTGCAGAGCAAAAGGGTATTATAATTTCAGTCAGAAGTTTGCAACGCAGAGAAGGAGACACCTCAGACCCCATAAAGTATATATATTCTTGATCAGCATCACGATCTGAATCGAAATATGTATGTACGTCTGTCCGTCTGTCCGTCTGTCCATCTGTCCGTCTGTCCGTCTGTCCGTCTGTCTGTCTGTCCGTCTGTCCATCTGTCCGTTTCCGCGCAAACTAGTCTCTCAGTTTTAAAGCTATCTTGCTGAAACTTTCCCAAAAGGTGTGTAGTTATTGCACGCAGTATATAAGTCGGAACGGGCCGGATCGGCCGACTATATCGGATAGCTCCTATACGAGAGAATGAAATAAAAAATTTTCACGCCGTTGTTTTTGATCAGATCGACTTGAATTCTTCAAGATGGCGCTTTCTAAGTGTTATTGAATTTCGTATTAAATTTGAACAAAATCGGATAACTCTATCATATAGCTGTCATAGGAGAGATCGTTGTTTTTTATCCCACGAGCATGATTTTTTGAGTATCAAGTTTTTAAACTAGCCTTGATTTATAAAAAAAATTTCATCAAAATCGGACAACTATATCATATAGCTGCCATATGAACAATAGTCAAAAATATGGAAAACTAATAGAAAAGTCGTCGTAGCTTCGATGTTCTTTAGCCTTTGTGTATTCTGTTCGAAAGATTTGATGACTGCAAGGGTATATAAGCTTCGGCTTTCCGAAGCTAGCTTCCTTTCTTGTTTTATGATAAATTTTATGAAATTATTATTATGAAAATATTTAACTCAAAATATTATTTTTTTTTTACTTCCAATAAACTATTATTTTTTTTAAAAGTGAAATTTTTTTCTGATTTTTTTGGCTTTTTTAGAGGTATCCTCGCGTAACAAGTTCCATACGAAGTCGCCCAGGGTATAGAGCTGGGAGAAAAAAATTTT